AGGCAAAACTGAAACCAGAAAGATCCACAAACAAGCAGCAACTGAAGATGATTGTAGCCAAGGCTTAGCAGGGCGTCTCAAGGTTTGGAAAAACAGCATTTGAATGTCCATTTGGAGTTCTAGTCTTCAGGCAGGCACTGACTGCAAAGGATTTTCATACAAAAAAATATTATTAAAAAAAAATGTTAGTTTGTCCAATTAATTTTGCACATCTAAAAATAGCTGTAATTCCTGAGGACTTAATGCAGTAATTTCATCAAATTACGGTCAAATAACTGCTGAAAGTCTGAAATTCAATCCCAAATGCTTAATTTTCTAAAAATAAAATGTATCTAACACATCCATGCACATGCAAAAGTTCCAGTGTGGAAGAGACGAGATGCATGTTTAACTGTTGGAAGAAGTCTCAACTTTAAGTGACACAAGAACTCATTTCAAAATTAGATGTGACAGGCGCTGTCACTACGATAAGTACAGACATCCAGTGTTCTGCCAGTGACTAATGTCAAATACCCACAGCACAGAAAGTCAACAAAACGCTTCCAGTACAGACTTTGTGATATTTAAAGTTTCATGATCTATATCTTCCCTCTCAAAATCACCTGGGGAAAAGCTAAATGCTAGAATTGTGCACTTGATACTGTAAAACTTTATTTGGCATTTACACCACTGTCTCAGAACATTAATTTAGTCACATAGATGTCAAACTAAGACCAGCAACAGCTTATTTAGCAGATTATATTTTTCTCTCCCCATGCTCCATGACTCATTGCCATACGTGTCTTAACATTTCTCATCTTGTAGAAAATGAGGTGTTACTCATGCAGTTCCTGTCCGTTCTAATAGACTATTCCTGCATATTTGCATTAGTGTGTATGCATATATTTATCTTGCATGGGTGCCTTCTTGCTTTCATTTCCATGTGTGTGAAGTCATGGGACTTTAGCTTCAGTTTTCTCTGCTTCTGTATTTTCTTTCTGAAGTCTTTGCTTTCATAGCTTTTGTCATGCAAAATTTGGCTACAGTACTTTTTTGGGAGCGTAGGTTGATGAAAGTAGGTTTGATGTGATGGCAAGATTTGGTGTGTTTAAGAACCCTGACAGAAGAGCTTTTCACACGTTGCATCCTACCAAGAACTTTGCTCAGCATTGACCTCTGTATCAGGTCCTGTTTTGGCTTCTGAGAGGTTAGCCAAACCCTGGGGAGTAAATAAGAAAGTTGTATTCAAAGTACACTTGTTTCTTTCATACTTTGTATGTGTTTGTCCATAAGTTGTTGTGGGATTCCTTGAGGTTTTGCAAAGATCATCTTTCTGCCTCCCCTAAGTCACCAGTTAGTATTTCAGGTGAAGATATTGAAATTTCAGCATATCAGCGCCCGAGGAATATTGTAGTATTTAAGTTCATTCAAAATTCAGATTTTAAGACAAACTAATTGGATTTATTGTTTTATAGTATATTGTGCAATTTTATCATTTTTCTAGAATATTTGTGATTATTATATTTCTAATGACAGATAAAAAAAAACCTCAATGTTTTATTAATTTTTGCAGCTTGCAGGCAGCAGCATTTATAAGTATAAAAGTAAATAAAGCATTTGCAATCCTCCTTTTCGAGGGGTGGACCTTGAGGCTTCATAATATCACTTGGTGATGTCACAGTGGCTACATTCTTACTTTAAACTGCGAGCTTTAAAAACAATGAAAATGTATAATTTAGAAAATAATTAGTCGCATAACTATTTGTTTTTATATATAAATTAGTAAAAAATTGTGTATTTTATGACCTTCAAAAATTGAAGAAGAAGAAGCCTCCCACAAATGATTGTTTCCTCCTGACAAACTTATCTCCAGATGTTTAGCTTGATAAAGCTGAAAACTAAGAGGTGAACAAGCAAACTTACTGTAAGAGACAGTTTTCTGATATTAATATTTCTTGACCTTGACAATACAAATTATGTCTGAAATATAAATCTGAAATCACTTGCATAGCATCAAATTATATTCATTTACTGGGTGATAATTAGCTTACTACATATCACACTACATATCACTACATTTTGATTAAAACTTGAATATATGGAATTGAACCTTGAATATATTGAATGAACCTGAAACAGTGACATTTGTCAGTAACTGCAAACTTTTAAGCAGTAGTGCAGCTATCACCATGTCTCTTCTTAAGTACATCATGGAGTTCAGTACCTTTTTAACTGTCACTTCTACTGTGTCTACTTCTACATCTACTGTTTATCTAGAAGGATGTGCAGGATAAAGTGTGAAATTAAAAAAGCTAACAAAACAATAACAAAGAAGAATAACTGGCACTAGTAAATGTGTTGCAGAGCAACAGCAACACAAACAGCATAAAACAGAATGGGGAACACATGAATATGGGGAAAATACTGTAGAATGTGAGGAGGGAAGCAGAAGCGAAGTGGTGCAGAATGGGTTTCTGGATTTTTCATTTTCAGCTAAATGTGGTCAGCTCATGCCTCATGTTGTGGCTGGGTCTATTCACCTGACCAACACTCATTAACAAAATAATTTGCCACATGAAAAATGCACATAGAAAATGGCTTCATTTAACAATGGTGCAGAGTCATTGGGAAGAAGAGAGGGGATGCAGGTGTAGACTGTGATCAGTAATATTATGACACCAAGATAAATGAGGCAAAGGACCGAGATCTGAAATGGCTTTTGGTTGTAGAATAAATCATAGCGTAATATACGCATGATAAATAAATTTAGCTGAACACCAGCAGGGTTCAGGACCACATTTTTTTGTGATGAGTCTTTGCTAGAACCCATTTGATCGTGACAGCAATTGTGTAAAATAATGTGACAAGCGACCTTGATCAGCTTGATAAGCAGGTATTATGAGGTTATAAAACTGGAGGATTATACACCAGTTTTGGTGTATAATTTGCGACCGTGGTTCAGGTGGTTGAAAAGTTCATCTTTAACCGGAAGGTTGCCGGTTCAATACCCCAGCTCTCTCTGTCCTGGTCGTTGTATCTTTGGGCAAGACACTTCATCCTACCGCCTACTGGTGTTGGCCAGAGGGGCCAATGGCGCGATATGGCAGCCTCGCTTCTGTCAGTCTGCCCCAGGGCAGCTGTGGCTACAACTGTAGTTTGCCTGCATCAGTGTGTGAATGTGAGAGTGAATGAATAGTGGAATTGTAAAGCGCTTTGGATGTCTAGGAAAGCGCGATATAAATGCAATCCATTATTATTATTTTTATTATTAATAACAGCCACGCCTTTTCAAACTTGATGCAGGTTAACCACCGTCCCCTGTTCTCACAGGATATTTGCATTGCTCAGATATTATCTATGCTGGCACAGTAAAATAATCAAGATTTAAATAGCTAGGCCCTACACTGCTGCTTGAAAAGCTGAACTTCTCCCTGAAGACATGTAAAGGAAAAACAGCAAAGCTACAGAACCAAAATTCAGCATGCATAAATTGCCTCACAAGCTTCACAAGCTGCAGTGTGGAGTTGAAAAGAGCAACTGTAATTGTTTGTATTAGAAAAAAAACTCATCTGGAAAAACAGGTTACCACATTCTGTAAAGACAGAGTAATTATCATGTACTGTTTAAAATATCTTCTCTGCTCACTTGCCAGTTCCTAAAGATAGAATATTCATAAGAGACTCTCCATAATGTGACAGACACCTACAATGTACACAGTAGCAGCACACTGGATTGTTAAGTAGGAAGGCTCCTGTCACTGATAGTGAGTCTTTGAGGTCCTGTCTCTCATCTCTGCTGTGCACAACTGCTGTCTAGCTCTTATGTTCAAAGTAAAGAGACCAGATGCTGAATAGATAATACAATATTATCCTTCAAATACGCACGCAGGAAGATAAGAGTAACAGGTAACATGTATGATATTTATAGTATCGTCAAATGTATTTACACAAATCACGTACCAGTTAAACAATAGATTGGTGCCAAGATAGATGCCTGTGCTGACTTCAGGAAAGGGCACTTAGAGTAACATGAACAAATCGAGCTCCTCTAAGAGTTGATGTCTTTCCTCCTTGGTATTATGTTAAAACGCACCTGAATGCTCCAGACCTGCAAACTGACAAAACATCTGCTTTTTTACCCACTTATTTGCTGATGATCAGTCAATGAAGCGCATTCAATTAGCAGCACCTGGCTGCCACATTCCCTCTTAATTCTTATGGAAGCAGTCAAGGTGTACCTTTTCACAGGACTGCATGGAATCCTGTAAAAGTGTTATTTTTCACATGAGCTGTGAGGAGAGAAGAAAAGATGACTCAGTGACTTGAAAAGGGCAAGCATATCTTTAAGCAGTTCAGCCTAATTAAAGTACTTGGGAATAACAGCTCAAACTGGTGGTGACAAGGGTGGAGAGAGGGTCAAGAGTGCAGTACACTGCATAACATTTCTCTTTCACAGCGTTGAATCATTTCATTGTGCAGGTCAGTTGTATTACATTATTTGCTGATAAATGAAATCGGGGTGGGCGTACAAACACTGACACACAATGAGATACAAACCACAGGAGCTTTCCTGCCTGAGATCAGACAGGCAGACAGCGGAGCTTGTGATGAAGCGTGCTATGAATGCCAGCCCAATGCAGAGTGTGGGCGAAACACGAATGGAAGGAGTCTGACATTTTAAGCCTCTTACAGAGGGCAGAGAAGCAGTGAATGTGCAGTAGTATCATATTCCTGCATATTGCCCTGTGTCTTGCCTTGAAGGGTAGTTACGTTATTATAATGGATTAAGATGTGTAACCTGACTGAGGCTCTTAGTGTAACTACAACTTGATAGCAAGGATAATGTTGGAGGAACAGTTAATATTGAAGGATCTTTGCATATTGTTGCTCTTTTTACAATTTCACAAATAAGCAATTTTGTCATCAGTCATCGCTGTTATGTGAAAGTTTTTAAATGCACAGAAACACAGTGATTTGTATTCACCTGCGTGCTCGCTTCCTCCTCTCCTCCACCTTCTGCAGGCCGATGCAGCCACCAGCTTTCTGCGCGCAGCTCGTTCAGGGAACCTGGACAAGGCGCTCGATCACATCAAGAATGGAATCGACATCAACACAGCTAATCAAGTAAGACAGTTTCAGTCAATTCACTGGAACAGCCATCAAAAATCTGCTTACGTTTGTGCCTGTGTGTGTGTGTTTAAGAAAAAATGGCAGCCACTGGTTTCTATAAACAAAAAAGGCAAAACAGGGCTCATATCAAAATCTGTTACAACATTTAAATAAGAATTGTGGTACAAAAATGGTTACATTGCAGCATTACTCTATTTGGTTTTGCTTTTTGAAATGTAAAGAAATTAAAAATTAGCCAGAAATACATAATGGCTCAACTTATCTTGGTGACCGCACCGTATATAAATATATAAATGTATAAATATACCAACACAAGTGATTTGATTGGAAGAAAAACAAAATAAAATAAACATCTGAAAACTGGGCCTAAAGAAACAAAAACAAGAAAGGGTGCTGGGCCAGTCATGCAATGGGCTGTAGGACCCAGAACTTTCCTTACTAAACTAATGAAGTAAGAAGGCTAAAATAACAAGTAAAGCCACAAAAAACAGACTACTAGCTCATCCATTACTCCACGTGGTGTACCTAGGTGAAAATGAGGAACAGAGGAGACAGGGGAGCAGGAAAGAGAAAAGGAGGCGAGAGAAAGCAAATAAAAGAGGAGGGTGTATAACAAGGTCTCAGTGCCAAGCCTTTTTCTCAGTGAGATCTTCCCTAGATCAGTCATCATGCATTCTGGAAAAATGGACAACCTATAGCAATCTATTATCGGTACAAGTGAATTAGCTTTGACTGATCTAATAATCATACCTTTCTTTTTCCAAATCCACCATGGAGTTAGTATTGGAGTAATAAACATTTCAGTGCACTGTTAAAAGTGAAAGAGTACCACTGAACAAGAGCACATAATAGGAGCAGACCAAGCTTTATTGTTTGGTCTCTTAATGTTTCTCAGGAGAAATTTCTACCAGTGCAGTAAAGAAATTTGTGACACTTAATGTGCCCTTGCACATCTCTTGCCCTCCTGTTCATTTATTACTTGCTCTAGGGCAGCATGTTGGGAACGAGTTTTGTCTGCTTGTACTGTTTTTATTTAATCACTTCTTGCAAGATACCTTTTATAAAATATCACACCATTATACTATTTTTGGGACAAATGGGACCTGTAATTACACCATTGAGCCAAACCTTTAGGAAGATCCATCCTTGATATGATAAAACCCTGATAACTCATTTAAAAAAAATCTTTAAACCATCATTAAAGTATTCTCAGCAAGATTATGGATAAAAGTAGAATATATACACATGAGTGAATGGTGAAGTTTTTACACCAGGGCAAATCCTACTAGTAAAATATACTCACTAACTACTGTCGCAGGTATGCTATGCTGGTAGTAGGTTGGACTCCCTTTTGCCTGCAGAACCTTAAATATTCATGTTAGAGATTCAAAACATTGCTGGAAAGATTCCTCAGAGCCTTTAGTCCATATTGACATGATGAGCATCACACAGTTTTGAGCTTTCTGCGACTGTGAGTTATCATGCTGGATGCAGCCATCACAAGACGGTCATAAGGGGACAGACATGATCAGCAATAATACTCAGGCAGGCTGTGGTATATAATCATTCCTAAGTTATTTCTTATGAAGCCCAAAGTGTGACAAGAAAATATCCTTAACACCATCACACTACTGAAAAACGGGACGATCGCATTTTTTACACCGTTTACTCCAAATTTTGACCCTGCCATCTGAATATCTCAGCAGAAAATGAAACTCATCAGACCAGCCAATGTTTTTCCAATATTCTTGCACGTGCCTGTGCACGGTAGCTAACAAGAGCGGCACTGAGTGTGGTCTTTTGCCACTATACCCCATCTGCTTCAAAGTTTGATGTGTTGTAACTTCATACATGGTTCTCAGCACACACTGGCTGTAATGAGGGGCTATTTGAGTTGCTGTTGCCATCTTATAAAATCAAAGCATACTGTCCATTCTCCCCTTACCTTTGACATCAACAACTGGATTTTCTCTTTTTCTGATCATTTTCTGCGAACCCTAAAGTTGGTTGTGTGGGAAAGTCCCAATAGATCATGTGTCTTGGTAGCTTTTCAGTCATCCAGCTAATGTTGAGTGCTTTCACGTGTCATCCAAGAGGTTTCTTCAGTTCTAAACTACGGATAAAGAGTCCGAGGTATGCAACCCCCCTTGAAAATGGTGTTGAAGGTCATTGGCCCACTATTATCCTCGTAAGTCGTCACATGAGGCAAGCTGTGAAAAAAAGCATCGAACATTAGCATCGCAGGGGCCAAGGTCTGAAACCTCTGCAAGACATTTTGAGCTACTAAGGTCACCTGAGGAACGCAGGATGGGCTGAAACGCAATGAATCAGCAGTTTCTGTAATACTTAAATCAGCCAGTCTGGCACCAACAACCATGCAACATTCAAAGTCACTTCAGTTAATTTTCTTCCCGATTCTGAGCCTCTGAACTTCAGCAGGTCATCTTGACCATGTCTAAATGCACTGAGCTACTGCCTTGTGATTTGCTGATTTTATATTTACATTAACAAGCAGTTGAACAGGCATACTTAATCAAGTAGCCAGTGAGTATATGTACTCAAATCTGTACTGTAAGTACTTTGCCTTGATGATTAATGTTTCACTAGCTTAAAGAATTAAATTATAAATAAAAAAGTGGAAAGATTGATTTCCCTACAACATATATAGTACTGTAGCTCTTTAGCACTAAACTGTAGGAAAGAAAGGTTTTCCCTTGCTAAGAATATCAGGATTAAAAAACAAGCTAAATAGATAATTGCAGTTTATTTTCATTCTATTTTGCCATTAAACAAACTGCATAGATTTTTGTCATTAGAGGAATACTTAATGCCATACCATTATTTCAGTGTTATCAGTAGAGTGCTATTTTGCAAAATCAGCAAAGGATTTAAATATAAACCAAAAAGAAAATTAACTATTCATGACTCCTAGACCCCCCTGGATTTCTTTCATTTTGTAAAGTAGGGTATATTAATATTTAAGTACAGTTGTGGTCAAAAGTTTACATATGCTCATCATGGTCATGAATGCCATGATAATTTGGGATTTTTAATGATTTTGTTGAACTGTTCTATTTCCGGGGTGGAATGACTACATAACACATCTTTAATGACTAGAAAATACGAATTGGATGCACAAGGTTGAATTTTGGGGCGGGTGGTTATAATCCACACACAGTCAGATATATATAAATATACACCCCAACTAATATTTGGTTACATTTCCCACTTTAGATAGCCATCAGCATAAGCCTGGCTGGATATTTGACCACTCTACTTGGAAGATGGGGTTGGTGGGGTTAATTTACAGTTGGGGAAATAATTATTTGAACCCCTGCTAAATTTGTAAGTTTGATCAATTACAAAGAAATGAACAGTATCTAATTTTATGGTAGTTTTGTTTTACTGGAGAGAGAGAGAATACCAACCAAAAATCCAGGAAAAAAACATAGTACATAAAAGTTTGTTTAGGCTGGCTGTGGCATGGGAGGATTTTTAGTGACTGACGAATGCTTTTATACATGGATAAAACACCGCTACTGAAATGTAAGTCATTTTTGACAGTTAATGTTTACTCTCAGTATGTGATGCACTACTGATGGAAGTAATGCAATTCAATTGTATTTTATATAGCACCAAATCACAACAACAGCTGCCTCAAGGTGCTTTATATAAGGTAAAGACAATAATGCAAAAGAGACAGAAAAACCCAACAATTATAAGACCTCCTATGGTCAAGTGCTTTGGTGACAGTGGGAAGGAAAAACTCACTTTTACCAGGAAGATACCGCAAACAGAACCAGCCTTAGGGACTGGTGGCCATCTGTCGTGACCATTTGGGGTGAGGGAAGGAAGAGTAACACACAAATAAAATAACAGTGGATGTGCAGTGGATTTCACTAATCACTGTGGGTCACACTTCAAAATGAGAATTGCATCAGTACATATTACACATTACATTACACAGAGTTTGTAATTGCAGAGACAACTCCATTCATTTTGGGCATGTCATTTTCAAGCAGGAAGCTCAGAAAGCCCTTTGGTTTGCTTTGGTTTGGTAGTGTGGGGCATTTAATAAACTCAGATTTATTTCACAGGATTGGAAGAGTTAAGTAAAAAAAAGTAAAAGAAAAGTTAGATGTCTTTGATTATGATGGTTTCCTGGTACCATATTGCCTAGAATTCTGCCATAAAATTGGCCCTATACAATGGCATCACTTTTTTCCCTTTATATTCTTTGAAAACAAAGAATATGTCAATAAAAGATGCATACTCGGGCCAGTGTGAAATTGTCAGTCTTCAGTATTTAGAATATTTGCATTTCATCGTTATTGGCTGGTTAGCTTGCAGGTGTGGTAGAGGAGCACTTGGTGATTTCATGGGCAGAAATCTCTATGCAGACCTACAGCCACACCAGAGAGCAGGATTTGACCTGGAAGCCTTGGTTTCTCAGTAGTTACTATTGTTAATAGAATCTAAAAAACTTGGATTTAATACCCACAATTCTGATCATTTTTAAGTTATTAAATATTGTTTTTATCTTATGTTTATTTGTTTACTGTTACATTGATGTCTTTTTGCTCATGATGAAAGCAAGGGCAGACATGGTATATTTATATATGATATATATTATATGTGATTCTGCAGCAATGATCTGGCCTTGCTACAGAAATACAGGCTGTTCTTGGTTTACCTGTACCTACCTAACTAATTTTCATAGCTATTCCATTATTCGTGTGTTATGATGAAAAAAGAAAAGAAATCTCACCCTGTAGCTGCTTCAATCACATCTACACACAGCAGACATTCACACGTTACAGTGTGTGTAATTGCCTTTGATACAAAGTGTGTTTCCCATCAGAGCGCATGCTCGCAGAGATGCTCTGTTACCCATTTGAATTGAGTGACACTGCAGTATGATCAGAAGTCTGAGAGTTTGTGGATCACTGAGACTCCTGGTGGCCAGATTGTTTACTACAGGCAGACTGCATCTTCTACAAACATCAGTAATTCACTGTGCAACTAAGCTGCCACAAAAAAGACAGATAATCACAAAGAGAGACAAACCATGCTGAGATAAAACAGCTGTCTCATTTTTTCAGAACTGAGCCCTCGTGCTGTCACAGTGGGTTTATCCGTTATTTTTAGAGACACTCTAACTAGACAAGTGATGTTCTGCACAGCTAGAGAAAGTGAGCATATGTTGCTGCACTCACAGGGGTGAGTGGCTTCCTAATTACCTGTCAATGAAGTGGGTGGAGTTAGAACCGATGGAGAACTGTATAAGCTTTGGAGTCTGATTATGTTCAGCAGCAAGTCCTACACATTATACTCAAACCACAGCATGGATAGCATATTGTTTCCTTTTCTCAAAGGTCATAAAATGCTTTCATGTCTAAGCTTTACTATTATAGCTTTGGTGGGAGTTGTTTGTGTAACTAAATCTCTCCATTTCCTCCTTAAGAATGGTCTTAACGGGTTACACCTCGCCTCTAAAGAAGGCCACGTCAAAATGGTCTTGGAATTACTCCATTCTGGCATTGAGCTGGAAGCAACTACAAAGGTACATTTTTTTCTGTTCTCTCTGTTTCTATGTTTCCAACTTGAAGTGAGTGAACCGTGGTAACTGCCACACTTTCCCAAAACTTTTCTTATTTTACTATTTTAACTCAGGGTTTGTTTAGTTGAGTTGAGTTGTAAATACTGGGACCAATGGAAAACTACACTTACAATACAGATACACAACATTTTTTTAATGTAATACTTTTGTATTTAAACACAGTTTAAATAGACAGTTTAAGTGTTTCTCATTTATACCAAAGGTATTTATTGATGAACAACTAAATAAACTAAAACAAAGTTTTCCTGCTTTTAGTCGGTATAGCTTTTTTAATCTTATACACACTACACAGACTAGATTTCACTGTTGAGTTCTCAGTGTAGCGATCTAGGCCATTAGGCTGTAATAATTGCCCTCTCACTCACTTTAATTTTCTTTTCTCGCCTTCTCTGTGGTTTTTTTATGTGACCTCAAGAAAGGGAACACTGCTCTCCATATCGCAGCGCTGGCAGGGCAGGAGAAGGTGGTGGCTGAGCTCGTCAACTATGGTGCCAATGTTAATGCCCAGTCACATGTGAGTCGCCCCAAGCTGCGTAGAAGGGTTGAACGTATGAGCCAAGTGTGTCGAGTGTATATGTGCATTTGTGCGTGTTTTGTTCCTGTTGAATATGTGTCACAGCAGCTGATAAATCATTTCTCTGCATATTTATATATAGTATCTGTACTCATAAACATGTGTGCGTCTGTGTCCTCGGAAAGATAAGCACCTGTTTTGTATCCAGTACTTTACCCATAAAGGTAAAGGTAGGATGCTTTTAAAAACTGATACAATTTTTTATTTTTGCAATTTTTATTCATCATTAACCTTTTAAAAAAGTGCAGTACAAAATTTTCTGACGCCTCTTTGCTTTAAAGACAGAACCAATTCTGCTGGATGCAGTTAATAATTAATAGGCAGGATTGTTTGGGGCAAAGTTTGTTACCAAACTTTAGCTGTATCAGTGTCCTCTGTCCATTCATGTAATCTAAGGCTAACTGCATAATGTTTGGATTAGGCCTCTATGAAAATATGGGTGCTTTGAAAATAGTTCTTCATGACTCAGGCTTTACCTTTGGATTGTTGTTCATAACTGCTCTAACTTTTGCATAGTAGTATACATGTGTATGCATATGTGTGTTTGTTTTCTGACATCACCACTTGCAGTATAGGTGGATGTCCATTTCTTGTGTGTTTTTTCTACAAAATGTATTTATGTCCCAACAGAAAGGGTTCAGTCCTCTCTACATGGCAGCACAGGAGAACCATTTAGAAGTGGTCAAATTTCTGCTTGAAAATGGTGCCAATCAAAGTCTCCCAACTGAGGTATGTGTCTTTCAACAGCCTGTTTATTGTTGGGTGTTTCCTGACAAACCACACTGATGATGGGTCTTTATTATAAGAAACTGTAGGATGTGTAAAGTAGTCAACAATTGTGCCAATGCGAGAGGGTTTACCAAATGGAAATTTCCTTAATTAACAACAACAAAACTTTAATTGTCAACAAACATTGCGGGATCATGTAAATACAATTAACAATAGAAAATAAATAGGAACATATTTAGTGGTTTTAATTGATAGAACAAACAGAAATTGTCGGGCAAGAGGATATAATTTGAAATCACATTGTCTCTAACATGCTAACATCTAACATCTCCCTTTATTATGCCTGCTCTCATTCCATTTTGTTTTGGCCTACCTTTTCTGTCACCTATCAATGTACATACTTGAATTGGTGTGTTGCACCGTTTTCATTGTAAGAGTCCTACAAAAAAAAAAATAGTTGCAGTCTATTTTTAGTGACAAAAAAGTGGTTCGTCCTTTAATTAACCTCCTCTTCTTCTTCTCTCCTCTCTGTTTCTCTTCTGCTTATTGTCCCCTCCCTCAGGATGGCTTCACTCCCCTTGCAGTGGCCCTACAGCAGGGCCACGAAAACGTAGTGGCACTGCTCATCAACTATGGCACCAAGGGCAAAGTCCGCCTCCCTGCCCTGCACATTGCTGCAAGAAACGATGACACGCGCACTGCTGCAGTTCTCCTGCAGAACGACCCCAACCCTGATGTTCTTAGCAAGGTATGCATTCACTGAGTATGGGTAAACTAAACTGTCAATAAGTCAGTCAAAAAGAAAAGATGTTGCATGAGCACAAAAATGCAGCTGATAAGGAAGTTCTTTCAATTAATTATACACATTTAAGGAAAATTCTGTAATCTCCTTCCTTCTTTTATCTGTAAACCTTTCACATTGTCCTTATTTAGTAAATATTTTTAAACTGTTGCTTGCTAATGCCCATTGTGTGTCTATCTCTCTCTTTCTCTTTAGACTGGTTTCACACCTCTGCATATTGCAGCTCACTATGAAAATATGAGTGTAGCCCAGCTGCTGCTGAACAGAGGAGCGAATGTAAACTTTACCCCCAAGGTCAGTTTAATATTATAAAACATAACGATTTGCTTTTCTACATATATATCTACATGCAGAAGCTTTTAATGTAAATATAGCTGGGATATAAATTATACTATAAGCATAAAATTGACTTGATTTATTGACTTTGATTGTTTAGAATGGCATCACACCCCTTCATATAGCCTCTAGGAGGGGCAACGTAATGATGGTCAGACTATTGCTGGACAGAGGAGCACAGATTGATGCCAAAACTAAGGTACTAAGCTGCAATTTAACATCTTCTACATTTCCCAGCCTGATTTTGGAGTTTGTTAGTCTGCACTTCATGGTGTTTATTTCTTGTCTAATTTGCTTCACTTCTCTCTTTGTAGGATGAGCTGACTCCTCTCCACTGTGCAGCTAGGAATGGTCATGTTCGCATTATTGAGATCCTGCTAGAACACGGTGCTCCCATCCAGGCTAAAACCAAGGTAGGTGGATTTTGTGAAATATTGCACTATGGCTGATCTATGGAGGTATGCTCTGTGGAAAAGAGGACTGAAAGTCGTTAGAAGCAAGACGAACTACAAGCTGCAAGAACCAGAAGTGGTGAAGTTAGATGAGTTCTAATACCTGGAGTCAACCATCCAAACCATCCAAAGTAACAGACAGTGAACAAGAGATGTGAAGAACAGAGTGCAAACAGGGTGGACAGAAGAATAGCAGCAAGAGTGAAAGGGAAGGTTTTAAAGTTGTGAGACCAGCCATGATGTTTGTTTGGAGAAAAGGGTAAGTGACAAAAAGACTGGAGGCAGATACGGAGGCGGCAGAGTTGAAGATGCTTAGATTTTCATTGTCCATAACAAAAGTTTGTCTATTAGAGTGACAGCTCAGGTTCAACAGTTTGGAGACACAGTTAGAGAGGCAAGCCTGAGGTGATTTGGCCATGTGAAGAGGAGGTATAGTGGATATATTGGACGATGTTGGACATAGGTTAAATATAGAGCTGCCAGACAGGATGACAAGAGGAACACTCCAGAGGAAGTTCATGGATGAAGTGAAGGAGAAGTTTGGTGTGACAGATGAGCATACTACAAATAGGGTGAGATTCCTGACAGAAGGAGAAGCAATCACCATGGCTGCATGTTTCATTAATGTGGAGTCTTTTCCACATTTAGCTACTGAGAAAATCCCATGATGACTCAGTCAGTGTCAACTCTCCAACCTGCTCTGCCTCCATATAGCCTACAGTTGATCGCTGGAGTCCCTATCGTATTGTTCTTTCCTACAGAACGGTCTATCCCCCATCCACATGGCAGCTCAGGGGGATCACATGGACTGTGTCAGGCAGCTACTCCAGTACAATGCTGAGATTGATGATATCACACTCGACCATTTAACTCCTCTTCATGTAGCAGCCCACTGCGGTCACCATCGCATGGCCAAAGTTCTCCTGGACAAGGGGGCCAAAGCCAATGCACGGGCTCTTGTGAGTAACCGTTTTCTTTTGAGATAATTTCTATTAAGTTACTGTGGAAAGTTTTAGGCAATGAATGCGATCTCTATGGCATTCATACATTCTAGGATCTTGTGTTAATGAGGAACTAACTGTAGCAGTAATTTGATATTCTCCGTTTCTCAAAGTTGGCATAAACTCAGCTCACATTGCTTTGTCTTCTGCCCTTAAATGAGTTATAGTTGTGTTCAGTTCAGCAAACTTCTAAATTAGTAAAAAAAAAAAAAATCTTTATATTAAGTCCTTTAAAAATAACGTTTTCTGTAATTTTGAGTTGAAAATGTACAACCCATTTTTAAACTGAAAAGTCAAAAATCTTCAGCACTGTGATTTATTTCTGAGCTGTTTTTTTACTATTTTTTTATGTTTGCAGAATGGCTTCACACCTTTGCATATTGCTTGCAAGAAGAACCACATGCGGTCTATGGACCTGCTGCTTAAGCACTCTGCTTCCTTAGAGGCTGTCACAGAGGTAGGATGGTGTGACCACGAGGAAAAGGGTCTAAAAATTAACAAATCCTTATCCCGATGTGCAAGCCCTCACCCTGACAGTTGTATGGTACTTGACAGAGCTAATCACAGCTCTCTAAATCGCTGCCACCATCATTGATAGTAATCCACATAGGCCAGACAGACGTGGCTAATGAGGTTAAATGTAATTTAGCCTATTTATAATGCATGAGTTTGATGTGCTTTTCTTTTCTGTTTTTTGTTCACAGTCTGGTCTCACTCCTCTTCATGTAGCAGCTTTCATGGGGCATCTGAACATAGTGAAAAACCTGCTCCAAAGAGGGGCTTCACCCAATGCTTCCAATGTGGTGAGCACTGCTTTTCTCATCCCAGAACAGAACAAATTGAATCTGACTGAAAGGGGAATAAAGTCACTCCTTTGGAGATCTGTTTTGTGGAATGCATATTAAATAATAATTAACTACTGGATTACTGAAATTAAAAGGCCAATCTGAACCATGGCCTTTAATACTACGATAGAGGATTAAAACAAGATTTACTCTAAATTTTAAAAAATATGTGTGTTTGAACTTTATCAGAAAGTTTTAAAACTCAAAATAAATAAATATAGAAACTTTTCATTGTAGGTTGTTACAGATGGATGAACTGCAAATGTCAGTATACATATGGACCCTTATATACACATTTGGGGTGCTATTTTGTCATTTGAGTAACTACCTGTATTTATCTACATCAGAAAGTGGAGACTCCTCTTCATATGGCCTCCAGAGCAGGACACTGTGAAGTTGCTCAGTTCCTGCTCCAGAACTCAGCACAAGTGGATGCCAAGGCTAAGGTATGAGCTGAGTAGTAGTACTAGTAGTACTACCAATGCTTCCAAGCAGAACACGGAGGGTCAGCCTGTCCATGCCACTAAATAAACAAAACAAAACACAAAACAAATATTTCTACAAGCTCCTCTGGGTGCAAAGACCGCCTTTTATCATTTGAGGAATATAGCCAGAATCAGACAAGTTTTGTCAAGCGACACTGCAGAGGTTCTTGTCCATGCATTTGTGTCTTCACGTATTGATTATTGTAATGCTCTTCTTTCTGGGCTACCAAAGAAAAGTTTTAGAGGTCTACAGATGGTGCAAAATGTAGCTGCTCGCATTTTAACAAGAACTGGGAAAGTTGAGCACATTAGCCCTGTACTGAGATCTCTTCATTGGCTACCTTGTCAGGTTCGAGCAGATTTTAAGGTCCTGCTGCTCACCTACAAGGCTTTAAACGGACTGGCACCTTCATACCTCTCTGACCTTTTACACCATTATGTCCCATCCCGTGCTCAGGACTCAGGACTCTGGCCTTCTAAAGGTTCCTAGAGCCAGAAAAAAGACAATTGGAGAGCGTGCTTTTTCTTTCCATGCCCCGTTTCTGTGGAACAACCTCCCTCGAGATATTAGGCAGGCATGCTCTTTGGAGGTTTTAAAAACTAAGCTGAAGACACATTTGTTCACCCTATCTTACATGTCTTAATTCTACGGCTTTTCGTTTTTGAATTCTTACTGTTTTAACTTATTATTATTATTATTGCTGTGTATCGCTTTTATTTATTTATCTTTTCAGTTTCAAATAGCTGTACAGCACTTTGTTTGAAAGCGCTTTATAAATAAAATTATTATTATTATTATTATTACTAGTAATAGTACCTTATTCAGCACCCAAAACAAACTTACAAATGATCGTGCAGCAATTATCAGTCAATCACTGATCTTTTTAAGTTGTCACAAACAATGCATAAAGGCTGTTTCATGTACACAGTGGCAGGTTTTATTAGGCATGATGTTTAATTTCCCGATGCTCAGCTGTATCTGTTTTCCAACTTGAACTAAACTCATTGTCCTCTGTGTCCAGGATGACCAGACACCTTTACACTGTGCAGCCCGTATGGGCCACAAGGAGCTTGTCAAGCTGCTCCTTGAGCACAAGGCCAGCCCTGACTCAGCTACAACTGCAGGTCACACACCTTTACACATTGCAGCACGTGAAGGACATGTCCAGACTATTCGAATATTATTGGATGCTGGAGCGGAGCAAATAAAGATGACAAAGGTAAAATCAGAATTAAGATTAAATGCTCAGTTAGTGCAGACCGCGTTTTATTGCTAACTGAACCGCTTCTGGCAAAAGATGACCGTTGAGGTTATTTGAGTCTGTCTTATGCTAAATTAAATCATTTAAAATAATTTTATCAGCTAAATATAAGCACAGATAGCCACAAATAGTTACATATAGTAAAACCCCATATTCAGAAACATTGTGGTGTACAGATGCAACTGAATCTTTGACAAACATCTTAGTCTTTTCTTCTTCTTCTTCATTTGAGTAGAAAGGTTTCACTCCCCTCCACGTGGCCTCCAAATATGGAAAGGTAGATGTGGCTGAACTCCTTCTGGAAAGAGGAGCAAACCCAAATGCAGCTGGGAAGGTGAGCCAGTCTGTACTTTTGTTGACAGGCAGTGAGGAGCAGTTCATTCTGCAAGTTTGACCCCACCCCGAGATAATTTTGTTTTCAGCTAATTGATTGATTACCATGGTATGTGTTTCATATATACATGTTTCTGTGTGGTTTTTTTGCATATGTGTGTGCATCTGTGGGTTATATATATGTTCATGCGTATGTGTGTGTGTGTGTGTGTGTTTGTGGTTAACAGAATGGTCTGACACCCCTTCATGTGGCCGTCCATCACAACAACCTGGATGTTGTTAGACTCCTGGTCAGCAAGGGAGGATCTGCACACAGCACTGCCCGAGTAAGATGTTCACACATATGTGTGTGCACATTAGAGGCAGGCCAGCATAACCTGCCAATCCATGACTGACAATCATACAAAACAGGCTAAATTAGAGTGATTCTCAAGCATACATTGACTTGCATAGCAAACTTTGTACTGGCAAGTGCTCTCTCACAGCAGCGTTTAAGTTATATGCTGGAAGAATAGCAATGTCCACTTTTTTATTTCTGTTTTGTCCTTGTTTCTTTCTGCAGAATGGATACACTCCCCTTCACATAGCAGCCAAGCAGAACCAGATGGAGGTGGCCAGCTGTCTTCTTCAGAATGGGGCATCGCCCAATTCTGAGTCCCTCCAAGGCATCACGCCCCTACACCTGGCTTCACAGGAGGGACGGCCTGACATGGTGGCTCTGCTCATTTCCAAACAGGCCAACGTAAATCTTGGAAACAAGGTATAATATTAGAATGGAGAGAATTGATCATGTTCTAAAGAGTAAAGTTTAATTCCTGTAGTTTTATATGTGCTTTTTTAAAATTATTATTAGATTAATATACTGTCCAAACAATAGATAAACTATGATGCTCATTCCTCTGGTCGTTCTTTGTAGAATGGACTGACTCCTCTGCATCTTGTGGCCCAGGAGGGTCATGTGGGCATCGCAGACACTTTGGTCAAACAGGGGGCATCTGTTTATGCTGCTTCACGTGTAAGCTACATCGATTCCACTGAATACACATAGACATAAAATACCATGTGTGTGTGATGAACTGAAGAGATGGCATCTTTTGTCTTTATACAGTCTTGTGCGCCAAATGACTAAGCACATATTTGCCCGATATTTAGACTGACAATTAATGGGTATCACTAAAGCAACTAAACAACAGCTTGCTGTCTTTCTCTCTTTGGCTCAGATGGGCTACACACCCCTTCACGTGGCCTGTCATTATGGCAACATCAAGATGGTGAAGTTCCTTCTGCAGCAGCAAGCTCATGTGAACGCCAAGACAAGGGTAAAATTCCTTGTCAGCACCCCCCCCCCTTTTTTTTTATCATATTTAGTTTCTTCTTTTGTCCGTCAAAACTTTTTTATCGCTTTCTTTTTTGCTGCAGATGGGCTACACCCCTCTGCACCAGGCAGCCCAGCAGGGCCACACAGATATTGTCACACTCTTGCTGAAACATGGAGCCCAACCCAATGAGATCACCTCGGTGAGAAACCTTTACTAAACCCTTCCTTGTGCAGCAGTTTTTCTGAAGGAACAAACATGTGATAACAAATAAAGAAATTGCCTTCAGTAGAATAGTTAGCACTAGATTAGATTCAGATCACAGATCATCATCATCATCATCGCTCTCTTGACTGATAAACATTCCTATCCTGTTAAATATTTCTCTGTAAACGTTTTTCCACATGCACAATGTATGTGTGTTCACTGTCAGGACTATTATTTACTTTTTTAGTTGCTGTGACTACGTTGCAATGAAACTTTTTTTTTTCAGTGTGTACTCTGGAGCTAGAGTTCCCCAACTAAAATTGATGTTGCATCCTATTTTGTCTATCCATTTATTTTACATCAGTATTTTTAATTTTTGATACTTTGTTCAGAGATTATTTTTACATCACTACATACACCTGACAGCCCTAATTGGTTAGTTAGATTTTAAATTAAGATTTTGACAGGCACAATTTATGAAAGGCCTGAAAGATGCAGTTTAAGACCTAGTAATTAAACCGCAAAATTTAATAGCTTTTTTTTTGTCTTTCCATTCACTAGTTTTGATATATTAGAAGTTTGGACATGTGTATAACTATGGTGGATACTGTCCAGTATATGTTTGTTGCAGCCTGTAGGATATATCAGTTCACCTTTTGCCTTCATTTTTCATATTTTTTTATTTATGTTGTAGATGTGTACCGTAATTCTAAAAACTATATTTCTTACAGGACTCCATGCAGTCATGATAAACTAAGTATACCTTGTAGCTTGTAAAACAACCTTTAGCTGCAACAACTTGAAATAATGATTTGCTGTATGACTTTATAATTTACAACATTGCATTAGTTTATGGAGGTTTGCAGGCATTCATTTATATACAGATCTCTTATGGTCCCATCACAGCATTACAGTCAGGCTGAGGTCTGCACTTTGACACTGTGACACCTTGATTCCTTTCTTTTGCGGCCATGCTGTTGTATACCAGCCAACCTTTAGCTCTTGGACAGATGGCCTCAAATGTGACAGATTTCATGGTCAACTCAATGAATACAAGGCGCCCAAGCTGCAAAACAAACCCAAATCATCACCCGTCCAGTACCAGCATGCTTGGCAGTTGACATGAGGTATTTGTTTTTGCCAAACATGGTGCTGAGCAGTATGGCCAAACATCTCCTCTTTGGCCTTGTTTGTCCAAAAATCTCTTGTGGTTTCTTCAGATGCAACTTGGCAAACTTCAGCCATACTGTCCTGTTCTTTTGAAGGAGAAGAGGCTTCTTCCCGGAAACCCCATCAAATAAACCATACTTGTTGAAGTTGATTTTAATAGTCAACATGCTAGCAGAGACCTGTAGAATCAGAGCTGTAGCTCTTGGGTTTTTTGCACTTTCTGAGAATTGTAGAGAATCTGTTGGGATGTTGACTCCTGGCAAGATTGTGGTATTTTGTCTACAAACACCTGAATGCTTTGAGATCTTCTACTTTTGTTTTTCACAGGACACTAAAATACTTCTTTTTCCCAAGAGTATATGTTTTCTACAGGAAAGAATAAAGTTCTTAAAATCTGTGGAAATGATTTTAGTAATTTTAATTATCTGTCTCCGTGTAGAACGGCACGTCTCCCCTGGGCATTGCTAAGAGGCTGGGTTACATCTCTGTCATCGATGTGCTCAAGCTGGTAACCGAGGAGTCCGTTTCTGCGGTGAGCATGGTTCACCTAGTTACACCAGTACATGAAGAAGAAACGTTGACCCACCATGATCAGATGTTCACTGAGCAAACTCTGTTTTCCTAATTACATTCAGCTCCCTCACTGCTTGCAAATTAACTCCCACCCTGGTTCTCCACAGATCACGACAGAGAAGCATCGGATGAGTTTCCCCGAAACTGTAGATGAGATTTTGGATGTTTCAGAGGATGAAGGTAGGCTGTCTTATTTGATTATGTTAAAAGCATCAACTGTGCAGCTTTGATAATTAACTTTCAGCTCTGATTTTGGTAGAAGACGAGCGCATGGGAAGTACACTGACATGTCGAAGTACCAGCATGAATTTGACTGTATATGTGCGACTGTTTATAACACCCTTTTCCATTTGTCTTGTAGGGGTTGCCCAGCTAACGTTAGGTAGGACTGTGTCTGTATCTCTGCCTTGTCCGGTCCGGTGACTCGTAAACTTGTGCCTTCATTGCAGTTGCACTTTCTCATTTTCTCTGTGTGTCACTAAATGTCTTTCTAATCAGTTCTACTTTCGACTCCAGCCCTGTTTGTTATCCTCTATTTTCTCTGTCTTATCTTTGATCTCTCCTGTTCTCCCTCTTGTTCAGAGATTTGCTTTTTCTTTAAAAAGTCTGTTTGTCATCAGCATGTAGTCACAACATTTTCCTTTTACCAGCACATATCTGGTCATGGATCTATCATTGACAGAACTCCAATATTTCTGTATTTAAATTTAAATGGCTCCCTTGCAGTGCAGCGTTGCTGTTCCTCCTGATTTTTACAGTGTAATTGATCCATAAACGGATAAAACACATACTGTGGCAAAGCTGTGACACTTTCCAGCAAACAGCTCCAGTTTATACAGTCATCGGCCTGCCTTAAAAATCTAGAAAAAATAAACCAAATTCGAATCTTTTCAACACGTTTTGGAAGCATTTTTTCCTTTTGCAATGTGTTTTCTTGTTTTTATACTTGTTTAATTTTCTCACTTTTTACTTCTTTAACATTTTTTTGCTTTGTTTTCCTGAACAGCTTATACGAATGGGTGCTAAAGTGTCTGTCTTGTGAAGCGGTTTAAAGTTGTTGTTATAATTATTATTTTAGTATCATTCCTATTTAATAATTAAGGTGTTTTCTCCTACACAGAAACAACCATCACCACATGTGATTTCATCTTTAATGGGCATGCTCACTAAAAAAGCTGTCACCAGGTGCCTTGCAGTTTGCTGTCCATGCAGTGTCCTAAACTGTGTTGATATTCACTGTCTTACCAATCCTCTTCTTTCACTACTTTGGTTTCCATCGGCTCTGGTTGTTGTTGGTTTGACTCCATTGCTTGGACTAAAATGTTTGGAACTGCTTTGTGGCCATTTTTTTCTGTGGTTTGGTGAAGGGATGGGAAGGATGGTGGAGTAGTAATTACAGATTTCATCTGGGGATTATATCAAAATTGATTTTACTCGAATTTGAAGAGAGTTCAAGGTTTTGAGAGCATTTCTCATAAAATACATTTTGAAACAACTTGAAATGTATTGAGATAAACTGATATTTATTGGGAGAACTTGTCCTTAATTTAAAGTTTACTCCGTATCCCCCTGGTGTCATCCTTTTCTCTCTTACTTCCTTATGTGCTCCTTGCAACCTGTTCCTTACCACTTATTTTTCTCTGTGTTCATTTTCCATGTTCTTTCTAAACATTTCTTTTACATTTTTACCACAGGAGACGAGTTGCTGGGGATGGACGGAGCTCGCTATTTGAAGCTTGATGATTTTAAGGACCAGGATGATGACTTTCTCTCCCCAAAGAAGACCCTCAGAGACTTTGAGGGCGGCATGGGCACCACGTAAGTCAGTGTGAGGTGGTGTGACGAGGAGTCTTTATGTGAAGAATGCCTAATATGATATAATTGAAAATGAAATTTGAGCTGGCGATTAAATTACTGACATAGCTCTTTTATCCTTACCTTAGATTATGAGAAGCAGCAGAGTGAGCTCATATGATTTTATTAGAATTTTGATAGCGGTGTCATATTCAGCGATGGTTTCTTGTCTTACCTTATTCCTACCTCCTCTTCGACAGTCCATATTCTCCTGCTATTCCCAGGATCCCCTGTGTGTCACCAGAGACAGTTATGCTGGATCAGGTATGCTTAGCTCGTGACTAAGAGTGGCTTTGTAAGCATTTGTTACTTTATCTTATCCTCCTGAGACCTGAGCTCCCATTTGAATACTTTTCTAATTTCTTCTAGCTATTTGGGATTAGTTGGATCTGATAAGTATATAAACTAAGCTTCCTCTTTGAATAGGAAGCCATTGATTTGTTACGTAGTTGTTACATACTTGTATGTACTCGTAAAGGGACACTTAATTTAAGTTAACATTGCTTGACAATCACTTTCTTGTGCAGAATGAAGTTTTTAAGGTGCAAAAAAGAGGCTATAGAAGACAGATATTCAAATGGAAATATCACTAACTTATATTATTGAACCAGATTCTGACTTTTATTCATACCTCTTCCTTTATTATGGTCTTCTCTCTGCTTCATGTTTTATATCACCTCTTTCTCTTTTCATATCAGTCTTTCCCTCCTACTTTTCTCTGGTTTAATCTTCTCAGTCATAGCTGTTTTACAGCCTCAATTTCTCACCGTTTTCCATTTTCATTTCTCCCTCTCTGACCTCAGCACACCCCCGTCCCTTTGCCAAAAGAATATGATGAAGATTCTCTTATCCCAAGCAGTCCAGCTACTGAGACTTCAGACAATGTCAGCCCTGTAGCCAGCCCTATTCACACTGGGTGAGTTATTAAAATGTTTTTCTTCCCCGTTAAACCAAATTTTTAAAATTGCTTTTATGTTAAACAGTATCAGTCGTCGATGCTTCTTGTCAGGATTCTTATTATAGTGTTTTGGCAGACTGTGAAATTTCTGGCTTTACAAAAAAGTAAATAGAAAAAAAAAGTGCAGATAGTGCAGACTTGTTAAAAGCCTATGATGATAGTCAAAAGCATATTATATTTATCATCTATTTTTCTCTTAACCTGATTATAATTAACAAAATTGTTTAAACTCTAATGTCATTAACATTTAAAACTGGCAACCGATTCCATTAATTCATCTACTGAGGTGATAGTTTATGTGACAATAGCATCCTTTACTTATATACAATCTAAAGTGCTCTGTAAACTGCTACGAAAAAGGGCCTAGGTAAATGCAGTCCATTTATGTTTTAATGTTATTGCATAGAGGTATGATACCAAAAGATAAATGGTGGTTGTAATGATTATCAGTGATGATCACGATGATCACAATCCAAATTTACAGATATCTTATATTTAAAGGAACTGCATTCCAGCAATAAACACTTTAATTTATCAATTATGCAAAGTCATAATTTACTGTAACTGTACCTCCATGAGTCAGCTTTTGAAATAGTGAGTATGAAAAGATGACCTCAGACATAGAGACACCTGTATTAAGCCACCGGTATAATGCAGGAGAAGCAGAATCGGGATCTCTTTCAAATCTTTTCACATCATTCTTGCTGAGCATTGCTGCAGATCACTCGTTCTCTCCTGTCATATCCAGACAAGCAAATGAAAAGAGCGCCTACACAGTCAATTGATGTCTTCTTTATGAATAGCATAAACCATGAGCGGGCAAACCAGATCAATTCAAAACACTGCTGAACAAACAGCACATGAATAATCTGTTCCCATCTCGTAGAGCTGGAGGATTTCCCTGACGAAAGTCCAGTCTTTGTGTTTTTTTTCTTTCTGTCGTGTTTTATTAATGTTTAAATGTGTGTTGATAAAGTAAAGTTTACATGTTCTTAATTTATGGCACCATGTAACTCAGCTTCCTGGTGAGTTTCATGGTGGATGCTCGAGGGGGCTCCATGCGAGGCAGCAGGCACCATGGACTACGAGTGATCATCCCTCCCCGAACCTGCGCTGCACCGACGCGCATCACTTGCCGTCTCGTTAAACCCCAGAAACTGACCACGCCTCCTCCACTAGTGGAGGGCGAGGGCCTCGCTAGCCGGATCATCTCCCTGGGGCCGTCCAGTATGCAGTTCCTTGGGTAAATCAGACCTTTCTTTGGTTTATTAACTGAATTTGATCGTATTTGACTGTGCATTTACAGTCAAAGCAAAATACTTTTGTGTGTATTTGAGTGCCTATATGTGCATGTATTTGCGTGGCTCTTAATAGACATGACATGTCCAAGACAAGTTCAGTGATTGTGCCATTTAATGGACAAGACTAGATCATGATGGGGTATTTATAGGAAAATAGTCATTTAAGCAGTTTAAAACTAACCTATCACAGTGTAAAATTACAGAGAATATGGGGATCATCTACGGTACAAATTATCTTAAAAATATTTTTAAAAATCTTCAGAAAGTATTGTACACAAAGGACTAGGTTGAAAACCAATGCTGAAAGGTCCAGAGTCATGCTGGGATGATGTATCAAGCATTTCTGAAAACCATTGTGCGTGAGCACTGGTCATTTTTATTGTACAATATTAAAATTCTAACCATGCAAGGAGAAACATAAAAAGCATTCATAAACATGTCGTCTCTGGACATCAGCTCATTTAAAGAGGACCAGGTCTGACCAATCAAGTGGCAGAGGTTTTTTAGAAGTCACACATGTTGCATCTTCTAAGCTGTGAACATGCACTTCAAAAGGCTGTGTATTAGTGCAAATGGCATTGATAACTTGTACTGTTAATGTTAGTCTGGGCTCTGAACCAGCTGGCCTGTAGTTCAGAGTCATCAATTAGAATGTTTTGGCACACTGTGAAATAAAATAATACCGCAGAGCAGACCTCAGTCTGATGAGTACCAAACCAGGCAAGTAGGGAAATGCATTTGACTTTCAAAACTACAGCATTTAGTCTTCTCTGTTCCCCAAAACCTATAGATTGTCATTAAAAGACGAAGAAAAAGAAGATAAAATATGCACCTCTCCTACCTTTTTCTAAAAACCTTTCTGACATTTCATTCACAGACCAGTGATAGTAGAAATCCCTCACTTTGCCTCACTGGGACGAGGAGACAGAGAGCTTGTGGTGCTCCGCAGTGAGAACGGCTCGGTCTGGAAGGAACATCGTAATCGCTATGGCGACGAAGTACTGGAAACTATTCTGAATGGCATGGATGAAGGTTAGTGGGATTGTAATGGATGTCGCCTGTCAGGGAAACCTTGAGGGGTTGTATTAATCTTGATGTATGTCCCTGGAGTTACAGAAGACAAGCATAGGAAGGTTTTTTTTAAACACAGAAGCTGCCTCCGCAGCATCAGACAGGCTTTATTCCCACAAAGTGTTCATTTAAGACTGAAATTTTCAGCTAGACATGTATCCTAACACCTACCATTACCCTCTTTTTCTTTCCTCTTTATCTCTTTTCTCTGCTTATCTCCACTATTTCACCTAATATAGACTTGGAGAGCCAAGAGGAGCTGGAGAAGAAGAGAATCCGTCGAATGATCTCCACTGACTTCCCCCTCTACTTTGCAGTAGTGTCTCGCATACAGCAGGAGAGTGATCTCATTGGTCCAGAGGGCGGTCGGCTGACCAGTAAGCTGGTCCCCCAAGTTGAAGCCATCTTCCCTGAGACTGCTGTCACCAAAAGAGTGAGGCTGGGACTGCAGGTGAGAATATGAATTGAAAAGAGGCTTTGCACATGTACACTTTTCATAATTGCTTGATTGTTCAACACAAAAACAGATGTTCAAATGAGAAAACAACCAAGACTGTGCCAACATGTTTACCTCTGGCCTCATTTTCTGTTTGTGCTGCTTTCAGTCTACGAGTTCAGATTTGACAGATTTCATGCCATGAAGTTGATGTTATGTGTGTTTGACCAATGAGTCTGAAAATGCTTGAGTTTTGCTATCAGTCATGGAGACCTGATGCGAGACGTGAAGAGGCAGACTGATTTATTTCAGTACTATAAACCTTAATGCTAGAAGAAAGGTCATCACTTGTCATTTGAGATATCCCATCAAATAGTAAATCTATATTTCATTCAGTGTTTTGTGATGTAGCATCAGTTATTATTGGTATTACTGTAAATCATGTACATTTTTTAAAGTAAATTTCTCTTGCCTTGCACTTCATTGTGATAAATTTGCTTTGGTTTATTCAATGAAAATGTAAAAAAAATACATCTACTTCACAAAATAGAGCTGTAACAAACAGTGATATCAAACCGATAGGAAGAAGATTTTCTCAGTTTTTAAACACTGTCAATAAGAATTTCATTGATAGAATAGGTTAATATAGAAAAATTATATACTTTATTAGAACATTTTCAAAATTTGCCTGACCTTTAAGAAGCATCTCTGGTGTTTGCAACACGTGGTGTCTGCCCTGCCAAACAGGAGCTTCTGGCAAATGTATGACTGGCTGTTACTCATCCAGACCTCTGCAGACACCCGTCTGGGAACTTGGCACACACTCATGCTGACTGATCTCTTTTCACACTACACCTACATTTGGCTTTGTTTTCCACAGCAGAAAGATTATGAAGGATTATGGCTTCTTCATTTCTGTTGCTTGGTCACTTGAGTGTACATCGTTTACGTTCTTTGTCATGGCACTAATGTTATGTACGTAAGAAGATTGCATGAGTTTTACTTTGGCTACGCTCGTCTGTTTTCCTTTTTATCCAGCCATTCGTCACTCCTCAGTTCCCCGATTTAAGTTGTGAGCCACAGTGACCAAGCTGATGCACTGATCTGAGTTTATGAATTTGTTGCATGTGTGAGTATGATTGGGAATTTGAAGTTTTAGCCTATTGCACATTTGCTTTTATGGTTTATGGTTTGTTTTCCTTTTTTAAACATTTTGTTTTAATTGTTTGTTGATCCTTGTGGAGTTTCTGTTATGTTTTATTTGTGCTTGAGTTTATCTTTTCCATTCTCCATGTATGCAGCCTTCTCCTCCTGTCTTTTCGTCATGTCCTCAGTGTCCCTTTTTTGCCATTAACACTTTAACATCAGGCACAACCAATCCCTGATGAACTGCTGACCAGGCAGCTTGGTAACCAGGCCACCTTCAGCCCAGTGGTTACCATCGAACCTCGGCGACGCAAATTTCACCGTCCAATCGGATTGCGGATTCCTTTACCACCGTCGTGGAGGGAGAGCCCTCGTGATGCTGGCGAGGGTGATACCACCAGCTTGCGTCTTCTCTGCAGTGTCATTGGTAGGAATAACTTTACAGAGTAATCCCTTTTTATATTTTGTTTTTTCTTGTAACAAACATGAGATACCTAGGATTGTATTCAGGAATTATTACCTTTCTCATTAGGGTACAAACAAAATGATCTGCCACCAGATTATATATTTTTTTGTGTTAAGCAGTTTTATTTACCAATTTGACTTTTTAGAGTAACCTTAAAATGACTCTTTATGGTGGTGAAGGGGAAAATTTGAAATACTGGGGCAAAGAAAATCAGAGCACCAATTCACTAAAATGGACCCTAACAAAACTGATTGATGGCAGTGGACACGTGGGTGTACTTCTGACTCAAACATCACAATATAAAAGGCTCTAATCTCCTGTTTTAATATGCAAAGCAGGGGTCATACATGGAGATGCACTTCTCAAAACAAACATGGCAGCAAAAGAGGAAAGTCGAAAAAATACCATACCAGTCTAAATTCGACTTAAACTGTATTTACATTATGTGAGTTTGAGCCGTCTCTGGAGAAAGACGACCAACATAAAAGGATATTTCTGAGTACTCAACTGGTAATCAAGTAAAAGCAAAAGCAGCATAAAATTACGTGCAAAGAATCTTGTCAGACGGAAATAAACATGCACATTAACAAAATGATTGAGATTCCAATCATGTCTCTGTGTAAGTTGTGTCCTCCATCTGTTAAAGCTGAGCCAAGGAGGACACAGGAAGCAGACAAACAGCAGAGGAACAACAGCTGTCTGTCTTAGCCTTGATTCAGTTGCTTTTATCATTGTAAGACAATTAAATTTTCATGCAGCAGACTAGAAATATTTCTCAAGTTTATCAGATCAATGTCATATAGTGTGGACTTCAGTGTGTGGGAGTCATTACAGGGAGTAGTGAAAAAATGACCAACAAAACTGCCTGGAAGTCATACAAAAGGGACGCTAAACAAATGATGCAAAAAGGAGAAGCCAGGATACTGGATGTATATATTCAAAAAGACAGTCACTAGATAATCGATAATAGGTGGGAGACCTAACAAAGAAAGGAAATCAAACTGATGAAGGTCCAACTTAGACAACATAATGGGACAGTTTTTCCAACACTTGCACATCAATCCAGGTGGAACAGCACCAGCTCAGTGGGAGGACATCACTGGAACCACCAAGCTGATGTACGCCAACAACTGTGCCAATTTTACCACCAATGTGTCTGCAAGGTGAGCTCAGTAAACACCTGTGCAAGCATGTTCCCAGTCAACTTTTTTTCCTGCACTCTTGCACACGTCTGGATTTAGATCCAGCTGGTTTGTTTAATTCTTCTCTGTTCTCCTGCTATATCCAGATTCTGGCTGGCAGACTGTCCACGTACGGCGGAGGTGGTCACCTTTGCCAACCTGCTGTACAGGGAGCTAATGGCAGTCCCATATATGGCCAAGTTTGTTATTTTTGCAAAGATGAATGAGGCACGTGAGGGACGCCTGCGTTGTTACTGCATGACAGATGACAAGATGGACAAAACTCTGGAGCTGCACGAAAACTTCACCGAGGTGGCCCGTAGTCGAGACATTGAGGTGCGCACAGGGGCAAGGCCACAGAAAGCCAGCTTATTAAGGAGCGCAGTTGAACATGTGATTCGTTTTAAGTTCTCTAAAAAGTGGCGGCATCGTGGTGTGGTGGTTAGCACTGGTTCCTCAGACCAAGAAGGTCCTGGGTTTGAATGATGCTGTGTAAAGCAGGGGTCCCCAACTAAAATAACAGGAGGTTCACTACCTCCATCATCCAATCAATCTGGGTTCCGAACACTTTAAATGACCCAACAAAATTATTTTCTTTCATTTCTATTTAACATTTAATTAACAATATAGACTTTTGCCTTGTAACTACTGATCAATTATTCATATGCCATTAAATCATCTGCTGAACCGAAAAGTGTAATCCAGTTCAAGTACTAATATTAAACAAAAAACTATTTAACAATAAAATCATGCAATAATCTTTACCACATCTATTGCACATAACCCAACATTAAGGTGTCTTGATGCATGCTCAATCATCCAGGTAAATCCAAATCAAAAAAGTTGTTTCTGTTCATCTGGACGAACCGTTTTCAGTGGGAGAAACATTTCATTACTCATCCAAGTGACTTTTGAAGAAGAATGGGAAAAGGGAAAGACCACCTTTGAATCGATGAGCGAGCCTAAGGGTACATCTTTCGCTATCTTACAACGCTGTGATTGCAGCCATTCCCCAACTCTCTGTGAATGGTACTCATGGCCATTGATCAATGGTCTTTGATCAATGGGCTTTGATCAGTGGTTGTTAATCAATGGTCATGACAATTTGGATTTTAATGATTAAGAAACTGACCTCACAGCCCATTGTTCATTCAGTGGGCTAGTCATTGTGCAAAGGTACTGTTTGTAACGTTGGGGAAACCTGCAGTCAGCTGACACTAAAAAAATCAGTTGGATGACTGAAAACACTACATCCAGATGAACAGAATAAACTTTTTGGGACAACATTAAGGTGCAAACAATTCACCTAAAAAAACCCTCAATTTTCAGGAAAATTAAGAAGTGCTTTAAAACGGTGCAGTAAATATGTTTGACAAACTCAACACCATGTAACTTAAAACATACTGCAAAACAGTGCTGGCTCTCACTTCAGTGAGAGAAATTTGCATGTACATTTGCAGCTAGCATTTTAAAATTTGGGTGAAATGGGGTCAATGCAGTTCTTAAGCATGCATGCAAATGTTCATTAGTCAGCTGTGAGCGAATTTTGTCCATTCATCTTTAAATGTCAGATAGTCCACTATACATGCTTTTGATAAAGCCATCTTTTTTTACTCATTCAACTGTGCACCGCCAAGTCATCATTCTACTGTCGGCAAGTGCAAGCTCCCAAGCTGTAACTTAGCAACCTGTGTTGAAGGGCCCGCATTGGTTGTTCTTCTTTAGCGTTTTTTTTGGTGGTTGGTGGTGCAATACCGCCACCAGCTGGCTTGGAGTGTGGACTAGAAAGTCACTGATCCACATAGCTGCCCATCACGCCTGTTCAAAAGTTAGCCATGGCAGCCGGCAGGAATAAAATATCTAGCTACATAGTAAATGAGGAAATGCTTTGCGGTCTGGGGGAAAACCCTCTCGGGGTCCGGTTTGGGTCTGGAGACCGGGGGATGGAGACCCCTGGTGTAAAGTTTGCATGTTCTTCCTCCCACGGTCTGAAGACATGAATATGTTGAATTGTCCTAAAGTATGGGTGTCTGTCTCTGTGTGTTAGCCCTGAGATGGATCGGTGACCTGTCCAGGGTATACCTGTGTTGTTCCAAAAAGTGATTGCCTGCCAAAAACTGATTTCCAATGTTTCCGTGTATTTTTAATGTGTAATATCTTTACGCATGTTGGTAAATAGACTACAAAGGGGTTATATATAGAATTAAAAAATTATCTGTTTTTTCAAGTATCTTTATAACTCTGTGTTATTGTACTTACCGGTACATTATAACCAATCCGGTCCTTTATCCCCACTTAAAGTATTTTTACAGAACTATTGTAATATTTGCTGCCATTTCTGCTGTCCAACTTAATCTTACAAAATACATTTTTAATGTTAATGAGATTTTTTTTAACTGCATAAATAAAGGTTCTATAAAAGTCGCTGCCAAAAACTGATTGCGGCTTCTACCTTGTCACACGAATGTTGTTTGTGGTCATCCATGAGGGATGCATTTGACATACTGTATGTTTCACATATTATAGCCCAACAAGTTACTTAAAGCAGTTTAAATACGAGCAATCAGTTTTTGGCAAATACCAGAAATCAGTTTTTGGCAGACAATCACTTTTTGGCACAACACCTGCTTCTTGCCCTTGTTTTTGCCATTTTTGTTATAGATTGCATTTGCTGCACCTAGAAAGACAATGGATCATTCTTTTGTTTGGGTTTTTTGGGTACAGCGTATTGTATCATGAGAAATCTGCATAAATTCCCTATGAACGAGTGCTTGTGAAATGTTATTAGAAAAAAAGCAGTTCCATTTTTCCCTTTTATGTTATATTTTCCACAGCTAATGGAGGGCATGCCTCTCTACCTGGAGTGTTCCGGGAACTTGGTGCCCATTCGGAAGGCCACTCAGCAGCCTCGTAGCTTCAGCTTCCAGGCCTTCCGAGATAACAGACTGCCTGTCTCTGTCAAGGTCTGTCCCTAGCTGCTTGTTCATATGCCTGCTTCTTTATCACTTGCTACGTGTTGCTACAGTATTGTGTGTTTGTTTGTGTGTGTGTGTATACATGTGCAAAAGTGTGTGTTGTTTAGTTTTTGGATACAGTATGTCAAGGACCTTCTCACCAGTTATTTACACTCATGAGCACCTGCCGATGACTCAAACACTGCGTTCATATGGTGGTTTTTGTGTTTGCTTTTCACTCTCATATCAGTGATGTAAACACGTAGGTAATAGTACAGTCCTGTGCTCACTCTGCAATCATTGCATATTAAACACAGCAGTATAATTGGTGCACTATAATTGCAATATGCTACCTTTTTTCATAGAGTTGAGAGATATTCCAGGCAGTAAAGTTAAGATAAACATTAGAAATATTGGAATGTCAGGTTGTTCATCGGATCTCGGGATTCTCAGTTTCTTCAGTTAGCTTTTGGCATGGTGTGTCATTGTGAGTCCTTTTGTTCTTTTTTCATTTTCATTGTGCTTTGTTTGTTTGAAATGTAAAGGTAATAAAAACCAGCAATCTGATTTGATAGGGTGTTTTTGTTTTGTGTTTAAGTTCTTTATGAAATGCATCATAATTTCATCTCTTTTTATTCCACATTACATTGATGACTTGTGTATTTGTTCTTCTATTGATCGTATATGTTATATATTGTGTGTACGAGCCGTTCCATGCCTGTCCCGTGACCATATTTATGTAATTTCCATATCACTGTTTTTCCGTTCATCTGTGTCTGTCGATGTGATAAGCCAAGTATTGTTCAGAATCAGCTTGATGAATACTGGTAGCCAAGCAACAAACAACTTACCTGTCTAGCTGTCAACTCTCTTGGGTAATTGTTTGCATGTCCTGTGACTCCTTCACTTTCTTTGCCTGCCTTCCTATCTTGCGGCCTTGCCTGTCTGTATGTGTCTGTCTCACTGTCTCTCTTTCTCTCTCTCACGGTCACTCTGTAACTGTCTGGTCTGACAGATGTCCAGGTAAAATGTGCAGGTAAATCTCTCCCTCTTGCCTGCCTGTGGACTGCTTCCATCCCTGTTTCCCCCTGCTTCTCGTCCCATGTTACTGCGCCACATGCTCAGGACAACTGTTAAGGGATCTAGTGCTCTTTTTGATTTTTTTTTCTTCTTCTTGCCCATCTTATCTTCCTCTATTCTATCTTTTCTGCTCAATTTCTCTTCCCGCTCTTCTCTGCTCATCCTTTTCTGTCTTTCCATTCTCCTCCTTTCCCTCACTCCACATTATTCTATTCTATTTTTCTTTCTTCGTCTCTGTCTACCTGTTTTCTGTCTATGTTTAGGTCAGAGACAGTAACAAGGATGCCTCCGGGTTTTTGTCTTTTCTGCGGAAATGCACCAAGTATGAGGACACACAACACGTACTGTGTAACCTTAATATAACCATGCCACCTTGTGTCAAGGTAAGAATTTGGTAGCAAACATGCACACATAATAAATAGAGGTGATAAAAAGAAAGATCACGCACTGTGACCTTATCTCGATAGATGGTCATTTTTTTCAGGTTGTTTTATCAGACTGGGGCTTGTCCAAAATATATGTGTGTGTTACATATATTATTATGTATTATATGTAATATTTGCGCTTATTAATTTTGTATAGACAAAAAGAGATTCCATTAAAAAAATAAATGTACAATAATACAACTGAAGCAGTATAACATTACACAGTATCAGTTAATCCTTTTGACAAAGGGTTTACTCTTGGACTGACAGGCTACCTTAAAGGTATGGAGACTCCTTATTTTAAAGGTTTAAAGTGTTTTAATCTAGTCTACTGCATTTTACCTGGATTACTATTTTAATATCAACCATTACTTTGCCAGGAGTCTGTCTGAAGTGCTACATCTGTCTAATGTTACATGGGTCAAACATGGTGACATGGGTGTTTGTTAAAAGTTCAAAAGTTCTGTGTAAGGCGATTAATTATTGTAATTCTTTCAATTTTTTAGGTTGTTGGAAGTGAGGAGCGCAGACGAACTTTAACCCCTCTTGCTTTGAGAGAACGCTACAGTGCACTGAACGAGCCCAGCGTGGGTAAGTCCTTCAATGCTTGACCGTCAGCCCTCTCCGAATATACACACAGTGGAGATGGGCACTGAATGTTGCACTGCCACTTTACCCACAACCCTGCTTCTTACTCTGCCCTCTCTATTTTCCTGTCTCGTGTGCACGCATGGCACAACAACTGAGCCTTGGATGCAATGTACTGCTCTACAGTATCCCACTAAGTTTTTTGCAGTGCAGTTAGTGGAAACATATTGAATGTGCAGCCACAAGATGAGCAGTCGCCCCCAACATGACCTGAAATGGCTCCATGGCACATGGCAATTTAGCCTTTTTCTGTCCTGAGTGTCCTGGTAGCTGTGACAATCAATGAATGACTTCTGTGGTTGGTTTTGCATGGCGCTGGTGTCTCCACTGCGATTTCCAATGGCATGGCAGCAGATACTGTTAGCATTAGCACTATAGCTTAGCACTGAGAATGGGCAGGACCTCGCAGTGGAGCAAGACAGATGAGCCCTTATACTGGCCTGTGGTAACTAAAGAGAGTCAAGATGACCATTCTGATTGGTTTAAATGGTGCTGATGGCGAGTGAGGGTGAATGGATAAAGGCCTTTTCTGTCTATCAAATACACAGCGCTGCTATATTGCACCTCAGTCTCTATTTAATGGTTACTGAATGCTACTGTGGTTAGCAGGAATAGCACCTGAATGAACCCCAAATTATGACCTTTCCTTGTCAAATGATGTCCTAACCCTGAGAATTATATGGGTAAAAAAACACTGTTGTTGGTATTGCTTATTTCCTCCAACAGAGCAGTGCTTTTGTCAAGGTACGTATTGAAACTTAACTGTCTTTTAGGTACAGATGATGAATTGGAATAACAAGAAGAAAATGAGTCAATACTAGCCACCTCTTAATAACATTTGCTTCAACACTATCAAGTCTAAAAAGAGTCTTAAAAAAGTCATAAAAAGTCTAAAAAATTCATCCCAATTTAAAAAAATATTTTTTTCCACACATCAATATCTGTTTGACTTCCCAAATACGTTTTTGTGTAAAACAGTATACTATTAGGTCATTGAAACATCTTTTACTTGTGTGCTGTATTACATGTTTCTAAACTGTCTGTGTGTTTTTTTTCTCATTAGCCACAGTGAATGCCATGGAGAGGACTGAGCTCAAAATCAACATCATATCCGAACAGCTGGGTTTAAGCTGGGCAGGTTAGTCACACTGGATACTGTACAATCTGTATATAAAATGGATATATAGCCATTTGAAAAAGAAATTCAAAGCCACATTGTGAAAAACTAAATGCACCCTGATTGCTTCAATAGAAAATAGCTACAAAGTTGGACCATGCAATGCTTATAAAAACTGCAAAAAAAAACAACCCAAGAGCACCATCTCAAACTCTACAGGCCTCAGTTGGCAGTTGTTAAATGTTAAAGTTCATAATAACACAATTAGAAAAACACTAACGGGCTCAGGTTTGCAAAGTTACATACGAAACCAAAATGGAGACATTTGACCGTAATGTACAAAGCTACGTTTGGTTGAAACCGACCACAACAGATCAGCACTAACACCTTATAGCAGCTGTTATAACTCCTCTATATGCCTATATGCCTATATGCCTATATATATGTATATATATATATATATATATATATATATATATATATATATATATATATGTATATTCACACCAGTGTGTGAATGCGAGAGTGAATGAATAGTGGCATTGTAAAGCGCTTTGTGTGCCTTGAAAAGCGCTATATAAATCCAATCCATTATTATTATATGTATATGAATCACATATGAGGCTATCAATGGTTCCTGTTAGTTTAGAAAATTAGGAAAAACACGTATAAGGGCAGGATTATGTTGTAACAGACACATCACTACTGTATTAGTGTACAGAGTTCCTCGGTTTCTCAGACGGATCAAAGAGTCGCTTATCACATACTGTTTGAAAACATCAAGATGGCAACTGAGAAAAGAACAGTTATTAACCAGTGGGTTAATGAGTCCTGGCTAGGTACATCTTTTAGATCCGGTCTATGATGTAGACCACTAAACCGAATATTAAGGAAACCCCTGCCAGTTGTTATTCGTCCAGATCAGAGATCCTACTTATGTTTGTCCTTCCCGTAGACCACACCACCGATGACCAGCAGGAGCCCACGTCTTGCTGTTTTGTGTTATGCTCCAACCCAATTATTTGGATTTAGCAAGTTTCTCATTATCAAAGTCTCCCATCCAAGTTGGTGACTAAGAACGAGCAACAGCTTTTACTAATATATCACAAATCTGCAGGTGTGCCATTATACTTAGATTATTCACTTCATCTGTGAGTGGTTATACAGTAGTATTTTGGACTTAGTTGTATAAATATGTGCTTTATGTTTCTTTCTATTCTTAACTGTGTCCATTAGAGTTAGCACGAGAGCTTCAGTTTGGTGTGGACGACATCAATAGGATCCGTGTGGAGAATCCAAACTCCTTGCTGGACCAGAGCTCTGCCCTGCTCAACCTGTGGGCCAGCAGAGAGGGCAAAAGGGCCAAGAGTAAGTTAGCACTATATCCCTTTAAAATTCAGACCAAACGATTAAAACTTTGACTAGTGCAAATATTTCTGTGTCGGGGCATCCTTATCTGTGCATGTGACAGATATTTAAAAAGAAAAGTTGAGTGATAAATCGTGGAACCTTTGCCTCTCAGTGGAGAGCCTCTACTTTGCTCTGAAGAACATCGATCGTGCAGATATTGTAACCTCTTTGGAGGGTCAGGCTCCGCAACCAGCACCTGGTTCTTCAGAGGAGGGCGCCTGTCGGCTTGGTGACCGCGACTCCACTCTGTTGTCCCCCAGTGTCATTAATGGTAAGATACAGGAACACATTAAACATCCTACACACAGGACATATAAGAAGGGTCAGTTCAACATTTTTTTTAACAAATTACCTCTTTACGGTTAATTAGCAAAGATATGCTGTGCCTTAATTTTGTATTTTGTATTGTTAAATAGATTGACTTCTCTAGCTACATGTGTTGTAATTACAGAAAACAAAGGGTTCAATACTTTTTATGTTTATTGCAAGACTGATGTTCTCATGATGGTTTGTAACCGTCAGAAATGGAAAGTTTTCAGGAATTTCCTGTTCAAGAAGACTTTAGAGGCAACAATAATGAGAGGCTCAATTTACTGTGCAAGTGCAGTATCTGGTGTACTTGGTCTTTTCCAAATAGATACATCCACAAAATATCAGGAAATGCAGATGTAAATGGAAAAAACACGGTGGGACCCCACAAAAAGTTGCAGAAAGCATAGAGCGGAAATTATTTCCTAAAAAAAGTCTTCACTGCCAAAAATCAGAGACTAAATTCTTCAGCCCAAGAAGGTGAGGCTTTTATTCTCATTTACTTTCCACCTCTGAAAACCCCTCCTTGCCTTCTCTGAGTCTGGGTAACAGCCACTTTACCTTGTCTCTGTTGCCCCACAAGAGATCACGGACACAAGGCCATCGCGCCTAGTGCACAAGCCACGCGTTATTAGACCCCCGTTTTTCAGAAGGGGTAAGTTGAAGGGAACTTGGGTTGCATGGTGGTTTGCTGCTCATGACCTGTAGTGCACATGATGATGATGATGATGATGATGAAACCAATGATAATGATTCTCAAATACCATTTTTGAGGTCTCAGGAATGGTGTCATTCTTCCACCATGAAGCAAGCTTTTTGCAGCATGCAGTAACACCGCCTCTCCTCACTGGGGCACACATCATTTTATTTTCATTTTTTTAATTTATTTTTTACTTTTTCTTTTTACGTTACACTTTTTCACACCTCATACTTGAGCCCTAAACATGATGCCATTTATTCTTCTGACTCAATATGAGAAACGAGGATAAGTCACTTTTTCTGACAGGGGTTTAAGTCGTCTGCAAAACAGCCAACAGTTAACGTATGGGTAACGTTCGAGATTTTATAGATTACATGTGGGTGTATGTGTGGCTCTGCGCGCGTGTGTGTACACATACATGCACGTGTGTGTGCATACACGCCCTTATGTGTCCTGTCTGGGATGGATACACTAGTCAAAAGTGGCGCTGGTGCACAGATGACAGTGTGCTCTGGGCCTCCATACCTTGTTTCTGTCCCTGCCTCTTTCTTTCTCTTTCTTCTGTCTGAGAACAAGATAAAATTTCACCTGTCACGTTGTGCTTGATCGACAGCAGACATTGGTCCCCAGCGACAATGTCTTCTTGCAGTCTTGAAATTTTGTCTTTTCCTCGGGATCCTGTCCTACTTTCTGTCTTTTTTTTTCTCTGAACCTGTAACATGTCATATCTGCTGCCCAGCTGCCCCGCTCCTCCTCGTCCTCCTCCCTTCTCTTGCTCTTCTTCCTCCTCACAGCTCTTCCTGTCCGACCTCTGACCTCATATGACCTCATGTTGACCTCTGGGCCTCCTCTTCTCTTGTCATCTTATTTTCCCGCGCTCCTCCCTCGTTCAGTCGAGTGGGGACCCTCTCCTCCTCTTTAAAACAGCTCTGTGTGTGTACTACAGTTTGTGCATGTGCATGTGTGTCTGTGCATGTGTGCACGTGTGTGTGTGTGTTTCAGACTTATTTATTCAAAGTAAGTCAAGTAAAAATGACATCATATAGCCGAGCTTGAAATTTATTCATACTTTTTCTAGTTTTCTTCCAAGATTATAGAGAGTAAGTTCAATATTTTAGTTACACAAAAATATTTTAAAATTCATTTTAACCCCAACACAAGATGGCCATTTGTAAAGGTGTGCGTGGGTGTGTGTGTTTGTGCGTTTGAGCACAGAGTTTCTTGAACAGAATAACGTTTGCTGTTTGTGACATCTTTTATGTGCATGGCATGCTTTCAATGTATGACGTTTTCTTCACAGTGTAAAATATTTTCTCTGTTCATGGATGTATTTCAGTCTTTTATTTAACGCTATATTAACAAACAAATGTTTTCTTTTTCTTTTTCCTGTAAAATAAATGGTGTGTGTTTTTTAATGCTACGCTATAACACATGGTCAGCTGCATAGCACATAATGCTCAACATACAATGTTGCTGTGGTGGTCTTCATTCATGGGCAAAATAATCACATGTTTGGTAAGTTACAATTTGAGTGGTTTAACACTTAACCATTGTGTAGTTGGTTTGGCAGTTACTATATGTAAAATTAAAAGAGCTAAATCCAGTAACCAATGAAAAAAAATGCCATGAATTATCTATAACTAAATTTTCTATGCAGTATTTTTTTGCCCAAGTCTGATGATGGCCTTGCTGCTAACATTGTGTGAACGTTATTTGCCAGCAGGGATTTTACTGTGAGGTGTGTGTTGATTCTGGTGTGTATGGTTTTTTTGTACATCCGAGCGTCACCTGTGAGCTAAAAGTGTGTGTCCTCCTTGTGTGTTTTTAAATGAATGCAGTGTTGTGCGTTTATACATGTATGTGTGCGTGTGAGTGTGTGTTTGCTGTGGTAAAGTGTGCTGTGTAGTGCTCTTCTCTTCTGTTTCTTGTACCATGAGATTCTCCGTGGAGTTTATTTGTGCTTCACTACATTTTGTGCCTTTGACACCTGTGTGAGTGTGTCTGTGTTTCAGCAGCAGGAGTGAAGGGAAGGGCTAACCCACATTCATCTAACTCATTCTAACTCTCATTCTAATTTTGATTCATTCCCTCCTTGCTCACCTCATTCTGATGCCACCTCTGATCATTCTGGCCCTGTACCATCCCAGAAACACACACATGTGTACCCACACAATGGACCATTGTTGCATAAACTCTGAGAGACAATTACTTTACACAGTAAAGGTGTATTTTACCCATTACAGTGTTGTGGATCACATCAGAAAAGGTTTAGATTTTTAGCTCCATAGATGTGCGTACTGTGATAATTAGTATTAGTGTGTCATTGAAATATACAGAAGTAGATTTACTGATAGTACAACAAGGTAGAATTGCTATGTTGCTTTACTCAGTCGTTTTTTGCCCATAGCCTCATTACTACATTAAATTATGGTTAAATGAACAAAAGTAGCGGTGCATGAAGGTCTAAGAAACTTTCTGTGGTAACTTTCAGATACGTCTCACTTTAAACTGTGTTTTGTTTCCACAGATGAACGTCAGAGCATTTTCCATTTAGTACAAAGAGATATCAGGATGCCTTCTTGGTGGGCATAAATTCATGACTGATTCTGTTAAAAGTGTATTTAAAAAGATATTACACATTAAATGCTAATAGGGTTTACACACTTTTTTTGTATTTAGTTCATGTGTACTGTCCCTGATGCCAGGATATAGTGAGGATCAGGAATTAACATGTTTCATTGCACAAAGACATTTGAACTAAAAGTATTATTTTGAGTTTAACCTCATACTATACTCATTCTGTGGGTTGTCTATTCGGCCTGCAACCTCACATTACAGCACAGCCTCTACTTTGTGCTTTACAGTGGTTTATCATTGTGATCTGTCAGTGTGCCGTTCTTTGTTTCATATGGGTGAAATACAACTTTACTGTTAAGTCTCTATTCATCTGAACTCACTGACACACTAGTTTATTAAAAATATTTTGTTAACGGAATTAACTAATCCAGATTTGTGTCAAAATATAAGTGTTACCATGTTCAAGTATCACCAAAGATCAACATATGGGTTATAAGCTTCGAGTTAAATGAAATGTGAAAAATATGAAAAATTTTACATTCAGAATGTTTTATTATTATTATTATTACTATCATTATTATTATTAGATATTATTAGTAGTAGTAATATAAAGTAAATGTAAAAATAGTCTTAAAAAATAAACAATGAAAAAAGACATTAAAATGCCACTTCCTCAAAATATATTTTTAAATGTATATTTAATAATTTTTAATTATTTATCAAAGAAAATAAAACAAGCTTTGAAACGAAAATCTCAGATCATGTCAAATCTCAATGAGATTACATAAAGATTCTAACAAAAATTTGAATTTTCTTTTTAAAATATGTATGATATAAATTAGAACCAACTACAGTGTGTGATTGTGAATTTGACTGTGTGCTTTTGTGCGTCTTTTTGTCAAGTAGTCCAACAAGCTGCATAATAAGTGTCATCCTGGAACTAATAATAGAAATGTGTAAACCAATCTAATTGGATCTAATATAATCAACGACTTAGTCAACGACTTATGATTTAGCAGGATAAGATTAAACAACACATCATGCAGTGATTCTATTTTTTTTAGTTACCCTTAGATTAAAAGTTGTGTGTGTCTTTGTGTGTGTGTGCGCGTGTGTGTGTGTGTGCGTGTGTGTGTGTGTGTGTGTGTGTGTGTGTGTGTGTGCGTGTGACTTGTTTTATTTGTTTATTTTTCTGAGTGGGTGCTGGGCAGGGGATCTTTTGCGTACAGACACATGAATGCATGACTCTGAGTTGCAGCTGCAGTCGGGGAGAATGCGGCAGTAACTTGCATTTTCTTTTCCAGAATTTGCAAGATGCTGCTGATTCCCCCGCAGAGACTTGTGACAAGGGTTGGAACGATAAGCGATGTTTCATTACATGTTTGGCAATTGTATCACAGCTGCTACTTTAGCACCGGAAACAAAATTTGTGCAATCCTCTATGTGGAAAATCCAGGCTTTACCCCAATTAAACCTACCTTGAAAAAAAAATTATAATAAAATGTTGATGTAAAGCAAAAAAGGATGAAAATTTATACTAAAGAGAGTAAAGCCTTAAATTATTAAAAAAGAATATCGTGCCAACCCCACAATCAATTAAAGAACCCTACACTCATCTTTCTTTTCTCTTATCGAGAAACAGTTTCTGTTCTGCAGATTCACTTTCCGAAAGTGGGAGCAAGCTAGAGCCCAGCATCACTCACCTCACAAACAATGGATGACTCACCAAATTCTTTTATCTCTCACCTCACAAATTGCTGTGTCCCAATGACAGTTACCTGAATAGCTCTGCAAACTTGAAAAGAAATTTTTTTTTATTCGATTAGCCAAAGTAACAGTTTTTGAGTAATATCATTGTGTTCTGCCTTTTAGATCGAAAGCGTGAAAGCAACATGTTGGCTGGGATTAACTGAGAGTCAAGTCAGAATTACTGGCTTAGCATCAAGGCATCTTAATCCTAAATTAGAATTCTAAATTGTGATTGATAAGTAATTGATTAAGAGAAAGTCTTTTGTCTTGGTATATTGGGACAGAGCTGAGCCCCACTGTTTCCCTGGTAGGTTGGAGAAACAGTTGTCCCACCACCTCCCCATCCTCTCAGTGGCTGTGCCTGCTTGGTGTTAGTCTATCTCTTGTCTCGCTCCTGTTTTCCCTCCAGGTTATGGGCTGGTGCAGGAGGAGCTTCTGTCCCCGGCCTCCATGCAGTACAGCTTGCCATCTCCACTGGGCGTGGAGCCCTACTGGCAAGAGGTCTCCAGCCTCGAGTGCGCCCCCATTGCCACCACAGAGGAAGATACATTAATGGAGATGTCGGACGTTCAGGTGTGGCCAGCAGGGGTCAGCCCCTCTCTGGTTACAGTGGAGGACTCATCACTAGAGGGAAGCAGTCGGGCTGACGACTCAGAGGGCGCCACACTCTCCTTACCCTGCAGCTTGGGTCGCCCAAGCAGTGGAGCCAGCGGGGCCAGCGGCTCCATCATGGAGCTGGAGGAAGAGGAGGAGGAGGAGGAGGAAGGGGAGGTTGAGGAGGAGGAGGCACCACAGGAGCCAGCAAGTGCACTGGCGGAAAGGGACAGGGTGAGAGCCAGTGGTGCCGTTCCCAAGGTCAATCTAAATGGCCAGCTGGGAGGTCAGAGGTCGGACGTGAGGAGAGTGGAGAGTGTGGCTGTAGGAGGAGGAACAAAAGGAGGAGGTGGAATGGTAGGGCTGGGCTCAGTGGAAGGGATTTCTGTTGTTTCAGGCCAACAGGTGTACTCCCAGAGGTGTGAGATAACGGGGCTGGGTCGAGCTACAGAGCACAACGGAGACAACCGGTAAGTCAACTGTGTGTGATCGCCATCACTCTATATTTGTTTCTTTTCCACTGCCTGTACTCAGAATTAACATATGTGCTTTCTTTGTTTCCCTTCCCTCTGGTCTATTCACATTCTGCTTTTCAGGATGGTGGGAGGAGGAGCATTTCAACCCTACATGCCAGACAAGGACTCCCTACAAGGCTGGGTGGGCTCGGTGTCATCAACGCGTGACGGCAACGTGCCAGGCTTGCACGTGGCCCAGGAGGCTCTGCTGACTCCGGTGTGTGACACTGGTTACTCTCATGTGCTGCGTGGGCGCCTCCTGCAGGGCACGCAGCCCTTTGACAAGGGGCTGGGCTTCTCTCATCAGGAGGCAGGCCAGCGAGCTTGGGAACAGGAGCAGAGGCGGGGACAGGTCAGGTTGCAACGCCGACCACCTGCCGCTCCCTGCGCCTGGAGGGGGAACATCTTTTCCATGTTTTCTTTTTTTAATGATCAACCGGGAAGATCGTCATTCAGTTTGATTTTTAAAAAAAAAATCATCAACAGCTTAATCTCACTGAACGATCATCAGAACAGATGATTGACCACAATCAGTCACAGAACCAGAGCAGAATGATGTGTTGCACAGCTCAACACATCTAATGAAAAGCTGCCCATTAATATGATTTAACATTTGTGATTGAGAACACCTTGTTAAGAATTAGAAATGGATTTTATAAATATATATAAATTGTGGCCTTTTTTTTCTTAACAGAGAGAGGAGAAGGAGGAGTATGTTGCTGAGACACAGTTTGTTGAAGAACGTGGAAATGCACTTGCTAGAAAGGTGAGTCACTTTGTGGGTATTTTTCATTTGCAGTGAATCATGGTCATACCAACATTATAATTGTTGTTTATTTGTTATGAGTTTTGTGTAATTTTATTTATTCACTTATTTTGAGTTCAGCTTTCATGGTGGATTTGCTCATTTCAGTCTAGTTTTGATTGTTCAGTTGCTTTTTTTGAGTTTACCTATTTTTCATGGTGACATTTGGGTGCTTGTCATGGGCAAAATGTAAGTAATTCCAAGAGACATTACAATGCAAAACCTTGACTCACAGCAGTGAAATGTCTTTGTGCATATTGCGTTGACATATTTGACCAAACTGACAAATACTAAAACATTTGCCAAAGGTCTTTGGCTGCACAAAGGGAAGGATTGTGACTCTGCAACCAGTGCAGATGTGCTTGCCTGCAAAGCTCCAAAATTCAACAGCACATAGCCTGCCGGACTTTCTGAAAAGTTGCACAGGGAAGTTGCAATGGAGTTCACTATGAACAGGAAGAATTGGGGAAGTATAGTGAAAGATCAGAAAAGCAGCAAATGAAATTGGACATAAAGGGATGGAGGTGGTCATCAACTACACTAAGTAGGCTGTTGGTCAGTCAGTATTCACCGGCTGAAGGTGTCCCAAGAAAATATCCCTGCACCATTACACCATCGACTCAAACCTGAACCACTGATGTATGGCAGGATGGAGCCATGCTTTCACGTTATTTGCATAAAATGTGGTCCCTGCCATTTTATCTTGTGTTCGAAAGACTTATGAGACCAGACATTTTTCCAATGTTCTTTCATCCAGTTTTGATGAGCCTGCAAAGACAGTAGCGTCAGTTAGCTGCTGGTGCGGTCTTCTACTGATGTAATCAGTCTGCTTAAAGATTCAATATGCTATACATTCAGCACTTCTGCATACTTTGGCTGTAATGAGCCACCTTTCCCCCTTATATAAGTTTGAAGGACTCTGGCCATTCAGACCATTGGAATAGGACAATCATCGCTCTATTCTATTTTTTTTTTTTTTAATTGAATTTATTTATTTTCTGTATATTTTCAGTTCTAGTTCATTTGGTAAAAATTCTCACTTGTTTTAGTTTTAATTTGAACTTTAGTTGAAACCTTCTTCACACCTACTTTCAGTTTTAGTTAACACTGATAACCTTTTGTCACACCCAAGCACTGCAAACCCCGTGCTTTTTACTGTGAGTTATCCACAAAGCCTGGCCAACAGGGTGGGAAATTAACAGCAGCCACAAGGCAAATGTTGACAGCAGATATGAACTTAAACCAATTATGATTCAGAGATCATCATTAAAAAAAAGCTTTTTAAAAATGACATTATAAAAACGGGCATTTGTATGGCATGAAATCTTTTGTGACTGATTGGCTGATTAACTGTGAAATGATGGTAAATTTGTGAGCCACAGCGGCCAGGTGGGCAGACAAGTTAGTTTCCTGCTCTGGTTTCACATGGAGGCTTCAGCCGTTAACTGGTCCAAGTGTTGTTTCCTTCCTTCCTTCCTTCCTTCCTCCCTGCCTCCTTGCTCCAGGTGGCGGTGGATGTGAGAAAGGGCGCTCAGTCAGTGCAGCGCAGCAGTCTGCGGAGAGTTAAACACTGAAATACACTTTCTGCCCATCCCTTCAGGTATGGGACACAAGCACTAGTGCATCCCAGTGCTTGGATAGATGCCTTCTACGGCACCCTGTTGGAGCCTGTTAGAGCCTAATCATCTCTCATACGTCGTTTTGTCTCATTCGTTAAACTTTGGCAGTGATTTTATAGAAGCTAAGACTAATTTAGCCCATGTGATGCATATCTACTGGTGTACTCCTTGTCTCTGTTTTGTAGGACCGGAAAGCCACTGCCAAACCATCCTCCACGAAAACACGACCGGACCGCAGAGGAAAATGAGCATGGAGGAAGTGCAGACTATTTAAAAAAACAAAAAAACAAACAGAATCATCCTCAACCTGTGACCATGGAGCACCACAAAACAAAATAGAAGAGGAGAAAAAAAAACAGGAATTAAACTTGTAGTTTTATAATATTTGTAAAAAAAAAAATCAACTAGACTAAGGCATGACGATACCGTTTCTTTTTCTTTTTTATACAAAAAAACATAAATGTTAGTTAAACAACTAAGAAAAAAAAAAGCAACAAAGTGCTTCCTGTGAACTGTAATCGCATGATGACTGCTGGTGCATGCCCTTTTGAACTGTCATTATCTACAAACTGAAGGGGTACAAGGTACGGGGGCGGACCCACATAAGGGTTACAGGCTTTTTTTAAGGGCCTTCTTTCCCCCAACTGGAGTGGTTTGTTTCAGCAAGTTGAGTCTAATAACACTACAGCCAAAAAAAAGAAGTCCCTCAATGGATGGTTCTCTATACAGCTAAGCCTCTGCTGAGCCTCCCAACGCTTCTTTCACTGGACCCTTTGCCCTGTTATTCTAAATGTGATATATGCACTCTATGCTACGTGGACATGTGTCAGTGTGTGTATGTGTGTGTGCGTGTATTTTTCTCTACCGCATGTGTTTCTTGCTTCCGGCTTGGCGCTGAGCCCTTCCCCATGATTGGCTTGTTGTCCCTGTAATGTCACGGCGTGCTCAGCGCTGGAATGAGAAAGCCGCCGTGCTGCCCTGCTCGTGACTTCTTGTCCGCGTGCGTTTTTTTACATTTTTAATTTTTTTTCCTTTGTGGATGAAGATCGCTCCTCATTGTTTCTTTGGGACTCGTCCACTTTGGGTTTCAGCTTTGTTTGACTGCGGATGAGAAATGAACCTCTAGCTCCCCTCGTGTTTTCAGGGGGAATGTTTTCAGACAGCGGGAATGTTTTCTTTGGAAAAAGCGTGGGTGCTCGATTGCATTGTACAGGAGCTCTGAGGGCACAAAGCTTGACTTTCTATTCCCTCAAGCTTTTCTGTGCTCTTCCATTGCTTTTTTTGTTTTCTTTTTTTTCCCCAGTAGCGTACTTTACCTTCACCCATAATCTATCAGTAGCCTCAGTCTATATGCAGTCAAATCACAGTCCTCTCCCATCAGCATCTAAAGGTCCTCCAAACCCTCTGTGCTCCCTCTTTTATCTGCTTGCAGTGGCTGTAGCGCATCACTGTTGAATTTTTGAGTCAATATTTCAAATTGTGGTGAAGAAAACATGAAGGATCTCATTCGTGTGACGATGCCGTGATTTGAGGATTTCTAAGCGAGAGTGAAATGGCAGACAGGTAGCACTGTGATCGTCTTATTAACACTGACCCCAGACTCGTGAACTGTCAAGACCCACATTCATATATAGCACAGGCAAAAGCACAGAAACATATATGAACACATTTCCAGAAACACACAAACATAGATCACACGGTTAAATAATTATTGCCTGGTCAGTGTTGTTGTTGTTGTTTTTTTCTTGTTTTCTTTGGAGTTTGCCACAGCAATAATACACAGAAACAAAAAAAAACATGAAGATGGAACGGCAACTGTAAAAGACTGGTTTCCTCAGAGAAGACACAAACTGTATCTGGATGAACAGCATTTGGCATTGAAGCTCGCCCTTGAAGTGAGTGAGTCAGGACGTACTGATGCAAGATGAGATGACTCAGCTGTAGCAGTGCGAGACCTTGGAGGCCGGAGAGTGTTTGTGTTTCAGCACTTAACGTAGCAAAATATAAACCAGGATATCTTCATTTAATATCTGTTAAGAAGCTTGCTGCTGCCATGAGGCGGAATCCACCGAACTCTGTTTTCCTTCTTTTTTTCCCTGGATAATTCAACTTGTGTTTCTGTAAATCATCAGCTCATCACCTCTGAAACACTTTATGCAGAAACTGGTTGGCAGCAGCATGAAGGAGTTACATCATAGTAGCACGCATTTCCTTAAAATCACCTATATCTCCCATAAGTACTGTAAATGCTACTGTAGCCTGAATGAGTGAGACCGGATGAATGAACACATTGGTTATACATCACGCAAATGCACTTACTTTCCACGCCCAGTCCATGCACGAGAACCTCATGGGATAATAGCACGTTTTCCACTGTTACTTCACTCAGGTTTTCAGTTCTGCTCTATCAGAAAGAACAAAAGATGTTTGTTTCTAAGTTCTGAGTCATCCTCTCAAAGACAAATGTGGGACACAAGTGAGCGATTTAGAGTTTTCTGTTGGGGCTGTTTGAGGTGGGATGGTGATGCGTGGGCTTTTTTTGGTTTGGTTTTTTACTTTTTCTTGGTGGAGCAGGGTGGTTTGGTGCAAGTGTGTGTGTAGTTTAGTTGTGTGATTCACATTAGACCAAAAAACACTGAGTGTGTGGTCAGTGCCAGCATGTCTACTTAACCTCGCTGGTGCGCTGCTCCTGCTGTGACACCACTGTTGGTTATTTTTGTCTTTACTCATTTTTTGTTTGTTGGTTGGTTGTTTTTTTGTCACAGATTGGAAAAAAAAAAAGCCAAATAAATTTTGTTGAAGCACAGGCAAAAGATTTTCCTTTCACCAGATAAATATAAAACAATTATCTTCTCATATGTATACCTTCAATTGTCGATGCACGTTATTGTGTAATCTTACCTAATCGGCCATTATGCTGAAGATAAAGTCAACAAATGACAAACAAGACGCCCACTCGACTTCACAGCTCCCACAATCACTCTGTTAGTCTTTAAGACTTTTACTGTATCAGCACAAGAATGGGGGTTGGATCCAGATGTTTTATTTCTGTGTTGAGGTTTTAATCCTTAAGATTAATACTCTAAAAAATGTATTTTGATGCTGTTAAAGGTCAGAGGTTTTTCAATTTGCATCCCTTAGTAGATTAGTTTTATTATCAGCAGCAAGAAACTGGTTCATGAAAAAACTGTGTGACCGTAGTGGATGTAAAATGGTGGATGCATGCAACAGTCCTAAAGTTTAGTGCTAATCCCATGATTTTGTTGGAGCTCTGATTGAACTGTTGCTTTTCTTTTGTATGTGAAGAAACTTTGGAAAAATGTTTGCACTTAATTGATATACTATATTTTTGAAGTGACTGCAAATCTGGTCACTGACATTTTATAAAAGAAATTGGCCATAGCTCCCATAATCTCACAGTATGTCTCACCCACTGATTTGTAGAGACCCACTTTGAAGCTTCAATTTCAGCATTTTGGTTGTTAATTTGTGTTTCCTTGGAACCAGATGGCACAAGCAAGGTTTGGATCTGGCAGGAAAAACCAAGGGACACTGCACACGTTATCGTTTATTTATTTATCCACAATCTGTCTGGTTTGCAGTGTGTAATTAGAGTTAGGTTAATTGGTGATTCTAAATTACCCATGACTGTAAGTGCAAATGATTGTTTGTCTCTATGAAATCATCAACCCCCATATTGGTTCATTAAGCAAGACTAGCAGTAATTGCCTTCACTAACAAAGTAGTTGTTCAAACAACAAGATTTCATTGTGTTTTCCTAAAGTTTTTAACTTGTGTAGCATGAATTAAAACAAATTTCACTCTACAAATTTAAATAAATCACTTCAAGTCAATGTAAGTATACTACGTTGATCCAACGTAATCTGATTACATTAAACCACCAAATGCCAAATGTGTTGGTTTGACATGGTCAAAAATGGGTTATTGTACTTGGTTAAATCACATGGAAATAGGTGCCATGATTAAAATGTGTTCATCCCACAACAGATTTTTTTGAGTGTAGTCAGTACTCTTAAAACATGCTTACTTCCCCCAGAGGCATCAGCCAAGACTAAAATCTTAAGGATCATAACTTTGACTTTAAGGAGCTGTCTTCCTGCTTAACTTCCTGCTTAGTCACATTTGAAATCCTGAAAAAAAAAAGTCTCCACAAAGCAAAATGATGTATGAAGTAGTTTAATTATGTTTCCATACATAGATCATTTGGATTTGCCGTCTGAATTAAACTTGTCTGTGATCCTGTGCACTTCCCCAGTGTTTGTATGTACAGTATGCGAGTGTTTGTGAGTGTGTGTGTGTGTATGATGATGATGATAATGATCATGATGTTTGGTTCCAATTCTGGTTGGATCAGCGGGAAGAAGAGAGACCGCAATTTCCCAGGCATGTGATCTGAGAGGACGTGTAACCTACAGCAATGTATTTTAAAGAGTATTGTAAAATTTTAACTGTTGCAAAGAATAAAGATCACCTATACTCCTTTAGAATGGATACATGACAATGTAAACGCAATATCATATTACTCTATCCTAAGGAATGCAACTGCGCACATGCACAAAAAAAAGATGTTTTTATGAAAATATATGTATAAATATATGACAAAATATATTTAATTAGAATGCTATGCACCCTCATAGAGTTATTATGGATGTTCTTTAAGCATTATCTAGACTAGGCCGACGTCCACGTCATGGGGAATGTAGAGGCTTTGTAGCTATGACCACTTGTTTTCTTTTCTTTTGTATTGTCCCGGAGAGAGGATAAACCAACGTGAATATGTATACAAGCCTTTCAATCAGAGTCATTCTGACATGAAGATATGTATAGATCATCTTACCCTGTACACCAGCTCAAACCATTTACAAGAATTAATAAACAAAGATGTGACATAAATGTGGTGTGTTGTTTTCGCAGCAAGTGCATTTAAGTGCCGTCTTTTTACTCTGTGGATGTATCACTGAATTGGTACCGTCTCACACCTCAAGACACAGACGTGTGTCCTGGATGTCTGAGAAGTTACAAACATGCATCTTCTTAATGTTTTATTCGACAGATCCAATAATTTTATGCAATATTTATTCCCTTCTTATGCATCTGAAACCTTATTTTCGAGGAAAATGTCCCAAAGCTACGGAAGCGTAGAGCTGCCACCCAGGCAAAAGAAAAATACAAGTGTATCACGTTATAACGTGAAAGGTTTATTGTTCTAACAAGATACTATCATGTTTGTACAATATACTTTTCACGTTTGAACAACATAATATCACGTTATTACAATATACATAATTATCACGTTCGTACAATATAAATATTATATTGTACAAACAGGAAAAGTATCTTGTTAGAACAATAAACCTTTCACGTTATACCGTGCTACACTTGTATTTTTCTTTTGCCTGGGTGGCAGCTCTACGCTTCCGTACAAAGCAGTTGCACATACACAATACATACATACACGAGAACTTCAGATATCTCACGTCTAATTGTTCTTTTCCCCACAAAGTGGTGATTGAATAAACGGGATTGGCTTCAGCTTCTTTGAATCGTCAGTTTTTAGTGTTAAGCAGTTAAGAAAGAAGAAGGAAGAAGAAAGATCCTTTTGGTCTGCCAAATGTACAAATATGCACAGACTGCTAATTTATTGTACTGTCATGTATGGTTAAAAGGCTGAAGAAAGAAACTCAAAAAGAGCATGATTAATATTTTTAACTGTCACAGTGTTTTCTCTTCATAAATATGTTTTTACTGTAGTTGATCATATATTGATTTGTGGAATGTGCTTAAGAATGCCATTTACGCTATCATCCACTGTAAGTATACAAACTGAACTTCTTTGTCATTGAAATCACTACATTTCCATCCCGTTGTAGAAATTTGCATGATTGTAGCCTACCTCTGTGTTGGTTTTGAAAATCTTTTGTACATTTTGAACAGTTGTGCGTTTTAATCGCACGACAAATGTCTTATAAAATGTGTTTGCTGTATATTTTTATTGTTGCTGTTGCTGTAAAGTGTTCTTGCAGAAATGTACCATTGCATGTATTTGATTGCTGCAGATTAGGAGGGAGGAAAAAACTACAACATCCACTGTCAACATCAAGTGACGCCCCCTAGTTTCAGCCAATCATAGCCCACCGCCCCACGTGTCGTTTTGTAGGAAGTTCCTGGGATGTTGTTTTGGGTTTTCTCAGAGCACGTGGAGGCATAGTGTAGCTTTCCATGCTCAGTCTGCGGGCGTACATGCAGCTCTCCTCATCTGTGGAGTGTCATTAGCGCATAGAGTTGAGAGATGTCAGCGGGAGGCCAGGCCACCAGGAACCGGGATATCCCCGCCGTCAGGCGGGTCGCTATCCACGACGCTGCGCATTTGCCAAACGACTACTCCACGACCCCGGGAGGAACTCTGTTCAGCACCACGCCTGGAGGTACTGATGTCCAGAATGAGGAAAGAGAGGGATTCAGAATAATCCGTATTTATTTTTACTCTTTATTTGCTTTTTTTTTTTTTTAAATAGGCAGTACACGCCTATTACAGAAAGTCTTAAGAAACTATACAAACTGTACTTGCAAAACTCAGTAATGCATATGTGCATATGACCTGAATGACACAACAGTGGGTGACAGCCTGAGCGGCTGGTTGAGTAAACAGCTCTCTGTAGCACCTACCTGAAAGCAGCAGTTTGAACAGTTTGTACATGTCAGGGGTATGCAGAGGGTTAAGGAGTTTAGAAAGCAGCAGCACCAACTTTTGTTTTGGTCTCAAAAGCCAAAAGGTTTGCTCACATGTGAATTATTTTCCTCTTCAGATGCTAATCGGAAAAAAAATTATAAAGACAGTTTATTTGCTTTTATATATCTCAGAAGTTTAAACAAAAGTTCCAACACTGCAGTTTACTTAGTATCCCAAAATCATGATTAGCTTATCCATATGACTTAGAGACAGAGAAATAGAATAGAAATATCCTTTATAGTCCCCCACTGCGGAAATCCACGTATTCCAGCAGTAACGTGGCAGGCAGACGGGGCATGGAGATTCACATAAAAGTAAAGAATATAAAATAAAAAACAAGAAATAAGATCTTTTACAACAAATTTACAACATTAAAAAAATACTGTACAGCTATTAAAAATAGTATACTCAAATTTAATAAATGTGCAGCCGAGTGGGATAATTTTTTTTAAAAGATATCCAAAAAGTGCTGTATACTTGTGCCTGACAAAAACAAAAAGAGAGAGATATTTGGAGTTATGTTTGAAATCCAGCTCCAAAAACAGTTCGTGGTAATGGAGGTAACTGAGGTCCTGTCATGTTGTCTTGTTAATGTTTGACATCGTTGGTGTGTCCCGAAGTATAACAACTAGCAGAAGCAGTACTTTATGGATCCACGTACTGCAGTTGTTTAACAAAACCAGAGATTATTTCAGTGTATTTTACATGGCTTTATTCCTCCGCCCTTAATTATTTTCCCATTTATGCTGATTGGAGACTTATAACTGCATGTGTCTGATGGCTCTGGTTACAAAATCTAGCATTTTGCCCCCTCTGCATGAGGTTTTTATGTGCATAAGCTTTAATCTAATGTGGAAGTCGTCACTTATGAATGGCAGCTTCAGTGTCATTATCCAAGAGTATGGGCAGTGTGCAGCCTATGTTTACTTGCATATACAGTTTACGACTGTAAGGTCAAATGTTGGCCTGTGCTCAGTCACATCCTATTTATAGTCCTGGTATTACAGCAGCCTGTTGTTGAGCTGCAATAGCAACATGTTTACTAAACATGTACACACTGGTTGTATTAATCATGAACAAGTGGGACTAATGATTGTGAGAGATCACAAAAAAAAATCCAAAAGCTTACTCACCAACCAACATAAAATGCCAACTGCTAATGTGAACATTTCAGAAAACTTTAAAGCTGTAGCCAAAAGAAAATATTTTAATCTAAACTGAATTGGTCAAGCTACACACAACAGAGATCATCTGAGGCCGTACTCAGGACCTGGACCAGCAGTAAGCTCAGTTTTGACCTTTTTTTTTTTTTCTCATTTTGGGGGCTGCCATTGTTTTATTTTAAACATTGACAAGCTGGGGCCTTGGGAAGCTTCAACTGCAGAGATAAAAGTTAAAAAAGAAAATGTTTTCCCTCAGCGGTCGTGAGAAACCTGATTCAGAAGCACATGCCCACTACAACTGATACTGTGTCCTGTAACATTAGCAGGTGGGACACAGATAAAACACAAGTGAGTCACTGAATATGTACCAACATAGCTGATATGGGCTGCAAAATTGGGCTAAATGTCATGGGCGTGTATGGACCTGTGCATTGTTGGGTCACACTAGCAGAGAAAAGCAGGCAAGCTATTTGCGCACCAACATGTTTAAAGTTTAGATTAATAGTAGTAGTTTTAATCTTTATTTTATTTCATCATTGTTTACATTTGATTTATTCCATGTTATTTTTATTTTGAAATCTGTTTTAGTGTGTACAAGGATTATCTGCTGTACTGGAATTTTCCCAAATAGTCATCACTTTAAGAAAATGCTAACCCGCAGGTACCAGAATCATCTACGACAGGAAGTTCCTCCTGCAGTGTCGGACATCTCCCCTGACTCGCACGCCGCCCAACCTGCCTGACATCCCAGGCGTCACTCGGCCACTCAAGCCCGATGCCTCCAGCGACACAAACCAGCCCGATCAGTCGCTCAGCAACAACACGGACCACAGCGTGCATGCAGAGAGCGCAGGTAAACGTGTGCATAATAAAGATGGGAAAATGCACATGGGCTTGTAAAGCTTTGCAGTGGAGACCAGTCTGTGACCATTTGGCAAAAATAAGGATTCATTGACTGATTGAGTGGTTGTTGATGGCAGCAGGTGGGAAAACAATTTCTTAAGGGCCAATCATTTCAAAGTAAACTTTACACATTATGAAACTTTGCAGGCAAACATTCTTCATGTCCACTTTCTTTTGTTGACGACAAACATGGAAAACTGCAGGTAGCTGTGGTGATCTGCTAGCGACCAAATCAATCACTAGAAGGTTTTTGATGCAGCACCTTGCGTGCAACTAATTTTATTCAGCAACAGCCAACAGTGTCTAGGAACCACTGCCAACCAGTCGGGGATTACACGTTGTTTCATAGCAACCGATTGAATGTGATTGTATCACCTTCAATATGAGCAATGTGCACACGACGTTACATAGGAAACTTCATTAAACTCTTATTTCTATTAATTGTCCATTTTTTGTTGTTGTTGTTTTTTCTTTTATAGGTGAAGATGCCCAGTTTGAGATGGACATCTAAAGCGGGTCAGCTTTAAGGATTAAAGCAACATAGTTTATAGTTTTTGTTTACCGGTATTAAAAAAGCATATCTTTTAAAACGATGAGCCTTTTTTCTGTGTAATCTGTGTTCAGAATTGCTCTGAAAATGTTTTGTAATGCCTCTCCTGTTCAAGTGTGCATGAACAGTTTCTTTTCTTTGTATGATTTGTGAAATATTTGACAAATAAGTCAAGGTTTTGTTACAATTAAATAATTAAAATTTTATGTAATTTCATTCATTTCTCAACTTTGATGACTTGTCTTTAATTTGTTTTTACCAATAAAAAAAGAGAGAGACCGATCTGTTTATAGTGAAGTCTTATTTCACACCTTGCAGTAAGTGACTCTGACCATTTGGTGTCAGCAGACAAACTGTTAACTGAAGTTCAACTTTAGAAATCATTTGCGACCATATTTCTGGAAGTCTGATGAATGTATTTGTTATCTTTAAGTTTTGGTCTGATCATCAGCAACTACTGAGGGAAACTTTCTTTTTCGTGCTATTGTTGGCTAGAGAATAAGAAGGCTTTGTTTGTGGAAAAACCAAAGTGACCCAAAGCTCTAACGACAGAAGCTATAACACTAAAACTAAGCTAAAATATACCCACAGTGCATCCTGTAGTGTTGCGGGTAGCTGCAGCCTCAGCTTAGGTGGTTTGGTGAGTGACAATGACCCAAATAACTTTCTGGTGTAAAATCTAAAGAATATTTTGTGAAACTATTGTGAGGACAAGTTCATATTTATTTTAAATCTCCATTTTTTGGAAGGGTTACAATATAATGATAAACATATTTACATGCAGTAAGATGAGATGTTTTCTTCATTCACCTCTCCTGACCTTATCTGCATTTTTGGTCCCTTCATTTTATCTATCGGTAACTCCTCTCTTCAGATCTTAGTGCCTCCCATCAGAGGTGTGAGAAGAGGAAGCGATGAGGAGACGGAGGGGAAAGATGAAAACAGGCATTTAAACTTATTGGGCATCCTTACCTCGGGGTTGTTAATTTCAAGCAGTGTCAATGAAATATGATGTTTAACTGCATCATAAATAGTTGTCTAATAAAACTGGTAAATAGATGACTGCTGTATTTTATGACCTCAGATGTAAAGGTGCTTATGTTTTATATTTTAGGGCTGCTTTTAATGAGACTCACAACATGCAGCAATGTGATAAAAGATATTGGATACGGTCAGATGTTTGCACACAGTTCTCATCAGCATGAATACCCTGGTAATTTGGGACTTTTAATTCTTTTTTTGAACTGTTCTTTTTTCAAGGTGTAGTTTTTTTTTATCTGCACAAGTTTGAAATTATTTGGGTGATTATTGATTAACTCCTGGTAGTTTCTCTTTTCGTTTGTTTAACAGTGCTCATTGGAAACAACGACACTCAGAACAACGGGGAAGTCCGAGGAACTCAATAAAGAGATCTACACAAGTTAGGAAGGTTTCTTGAAGCCATTTCTAGACAACTGCCAACTCCACAGCCATCTGACAATTATATGTAAATACAGGATGAGAGGAAATTGTTTAGGATGTTCAAGAAAAACTCAGGAACCACCAGAGTTCAAGCCTGCCACGAAGTGGAAACTGCTGAAATATTAGCGTCAGTGTCCAAAGTGACGTGAGCTTTATATCAACATTGACTGAGAGGGTGTCGACCAAGAAAGAAGCCCCTGCTCCAAAATCATCACCTTCGAGTTTGACTGCAATTTGCAGTTAGATAACACAAATATTGAGGTATTTGGTCACAATAACAAAAGCTATGTTAAGGAAGGGTAAAGGTGGCTTTCAAACCTATGAACACTGTCCCAACTGTTGGCATCATGCCCTTGGGCAGTTTTGCTGGTGGTACTGTTACATTGCACAAAGTGAATGGAATAATCTCATAATTATTCAACTTCACCTCAAATCAGCAGTTAGATGGTTGAAATTTGGACATAGTGTCAATAGTTGGCTGTTCCACAGGACATGATCTCTCATTTTGGAACAAAGCAGACATTAAGCTCCTGATGTGACCTTTTTGAAACCCCAACATCATCACAATTGAAAGTTTGCAGACTACGGTTAAAAGCCATGTACTTGCCAGGAAACCAAATGAACTCTACCAATTTTGCCAAGAGGAGTGGTCAGATATCCAGCCAGAATTATGCCAGGTGCTTGATATGGCTACCAAAAACAACTTGTTGGTTTTGAACTTACTAAGGAACATTCAACCAAATATTAGTGGGGGTGTATGTATAATTTTGGGTGTGAATTTATACTATTAGCCTTCTCTAATCCAAATGACACAGACCCAATAGACCTAAGTGCCTTCTAGTGTTTTGTTCAGCAGTATCTAGATCCTGGGTTGTTTGTTTGTTTGTTTGTTTGTTTGTTTGTTTGTTTGTTTGTTTGTTTGTTTGTTTGTTTGTTTGTTTGTTTGTTTGTTTGTTTGTTTGTTTGTACAGTCAGGGGCTGTTTGTGAGACATTTCCATCTACAGCCTTGGACACCAAAACCCAACAACTCCTGTGCTTTTAATTCTAGTGTGTGGTTTTTCTGTTAACAGGTAAGAATATTTCTTTACCACCAACATTTCAAAATGAAAACACAATTTGGTCAAGTTGCTTAAGAGAAAAAAAAACAATTTATTGCTCTATTATGGCCTATATAGCAAATATACAAATAGGTCAATGTGACCCAAACGTCTCAATAAAGAATATTAATAATAATGATAATGATAATAATTAAAGCGCTTACAGTAAACCATTCTGTAATTTCAATGGTATTAGAGGTTCAGTCTTGAAGCATAAAAACAACATAGTTTCTGTGACAATATAGTGCTTAAGTCTGTGATCATGTCGTGCCTTTTGAGACATGGCTATTAAAAGGCACAGCTTATAGTCCCACATAATTTCCTATAAACAGAAGCTGTTTCATAACTGTTTAGCTCTGTAATTTAGAGAGAATCGTCCAGGATATATACTAGAAGCTTCCTGCATCACATCAGCAGTCTCTGTCCTGGACAGCTCTGTGCCAGCAGACACGCACCCACTTTGCCGCTCTGAGATCCCAGTACTCTCGCTGTAGACCCCTTTGGTCCCGTGGTTCACAAGTTGAAGGGTTATATGATTTCCCTTCTGCAGGCGTTTCCCTCATTGGCAGCCACACTCCTCCACCACCATGTCGTCTTGATGCCTCATGACCATCTTTCCATCTTCGAAGTACAGCATGGAGATTGGTGCCAGGTGTGTGGGCACACAAGACAGACAGGGTGCCTTGTCTGGATGATGATAATTCAACAGGCTCTGGAGAGCGGAGAAGAAGAAAATAATTGATTAGAGAACATCTATTCATGCTGTTGGGGCATTATCAGTACTGTTGCATATGATGAGGTGTTTCAGTCTTACCTGTATGTATGCGTGGTTAGTAGGGGTGTAGGTCTCATCTACTGGTGTGGGACAGGTCCCTTTGCAGCGATAAGCGTTGTATTGTTTGGGATAGACAATCCACTCACTCCAGCCGAGTTTCTCAAAGTCCACCCACATGTCCACCTTCCTGCACAGATGATCCTTTTTCTCCTCTTGTGTTGCCTTGTCGCTGGGAGCATCTCTCCCACCCTCCTCTCTCTGCTGCTGGGTCTGCTGGTCCCTCTTTTCTCTGCTACTCCTCATCCTGGAGGGTACGTGCTCCCTGCCCAGACCAGCGTACTTGGAGTGCTTTGCTGTGCGGATGAGCATTGGTACTCGCTGGTCCTTTGCTTCATGCTTTAAGAAGACCACCATGATGACCCTGTCAGCTGTAAGGTGCTGAAATAATTCATGCTCCTGCTCTCTCTCCTCTGGCTTCTCTTCCCCCATCCTCTTTGCGAAATGCCCCCGATGCTGCAACCAGCGATGGACTATGTGCGTCATGTTGAACACTTTCCAGGAGGACGGCGACATCAGTGAACTGGGATGAACTCTAAGGTGGCCAAGAAGCAGCCTATTCTCGGGGCAGTGCATGCACCGCTCACTGTGGGAATGGTAGATGTCTATTGAAGCGCTGGAAGATTCTTTAAAAGCTGGCAGGCGGATGCGAAGCTCAGCCAGCTGGACAATGTCGCTTGCAGACATGGAGGACATGTCAAAAGTGAGGGACCATCTCCTGCCAATCTGCTGGCAGCCTGAAACAGATACGATAAAAGACATTTTTAGAATTATACCACAGGGTAAAGCTATGACTTATTTAACAATAGACATGCAAACTATTAAAGGGGAATAGAGAAAAAAAACACATTTTGTAGTAGTGTGTCAAACTAAAGTACATTTTGCTGCTAAATGTATTTATGAAGTTCTTCTGTTTGTAAATTATTCTTTTTCATCCATATTTTCTAAAAGAAAAGTTGGGCTACGTGGCTTTCAAATGGCTTTCAAAATACCTAAGCCCGTTTTCGTAATTTCCCTGATGTTAAATACTCACTCTTAGCGACCAGGCTGATCACAGAATCGGAGCTGTGAAGATTTTCTTCGTTCCAAGTGTGGGGCACGCTGTCAGCCTGAGTACTGATCTGGTCTTCGATCAGCATGACCCGGTAGAGATGGATCATGTAGTGCGGCAGACTGTTAAAGCGGTGCCTCTGTGCAGCGTGTCTGGCCCCACCGTCCCGAGCTTTCCTCCCACGGAGCAGTTTATCAGGGTGCATCTTAGGGATGGCGAGAGCCTGAACCAAATCCACTAGAAGAAGAAGCGCAAAAGCGAAATCCACAGCTCGTCTCTTCATAATTTGTCGTGTTGTCTCTTCGGTAGGCAGATCCAGAATGATCAGGTGTAGTCCCAGAACCGGATTTATAATCACGCGTGTCTCTCTGAAGTTCTTTGAAGACAGCTGTCAGGCCTCTAATGGCTGAAGGACGCCTGTGATCTAAGCGGTATAACAGGGACCTCCTATGGGCTATCGAAACAGAGTGCTCTTTGAAGTGGAGTCCCCCACTCTGATTGATGTTTTGTATACTGGCGATCCCTCAGATTAAAAGGCATGATAATATTTTTAGCTAAAGAGATTATGAGCTACACAATTGCGCCTTGATTAATTGGGAGAAACAAGAGAGTTAATCAAAAAAACTGCTTTTTTTTGTATGACATCATTAACAAACTGCGCAACCCCTTGTGTCCTATTTCTGTCCAGGACACAAGCGGAAAATATAACAGGTTATTTTAGACCAAAATAAATACGATTTTTGTTTGTTATTTTTTTAATTAATTAAATTTAATTTTAATGTATTGTTAATCTTAAAGGGATGTCAGTGCTCAGAAATGAATAAAACGAACTGAACATTTTCAATAAATATCAGGAAGCCTAATCAGCAAAATATTAATAAACAATATGAAAATATGCGGAAGCAAACCGGTGATCTCCTTAATTTACTGTTTTAAAAGAAACCTGCAATGCGTGTGTTCCGGCATATTATCAGAATAATATAATATAATATAATATAATATAATATAATATAATATCAATACATATAGAAAAACAATTAAAATCAAGGGAAAGTTCAAAGACAGTATAATTAATTTGGGCCACTGTTTTAGGAACTGTAAGTCATTCCTTGCGTAATATTGCGTTTCCAAAGGCACACGACTTTCATCGGACGCTAAAGCCATTAAAAGCTAACACACCCAGAGTGATAACTGCCCGCTAATCGTTTCCATTCATAAACTAAACAGCTTCGGGACCTCAGTTAAAAGAAGAAAGAGCCCATGTACAAAGCTGCCGTGCTTCTGATGAAAACATTTAACAAAAGGTGAAACTGTTCAAAGGTGTCGTTTTATTCCTTTAAGTCATTGTGACAACATCAAACAAATTTATTCAAACTAGCTAGTTTTATGTAAAACTTTAACTAATTCGTTTCAATTAGTTGGACGAATGAAAAGCAGTAGCCTACTGTCAAATTGTTTCATTAATTGACATAACGAAAGAATTTCATATTGGATATAATTCATGTTTTCATGTAACAGCGCGCACGTAACACAACCAGATGAAAACCTTAAAGTGCACTGCACACACAGTAACACGTACCATGTTGAGCCTGAAATACTAACATCATTATCTAGAAAGACAGTGCAAAAATATCACTGCATGCACACACATCGTAACTGTTCTTCCGTGCGTAAAACCACAAAACCTTTCGCAATGGGCAATAATTCATCAGCCTGACTTGGTGGTAGAACTTCATCACCAGCTAATTTAAAAAAATGCAACTTTAAATTAACTTAATTCAAGGGTGCGGTTGCTATTATTAAAAATAATGTAAGTATGTTTTATTTGGCACTTTTTAAGAAAACGTCGAGTTTAAGTTTAAACACAGCGGAATAAATCAAATTTTATTTCTCGTTTTTAACTTGATCGGAAGTGACTCTATCCGCCGCAGCTACCGGATAAAAGCGTTTCCTCTCAGCTGCTGCTGTTTATCCCGATGAGCCGCGCAGGTCGACATGGATTGGCGCCTGTTGGTTTGTTTGATTTTTCTGGCGCATTTGAGAGTTTTGAGAGGTATTTTTTTTTCTTTGACTATCCAAGGGTAGACACTTTCAGTTTCACAAAAATAGGCAAACCTGTTTCTGCGGGGTGGATTTTAGGGTTCGCTATATGTCAGGGTTTTGCTTGTGTGCGGCAGAGGGATGTTCAGGGTTACGAGCTATATTTCAAATAATCTGTGCTTCATGGAGTTTGCCTAATCAGAATGATTGTAACAACGAGACAAGTTAGTATGAAACTAGCAACATTAGAGTTTCAGGACGTTTAAAATAAGCGAAAGTCGCCGTTCATTGGATCCTATTTAGCACTGAAGTACTTATTTAGATCAAATCATGCAAAGGTACGCCGAGAATCATGAGCTGATATGTACTTCATTTGATATTCATTTAACCGTATGAAAGTCGTCTTTCTAATTAGAAATTTTAAATAGAATATTAAACATCTATTTCTGACTGCTTTGCATCTTTTCCCACTCACATGTCATATGATTGTACAACTTTTTGTTAATACAATTACAACCAGTGAGGAAGTTATTGTTTTAATTTGTCTGACCACATTTATTTCTTGTTCATACTCTTCACATTTTGTAGGACAAATCTCGGAGTGCAGTCATGACCAGTGGCAGTGTGACGATGGCGGGTGTATTCCTGCTGTGTGGAGATGTGATGGAGATGGAGATTGTCTGGATGGATCAGATGAAGTGGACTGCACTGGTGGGCTCCCCCCCCCCCCCCCCAAACCTGTGGGGGGGAAAAAAACTCATAACTTTACACATTACAGTATTATCTATTTTTGTTTTCCTGTAGTTTGAGACTCTTTAAGTGATGTTGAACAAAACAACTTTTAAATGAAGCACAAAAGGCAAAGGACATTTTTTTTTCTCCCCTGAGCTGCAAGTGTAGGTTGTTGGTTCAGGGGTAAATAAATGGAACCTTTTAATGTTTTTGTTTTCTTTCCTTCAGGACTCCGAGGCTCTGATTGTCCGCCAGGTCAGTTTGCTTGTGTGGACTCTGTTGGCTGTGTTAAAGCGTCGGCCCGCTGCGATGGACAAAAGCAGTGTCCCACTGGCTCCGATGAGGAGAACTGTCCAGTCACAGAGGGCTGCCTGGACTCTGACTGGACATGTCAAAATCACATCTGCATCCCTAAAGAGCTGAGGTGCAATGGAATAGATGACTGCATGGACAACTCTGATGAAAAGGACTGTGGTGAGGAAAATGCCCTAACAAGAAACTAAATATCATTCTGTGTATTTGTGACACTTTCTAAACAAAACTACCAAAAGTCACATTTTTCCATTACAGATCCAGCTATGCTGTAACAATTCTTTAAATATTTTGGATTTTTATCATCCACTAAGACATATTTATAGACTCATTTGTTCTGAGATAGATAGATAGATAGATATAGATATTAATTAATTAATTAAAGTTAAATGGGGACATAATCATGTTAAATGTACTGAAATACAAATCAAGGCTATCAGCAGAGGTAAATCCAGATGACCAGAGGTAAAATGGCATATTTTTGGATGGAATCAAAAACGTTTGAGTTAAAGTGTGAATACACCTTTTCATGCACTGATGCATCATGCAACTAAAAATGAACATTTAAATCTTTATCCTGATTCTTAAAAAGGTTAATGTATATATTTTTCTCCCAGATTTGTGCAGTGAGGGCAGCATACGGTGTCCTGAGGGGACATGTCTATCTGCTGACGAGCAGTGCGATGGCATGTTTCACTGTTCTGATGAAAGCGATGAGCCCATAACCTGCGGTACGCTTAAAGCAACTCATTATCACAAAAAACACTAATATACAATGGTTTTTGTCTATTAAGTCGTCTTCTGTGACGCTGATGCTTAAAATTCCGCCTCCTGCAGGGCGTGCCTGCGTTATGGACAATGGTGGATGTAGCCATGTGTGCACTGACGAACCCAGGGGAGTTCTGTGTTCTTGTCCTGCTGGATATAAGCTGTCTCCTAATGGAACAGACTGTGAAGGTGTGTGGGACAAGATGATGACAGTTTACCTTCAATACTAGGTTTTATAGCAGAAACCAAAATAATGCTAAATTAAAGAAAGAATAAAGGTTTTGAAGTACGAGGTGTCCGTGTCCTTCTAAAGGAGCAGATGATTCCTTAATCCCTGATCCTGTTTTCATGCAACTCCAGGAGTAATTGATATCTGCGACTTTGTAATTTTCCAGATACATTTTTTAAAATGCATGCTGGCACATGTTTACTCTTAATTTCTTACAGATTTGGATGAATGTGCTCCACCTTTCGACCCCTGTGCTCATCACTGCAGTAACACCATCGGTTCTTACTATTGCTACTGCAGAGCGGGATTCAAACTAAATGAAAACTCAACATGTGTGGCTTCAGGTGAAGTGAAAGTGTTTTTCCTGTTTATAAAATTGACGCTACATTCTGTCGATATAATGTTCCACCAATTTGTTTGGTACCAACTTGAGTCAAGGACTTTGCTAGGACAAAGCTAATGGGTGTAAGGCCTTTGTTATGCTGTCAGAATCCATTCTGGATTTGGTTTTGTCCTCTTAAACGATCAACACCAACATCAAAGTGCACTTATGATGTCTGATTAATGATATGCTAATAGGTGACTTTGATGTCGGTAAGGTGGTGACAAAAGCTATAAACTCTGTTTGATCAAGGACAAAGAGCAGTTAGGTAATCAAAGACTTTTCCTGTAAATGCAAATTTATCAAGTGAGGCCTTGATGATTAAATGAATCACATGAATTATTGGATAAGCGTCACTAACGGTGTCCTGTATGAATCTGCATTTACAGCTAATCCTGTCCGATTGCTGCTGGTTGGGGGGACAGCTTTAGGATTATTGAATGTGAAATCTCAACAGTTTGAAATTATTCAGAGTTCAACATTTGACTCTGTGGCCTTGGCGTTTGATGTTGCGCGGGGGTGGTACTACTGGGCTGACAGCCGTGGCAACATTTACAAAAGTGATGGACAGCAAAGCTGGACAGCCTATACTGGTTGGTTTACTCTTTAATTCAAGAACGTATCCTCACATTAAATTGTTTCTTGCATATTTTTATTTTTTTCGTAGTTATATTCTACTTGCCAACCATTAATTTATTTGTTTATTGTTCTTAAACAGGAGAGCCTGGTATCAAAGGCTTAGCTTGTGACTGGCTCAGTGGGAATCTGTTCTGGACCAACAAGAAGACTGAGTCAATCTACCTGCAGAGTTCTGATGGAAAAAGTTACACTGCTCTGCTCAGCAAAAACATCAGGCCCTCAGAGCTGGTCGTTATGCCTGTAGAAAGGTCTGTATGGCTTATCTGCTACATGTGACTGAATTTTAAAGTGATCAAATTTGATATTTCATTCGGGAATAATGGTGGATAAAGGTCAACATTTTAGGGTATGTCAAATACAGGATATGCAGTTACTATTTTACACGTTGATGAAAATCGATGATGCACTGCTTAGTGCTGCTTATTCATATTCGCTGCTTTCTGCCTCCCAGCTTGATGTTCTGGATCAATACAGGTCCAGGTGACAGAGCAACAATAGAAAAGTCTTGGATGGATGCCTCAGAAAGAAGCTCTCTGGCAGTCATCACTGCTCAGTCTGCCCACAGCCTCACTGCTGATGTAGCTGCCAGACGGCTGTACTGGATCAGTGATTTTAAGAGGGTGAGATTTGGATCAAAAGCCCAAATGTTCTCCATCACAGTTCATCACACACGGGGCCTGTTGCATGGAAACCATTTTTATTTGCTGCTTTGTTCCTGATCAGAAGTGCTCAGATTTTTTTTTCTCATTATTAGAAATAATTAAAATAATTAAAAAAAGAAAAAGTTTACATATCTGGGACTAGTTCGGTCACTCCTGGGCATGTATTGATTTTATTTATTATAAATAAATGCAAATGCCACCCCTGTGGGATACACTTGAAATCAAAAAGCATTTACTTTACGCTCTTTAAAGTTAATAATAATCTAAAAAAGTTTGTCTGTGTGCCCTACTTTTTTTTTTCTCACCACATGCCACTGTTATTTTTACCCCAACAAAGTCTTTTTATCCTGAAGCTCTCAGATACGTTTTTCTCTGTATTACACATGTGAGATGGTAGGAGAATTTGAAAAGTGTTAACTTGGATTTCGTGAAGTAGTTCATAGTTTTTACAGGATTCAAAAGCATGATTCAGTAGCTTTTAAACCTTGTCAGCAACACATTTGTTTGATTTTTAGTCTCTGGCTCACTCTTCTTTACAGCATTGCTTTAATTCATTAAGGTTGTTGATGCGCAGCTCTCTTAAGGCCCCAGCACAGAATTTCAATCTAGTTGAGGTCTAGACTTTGACTGGACTGTTGCAGCCCTTTCAGCCGCCCTGTTGTAGATTTGCTGCTGTGTTTGGGATCATAGTCCTGTTACTTGTCCCATGCCTTAGCCATCCGACAGGTGGCCTCGCGTTTGACTCTAGAATATTTTGATATCCAAAGGTTTTATAGTTGACTCAACCACTGCAAGTCCCGTGGCTGCAAAACAAACCCAAACCACCTCTCCACCGCTGTGTTTGACAGTTGCTATGTGGTGTTTGTGGTGGTCCTAACCATAATGTTTAGCCATTGGAACAATGTCCTTCAGACAGATGAGACCACAGTGGAGAAATTTGGCTACAGAGGTCTTGTGGCTTGATTTGCATCTTTGCAAATCTGTCATGCTGAAATGACACCATGTTCTTTTTAGAAAGAAATGGCTTTCTGCTTAAAACTTTGCAAGCCATAAGAATATATTTAATTTTCCATAAGTCACTACAGAGTTGTGAGGAACAAATGCTCACGTGATTGTATTTCACTCAGCAGATATTTTACCTCTCCATCACAGATGTGTCATATTCTCACATTTTTCCTTTCTATACATCACAACAATCTCTTCTATGTAACCTGACGAGGGTGAGGGAGTCCTCATAGTTTGAGCTCTTTGCTGTTCTTAATAAAATAACATTGGCTAAAATACTCACACTCGGTCATGATGACTTTTTTTTTTTTTTTTTTTTTTTGTCTCCCCGTTCAGTCCATAGAGACTGTGAAGGTGGATGGGAGTGGCCGTTACTCCTACACAGGACTGTTCAGCAGGAGAGCACCGCAGAGCCTTGCTGTGTTTGAAAGTTCGTTTTATTGGGTTGATAACAAAGGACTCTGGCAGGCTCCACAGACTCAACTGAGCCAGAGAAAATTTATATGGGAACCCACACTGCCAGTATTAGCGGTTTACCATGAGCTACAACAGCCTCAAGGTAAATCTTATGTTATTCTCAAACATGGTCGTTGATCAGTTTTCCTATCTGAAGATCTGTTTTTAAATTTATATGCAATTTAAGCTGTTTTAAATTGGATACAAAACAAGGTTGAAGTTGTTAAATGTATTTAAAAGTTGTTAATAGAGCTTTCTTGGTCTTCATAGTGGATTGTGTTGCACCTAATAGTCCTCTCATTGTCTTCATCAGGTTATTCTGCATGTGTAAAAACACCCTGTCACCTCTGCCAGCTAACTAAAAGCAACCCTCTTGGATTCACCTGCTCTTGTCCAAACCTCAAATTGCTGTTGCTGGATGAGACATGTGAAAGTAGGTTTCCTAAAACTTTCTTTTCACCTTTGTTAGTGTAAAAAAAGACATAACTTTTAATTCTGGTCCAAACTTATTAAATCAGTTGTGGTTAAATAAAAATGCATTTACACTTTACAAGAAAACACAAAAGATGATCTGTAATATTATTCACTGTCACAGATCCACGGTTTCTCTATGCTACAAATACGGAAATCATCTTGTTGGAGTTGGAAGATAAAGGGTTCATTGAAAGCCAGCTTTTCACCACCAATGAGGGGATCCTCTCTTTTGAGATTGACTGGGACAGAGACTGGCTTTACTGGGCAAACCAAACTGGCCACATTCAACGCATCAGTTTAACAGCGGCCACCGCTGAGCTGGTCCCAACACCTTTGCCAGGTTAGCACGGATTTGTTCACATATGTTGCTTATTACTGATGTGCAGTGACAAAAATCATATTAAGAGTGGTGGTTCAACAGTTTAAAAAAAAAATGTTAAGACTTAATTAGTTTCTACCTTAAATGGCTGTCAACATACCTTCTTTCAACTTATTTCTATTTCTTTTTAGTTTGTCTGATAAATATGGACCAGAGGAGCGGAAGCCTTTATTGGGTGTCATGTCATCGAAACACCATCGGAACAATCACAGCTGACAGCTACCACCCAAAGCAGCTTTACTACACGACAAAGGAGATTAAAAACTTGTATCTGGACTGGCTGCGGGGTACCATCATCTGGCTAGAAGAAGATCGAATTCTCAGCATGAGCATGTTGGGAGGTGACGCTAAAGAGCTGCTGCACATAGCTGGAGGAGTGAGTGGGGGCATCGCTTTTGACCTCAGGGCTAATAGCCTGCTGTGGAACTCAAAAATGGCAGGTTAGTTTTATCGTTGGATTGGTGTGTGGAAGCTTGTTGTGATCCCTGGGGATAATAAATACATTTTTGGGGGGTTAGTTATATCAAAATTTCAGCTTATGAACTCAAACTTTGGAGAAAATAACTTTAAAATTTCCAAACCACACTCATTCAGATTTGTTTTGCATACTTGCAAATCTCAGGATTTTCAAACCACATAAAAATGATGAACTTGTCACCTCACAGACTTTAATGTTGCCTTTAATTAAGACTTTTTTTTTTATGACAGGCTTAACAACATTAAGTTTGCTGCGAGAGAGAAGCCACCAAGCTGGAAGAAGATGGAAGATTTCGGGCTCAGTTGTAGCTGCCCTCGAGCCTTTTCTCTTGTCAGTTTCAGACAACGTAATGACTCTGTGGGATCAGCGTGATGGGAGCCCCATTCAAGATGCAGCTGTGACGGGTCATGTGATCAGAGTAATCACTGCTCCCATAGATATTCAGACAGTTCAGAGTAAGATCATCTGTCACAGCAGAAACAGATTTATATAGCACTTTGACATTTTTCTGGTATGCATGATCATCTCATTAATTCCATTGCATTGTCTTTACATTCTCAAGCCTGCAGGAAACCATCGTTTTTGTGCAGACACTCATCAGTCTGCCTCTCAGAAGCTCAGCTGTGTGACGGGAAAAAGGACTGCCCGGAAGGAGATGACGAGTTTTGTCCTGGGGCTTGTCTGTCTATAGGTAAATGCCCAAGCTGACATTCTTGTTATAACTGGCGATGCAGCTCAAAAACATATTGAGACTTACTGATAGGTTTTTCGATTTCAGAGGAGTTCGAATGCCAGGACCGGAGCAGTTGCCTTTCCAGACGTCTTATGTGTGATGGTCAGTCTGATTGTACCGATGGCTCGGATGAGGCTGATTGTCCAACTGCAGCTCCTCGTACAAGTCGGTCAAATGTGATGAAATGTCGCATAGGCTCAAAGCCATGTGAAGATGGCAAAGACTGTGTTTTATATAGTCACGTGTGTGATGGAGAGGACGACTGTGCGGATGGATCAGATGAACTGGGCTGCGGTGAGTTTCCTAAAACAAAATCAACCGTTTTTTGATTAGCGATGTGATGTTTTGGTGTACGTTTAGTTTTTGGCTTTGTAATGCATTTTATTATTTCGTTAGTATTCTTGTCACTGTGTTTAACGTATGACACCTTATTTGTCTTTTAAAGATGCCCTGCAACAGAACATGACTACCACAAGAACTAATATGGACCAATCAAACAAAACTCCAGGTCCTACCACTCTTTCTCCTCGAGCTCTCCTGGCCTGCACCAGTCCCTCTGTCCTCTGTCCTTCTTCTGCTTACCTCTGCATATCTCCAGACCAGTTCTGCAATGGACATAGTGACTGCCCTGACGGCTTTGATGAAAAGAACTGCGTAAAAAGTTGCCCCTCAAAAAGTAAGCACCAAATCAGTATTTCATTTTCTCAGTTTAAAAATATTTAGCATTTTATGTCTTCAAAAGTTTGACACTGTATGTCCTGTTTAATAATTTTATTCCAGATGACTTTCTTTGCAAAGATCATCGCGGCTGCGTATCTAAAAGCCTGGTTTGTGACGGTGAATTTCATTGCTACGACGGCTCTGATGAGGTCGACTGTTCGAGTGCAGCCACGGCTGCTCCTGGGAGAAACATTCTGAAATGCCGTTTGGGGTTCACAGTCTGCAAAGATGGGAATCAGTGTGTCCTCAATATCAGCGTCTGTGATGGAGAGAAAGACTGTCAAGATGGATCAGATGAAGAACGATGCAGTTAGTATCTATGCCAAGTTTCTTTTCAAGTTTTATATATTGCCGTTAAAATAATTTTAAATTTCTGCTTCTTGGTGTCATTTTTCTAGATGTTGCAGAGAGAGATTCTACAATGCAAATAGAGAGACAGCCCTCAAATGATTCTCCTGTACTCCTCACACCGTCCATTAAACCTCACTACAGGCTACCTTGCAGCAGTCCTTCAATTCTGTGTCCAGATTCCTCTTTGTGCATTAAACCAGCACAGATATGTGATGGAAGAAAAGACTGCCATGATGGATCTGATGAGAACTGTGTGAAAGGGTGTCCTTTTGAGGACTTTCTCTGCAAGGACCGAAGGAGCTGTGTCTCCAAGAGTCTGGTCTGTGATGGACTGTTTCAGTGCCAGGATGGATCAGATGAACTGAACTGTCCGACTGTGACCGCTCCTGCAGCTCAAAATGTGCTGCAGTGCCACAGGAACGCAAAGATGTGTAGTGATGGCACAGAGTGTGTTTTACTCAGCCACGTATGTGATGGAGAGAAAGACTGCATGGATGGATCTGATGAAGAAGGATGTCCAGGAATTTGCAAAAAAGGTTGTTTCACTTTAAACTTTATATTTAATCTTTCCGTGATGTAATGAACTTAATATTATTGAAACTGATCAGAACTTTTATTCTTTAAACCTGTACATGTGAGGTTGCAGATGCAAATGGCTTCGTCCATGATTGTCTTCTTTCTACCCCAGGTGAGTTTCAGTGTGCCCATGGGAAAATGTGCATCCCTGAGGTTCAGGTGTGTGATGGGAGGTTCCAGTGTCAGGACCATTCAGATGAAGCTGACTGCCAGAAACCAATCAAGAGCTGTGAGCATCGTTGTGCTGACGGGAAGCGCTGCATCCCAAAGAAGTTCCTGTGTGATGGAGAAAAAGACTGTGTGGATGGCTCAGATGAAGTGGGCTGCAGTAAGTACTGAGAAGCTGCACGAAGGAAACCAGAAGATTCAAATGAACCAAACCTAGTTTTTATAAGTTTCACATTGCTGCTGCATGCTGAACCTAACACAGGTTTTTCTTTCCAGATCAGGCTGCTGCTCCATCATCAGAGTCTCCTGTCTTCACTGCATCACCTTGCGTTGCTCCTTCAGTTCTCTGCCCTGGATCATCACTGTGCATCTCTCAAAATCAGCTGTGTGATGGACAAAGAGACTGCCCTGATGGATCTGATGAAAATGACTGTGCGGTCCATTGTGTAAACCCAAGTAAGTGCTTGAATGTGCCATGGAAAAAAAGGCTTAGTCTACACATTTAGCCAAGAAATAAAGACATGAGTTTTGAAAAAGTTATATTTTTTTCTGATCTGTAAGGTAGATTGTTTTTTCCCTCCATAGCTGACTTTCTCTGCAAAGATCATATGGGCTGTGTCTCCAAGAGTCTGGTCTGTGATGGACGCCGTCATTGCCAGGATGGATCGGATGAACTGAACTGTCCGACTGTGACCGCTCCTGCAGCTCAAGATGATGTGCTGCAGTGCCATAGAAATGCAAAGATGTGTAGTGATGGCACAGAGTGTGTTTTACTCAGCCACGTATGTGACGGAGAGAAAGACTGCATGGATGGATCTGATGAAGAAGGATGTCCAGGAATTTGCAAAAAAGGTTTGGGGTTTTTTTTCCCCCACTTTAAATGTCATTTAACTGTTTATTGTTTAAACTTTTATTTTATTGCTTAAAAGAAATTGTATTTAAAGTCACATCAACACGTGTACTTTCAAGTGGAGTTGTGAGATCAGCTGATTGTCATTACTTTCTTTCCATCCCAGGTGAGTTTCAGTGTGCCCATGGGAAAATGTGCATCCCTGAGGCTCAGGTGTGTGATGGGAGGTTCCAGTGTCAGGACCATTCAGATGAAGCTGACTGCCAGAAACCAATCAAGAGCTGTGAGCATCGTTGTGCTGACGGGAAGCGCTGCATCCCAAAGAAGTTCCTGTGTGATGGAGAAAAAGACTGTGTGGATGGCTCAGATGAAGTGGGCTGCAGTAAGTACTGAAAACTAAAACTGGAATAGCAAAGCAGAGTAACTGAATGTTTCAATAAGGTTTATTTGATGTTGTCCCAGGTTACAAAATGAAACACCAGTTTAATAGTTTCCTTTCTTTGCAGACTACAACACTGCAACAACCAAGGCTCCTGCTTTTCCTTTTGCTTCACCGTGCACTCCTCCTTCAGTTCTCTGCCCTCGATCGTCACTGTGCATTGCTAAACATCAGCTGTGTGATGGACAAAGAGACTGCCCTGATGGATCTGATGAAAACGGCTGTATGGTTCATTGCGAAAACTCAAGTAAGAGTAGAAGTTACTATGGAGAAAGCTACCAGAATTCACTCTAGGGGAGTTTTTTTTTTTAAAAATGAAGTGCTTGGTTGTGAGCTTTGAAATCCTAAATAACCTTTTTTGTTCCTGCATATCAGATGACTTCTTGTGCAGTGACCACAAACAGTGTATCCCTGAAATGCAAGTGTGCGACGGCCAAGCCCAGTGTCCCGACGGCTCTGACGAGAAGCACTGTCAGTCACCAAATCCCACTGCCACCTGTAAGTCGAGACAGAAAGCAGACCAGCACATGCAACTGGGAAATTACAGGAATAGTATATTGATCCTTCTCCCTCCACTTGTAGTTCTAGCTAAACAAAAACCCCAACTCACAGCTGATGCACTTTCTACACCCAATAGCAACCATAGTTTGAAACATCATACTAACTAAAACATACACTGCTAAACCAACAACTGAAAACAAAACTAGAAAATCTCCTAATTTGCTGTTACTTTGCTCACCTTTCAATCTAAGCTAGTTTCTTTTGATTTGTTATTTTTCTCTTTGCCAAGCCTCTGATGAGCTCAGCACCAGATCGACTCCTCTGAAGTGCCGCAATGGTTTTAAGCTGTGCGACGACGGCCTGGAGTGCGTCATGTACAGCCACTTATGTGATGGAGAAAAGGACTGCAAGGACGGGTCAGATGAAGAGGGATGTGCTATTCAGTGTAAAGCAGGTGCCTTATATATATATTTTTTTTCCCTTTTGAGTTGGAAAAATACTGATCTAAGGTTTTAATGGCAGGAAACATGTCTGATTATCTTGAAGGAAAATGGTCTTTCTCTTTCCCAGGTGAGTTCCAGTGTTCCCATGGGAAAAAATGCCTCCCACAAGAGCGAGTGTGTGACGGGCAAAATGACTGTCTGGACCGATCTGATGAAACTGACTGCTCAGTTATGATTGAGGGCTGCCATCAGCGCTGTGATAATAATACTCGCTGCATACCAAAGAGCTTCCTGTGTGATGGAGAGAGAGATTGTGCTGATGGGTCAGATGAGGAAAACTGTGGTGGGTGCCTTTCAGAAATTTCAGAAAAGCAAAGCATGCAAACGTGAAATTACATCCACGTTTATTTTCCTCTTTCCAGGTTTGGTGTCCTGTGCGGATCATCAGTATCGATGCGTTAGCGGTCAGTGCGTGTCTGAGGCACTGAGATGTGACGGATATGCCGACTGCAGTGACGGCTCTGATGAGCTGCACTGCTCGAGGCCCCCACGCTGCCTCACACAACTCCGATGCCCACACACTCATGAGTGTTTGCAGAAAGAGTGGCTCTGCGATGGCGAGGACGACTGCCAGGATGGTTCAGACGAGAAGGTGGGGAATGAAAGTCAAGTACATCTTGATTTGTCGAGCTAAGAAGAAAGGGAATGCTTAGAAAAACAGAGCAAAGCGTGTAATCATTATCATTTCTGTCCAGAACTGCAATGCTCCTCCAGCAAAGTGCTTAAAGTTCCAGTGGCAGTGTGGAGACAGCATTCAGTGCGTTCCTCTGTCATGGAGGTGTGATGGGAGGAAGGACTGTTACAATGGCATCGACGAGGAAAAATGTAAGCATGTTCACTGTTGATGTCATAGTTCATTGGACGGATTCACACACATTTGATTAGTTAGAAGGGGAACTCATCATTTTCAAAGTGACTGTAATTTGAATCCCTAATTTGTGCATTTTTATTTTTAATGAGTAAGAGTATGCCTGTGGTGCTTCAAATGACCCACATTTTTGCCCATTAAAATGAGAGAATTTCTATCCTAAAAACCTCTTTTCTGTTTCTGGATGTTTTTAAACTAGAGGAAATCCTCGGTTTTATTCACTGTTGGGAAGCTGTGTAAATTACACACATTCACCATTAATTTTAATTGTATTTTTCATCTATTAATTTTCACAGGTAGCCAGAAAATATGCCCTTCTCATCTTTACCAGTGTGGCAGTGGAGAGTGTGTGGACACTAACCTGGTGTGTAATGGCGTCACTAACTGTGCTGATGGGTCAGATGAGGGTGTGAATTGTGTGCAGCACAGCTGCTCCAGTCCATCGGCTCCCTTATGCGACCACAGCTGTGTCAGCACACCGTATGGTCCGGTCAGTGCAGAACAATGTGTATTTGGTTATCTGGCAATTTCTCATAAATGGTAACTATATGTATCATCACATCTCTGCTGAACTTATCCTGGAAATGTCATCTTCCCGTATTTTTCCAGAAGTGCTACTGTGCTGCGGGTTTCAGACTGATGTCCAGAGCCACACACTGTGTGGACATCGATGAGTGTACAACAACACCTCATGCCGTATGCAACCACATTTGTCGGAACACCCGTGGATCCTACAGCTGTCATTGCCACCCTGGCTTCTACCTGGAACCTGATAACAAAAGCTGCAAGACGAAAGGTGCAGTTGGTCTGGATGCATTCTGTCTCTAAATGACTCTTTCTCCATCATTTTGTCACTATTACCACATCAGGAACATCACTGTCACTTTTTTCCCCCACTAAAATCAGTTATATTTTTCATAACATAGGCTCATCTGAGCAAAAGGCACTAACAGTCAAAACCTATTGTGTCAAAACATACAAAGTCAGTCACTTCAAGTATTGTTCATACACAAAAGGAGATGTACATGATTTATTTGAAATGTGACAGTATGATTGCTGAATGTCAGAAAAGCAAAATTAAACTATATTTATCAGAGAACACGGGGGAAAAACAGACTGAGGCCATGGAACAAACTACTGTATATTACATCAAAGTCCCACTGCACTGAGCTACTCCTAACTTGCAAACGGCAGCAACTCTATGTATTTATGCATTGTAGACAGGATCAAGACAAGCTACGTTCAAACTGGGCATCAGATTGTGGAAGAAAAGTGATTTTAATAACCAGGCAGGCTAGTCTGTGTATTAAGAAAATGCCATGACAATTTCTAGGGTATACAGAGAAGGATCACAAAAGAGAAACTATCCAGTGACAAGCAGCTCTCTGGGTGAAAATGCCTTGTTGATGTCAGAGAACAATGGCCAGACTACTTTAAACTAATAACTCAAATAACCGCTTGGTGCAACCAAGCTATGCAGAAGAGCATCTCTGAGCACACATGTCGAACCTTGAAGCAGATGGACTACAGTAGCAGAAGACCACACTAGGTGCCACTCCTGTCAGCTAAATATAGGAAACTACAATTTAAGCTACAGTTCACACAGGCTCACCAAAACTGGACAACAGAAGATTGGAAAAAACACTGTTCACAAAAACCCTCCATGGTCACCAGATTTCAATCCTATAGAGCAGTGGTTCTCAAACTTTAGTAGTATAGGCATATTTAAAACCACATACAGTTTACAGAGACAATTTTATTTCTTATGTGAGTGTTATTTATTGTAACTGTCATAAACAGGATGTGACATAATGATAAAAATAACACCTGTACTGCATTAAAACATTTACAGCAGGTGGGATATCCAATCTTTAAGTGATGACCTGATGAACCCTGCTCCCGGGTCCAAACTACTCTGAGTCTATTAAGGATGTTGTGTTTTTTTTTTTACATGTTTTAATGCTTTGAATCTTCTATTTAATCTGAACAAGCTCCTGAAAAAAGTCAGGGATCACTGTCGGCCTCTCTCTGTTTTTATTACCACTATTCATTTTAAAGCTCCGTTTTTAAAACCTTACGATGTAACTACAGCCCAGCCCATGCAGCAGTATGTTAATGACTAACCTTATATCTCAGTTGTTCTCCTGACTGAAGTTTGGTCCGTTTAGAGCATCCTGCCATGCGATTGAATTTGTCCCTAACCACCGCGAACCCTCACGTTAACCTTTATGGAGTGGAAAACGTTAGTATTCATCCTCCAGCGTCACTGTGTTTATATTATGCTAACTATAGCTGTGTAGCTAGCCACCACACAGCACATCATTATATACCAGCTAGCCCAACTTCAGTAACCCTACAAACGCCACTGCTGTTTCGTTTTCGGTCTTCATTCAGAAGCGATAGCAGAGCTGTATGTTTTAATTTTTGCTGTGGTGGTTAAGACGCTGGATTTTTGGCTTCGTGGTTCGTGCACGTTGAAGCCCAGTTTGCTCTGCATGGCATTTCAGCCAACAACACAAAATGCCATCGTGTGGTAGCCTCACTGGATCCGCTGTCCACTTGCCATTTGATGACCCTCGTCCGGGACCTCCCCACCCACCCAAGGGAAATACACCACTCTCAAGGTGCTGCTGCTGCCACATAATAGAAGTGGATCGCATTCTCACAAGCATCAGGTGCTTCGGCATCCACGCAATAGTTCCCGACTCACCGACGGCATCTCCCGCGCCCCCACCAATTCTCCCAGGGGTCTTCAACTCATCGATGGTGGCTGGGATTGCGGCACTGCGGAAAAAGGCCTGTTTTTTACCATCAGAGTGACAGAGCCGTGCTGCCTTTGCAGTTTTAAGGCCCAGGGAAACAAGCCCTTCAGCGCTCTGTAGCGGCTGTGATGATAAGGAAAGGCTGCTCTTTATAGAGGACTCGCGCTCTGAGACATTTTCTGATTGACTTCAGCTCCCAGAAGAGCTTCTGGTACTCTCGTGTCATCTTTGCATACCTCTACAATTGTATATAATTTAATCTTAAACAAAAATTGCAGATTTCCTGCGTACCACCAGAGAGAGCCAAAGTACCACTGGTGGTACACGTACCACAGTTTGAGAAAGACTGCTATAGAGCACCTTTGGGATGTGGTGTAGCAGAAGGTTTGCATCATGGATGTGCAGCCAGCAAATCTGCAGTAACTACGTGATGCCAGCATCTCAACACGGACCAGGAATGTTTCAGCACCTTGTTGAGTCTATGCCATGAAGAATTGAGCTTCAAACTATAAGCTTCCATAGTTTGTAGATGAGAAAGTAATCAACACATTAATAAAATGTATTTAGTAGTGACTTATGTTTAGAAAGTACAGACTTGGACAGTCTTTGGCCTTTAGTTTTTGTGTGCGTGGTTGTATCACTTCTTCTACAGAAGACACACAAAAGTAACTTTGTCATGTTTCCTCCTAGATGAGCCCTTGCTTCTGGCATCAGTGCAGTCAGACTTGTTCCTGCTGGGAGTCCATAGTGGCACGCTGCATCTCCTCACCTCTACCAGTCGACCCGCCTTCTCACTGGATTATCACTGGGTTCAACAAAGGATTTACTGGCTGAGCACTGACTACCAGAGCATCCGCTGGGTCGACATGAGAAACCCAGACAAAAGAGGAAACTTGGTCAAAGGTAAAATTTCGTAATCTGGGCCTGTGTGTGTGAATTTAAAAATTGGAAATGTAGTGAATCTACTTAATTTAGGACCTCACTGGACCCCACTTAAAAATATAGATAGATTCAGATGGTGAACCATCAGAATCTGAGATGCTGTTATTAAATCTCACAGGTGTGAAGTCTGATTTTATCGCAGTGGACTGGGTGGGTAAGAATTTATACTGGGTGGATGGCCTGGTTGGTCAAATTCTGGCAGTGAAACTCAGCAACGCCACAGTGAGGTCTCAGGACTGCACTGTGGTCCTGGGAGAAGATTTGGAGCAGCCAAGCTCCTTGGTTCTGCTGCCACATAAAGGGTGAGTTTCTCTGCTTTGTGCATTTATTTTGTAATACGAAAGCACTCCAGCTTCGACATCACAGACATGTATTGTATAATTAATGTTCTTAGGCTGATGCTGTGGTCTGAGATCGGCAGCACGCCTCAGATTAAGCAGTCTGGGATGGATGGTTCAGAGAGGAAGGTGGTTGTGAGCCACAGTTTGAGTTGGCCAGTCAGTTTGGCCTATGACCTCCTAGATAACAGAGTGTACTGGGCAGATGAGAAACTGCGCTGCATTGGCTCAGCCTCTCTGGATGGAGGCAACATCAAGGTATTTGAATGTCAAACCGCAAAACAAGTAGAACCCAGAGACATAAGAAAGGCAAAACATATGATGTGGTGTCTGAGATGCCTTTAATAGGCCATGTTACTAATAATCTGTCTTAAAGTTTATGATTATGGATAGTATCCCAGCAGTTATGCAATATCACAACACATGTGTTGTGATATAATGTAGTAATGGCTTTCTTTTACTAGATCATTCAGTTGGCTGAAACGCCAAACCCTTTCTCAGTGGTGGTCTTCAATGATCGTGTTTTCTGGTCTGACACAAAGAGAAGAGTCATACGCTCAGCTGACAAGAACACTGGGAAAGACCAAAAGGTTGTTCTGAAGAGACCGGGACAGCCATTTGGGCTAAAGGTGAACTCCGACAGTAAAATGAAGTCACGTTTGATCAAAGACTGTCACCGCTTATGAGTCTTAATGTTAAATCTTCTTCTCTCCCTAGCTGATGCATGCCCTTTCGCAGCCAGCTGTGCCCAGTCCTTGTGACCATCTGCGCTGCTCCCATATTTGCCTTCTGGCCCCCCCGGTGACGGGCAGATCAGCAGTATGTCGATGCCCGAAGGGTCTGCTGCTTTCCAAGGACAACATCACCTGCTCTCGGCCCAGGGATTCATCTTTCATCCTGCTCCTGTCTCAAAACACAATTTACCAGGTGACATGTTTTGTAGTGATGTTAAGGCCTTCCATCCTGCAAAACCCTTCTAGACAACACATTTAAGAAATTAGGTCTTCTGCTTTGTTCCACTTTAAATCGCACCTCCCTGCTACTGGCAGATTTACTTGCGCTCCTTGCGAAGGGATGGTATCGCCCTGAAAAAAATGCCAAACAGCAGAGTCTTGGCCCTCCCGGATATAAACGAAGCCATGGGGCTAGATATCTCCACCCAGGAGTTGTATGTGGCTTATGCGGGATCTGTGGATGTTCTGAAAATGGGAAGCTACAGGTCAAGACAAGGACTCACACCTGCTGGACAAGTCCTAAAGCTGAAGGTATGCTTAGGGCGAAAGTCTTGTATTTAATGAAAAACAGTAGGATGTTAAACCCTGAAGATGTAACCATCTGACATTTAATTTAAAGTTAATAATCTAACTCTACATAATGGCTTTAGTTGGTGATTACATCAGCCTCAGCTCTCCAATAAGTGTCACTTTCTGGCGAAACTTTAAGTCTGGAAGCTATCCCTCTCTGTCTTAAGGATGATTCGGTCACGGCTCTGGCAATTGACTGGGTGACCTCTAACCTCTACTGGAGCAGCAGCTCAAGGCCCAACATCCATGTGACATCCCGCAATGGTGGCTACACCACGTCTCTCCTGCAAGGATCACTGACGGTGAAGGCAGCACTTATCATATTTCTGCTCAGACGTGAGCGCTTACATCTGATGTTTTCATGGGTCTTCTCAGTCTGCTGTGATATTTGCCATTTGTTTTTATAAATGTTCTCGATCAAAGTTTATTTACTCGCTTTTTCTTTGGTGTAAACAGACTTCTAAATTGTTGTCAGTGAAGTTTTCACATTTGCAAGTATTGGTTCATATATAATAAAAATGTACTTTTAGCTACATCTTTATTGTATTACCAGTCCTAAAAATAATCCACATAGGAAAAGAGACTGCTAACACACACCTTGCTTTATGCTCCCTTCCTTGCCAACCCAATGACCTTCTCATGTTAAACGTTTAATGTTTAACAATTGTCTTTTCAGCTTGCCACATCCATCGCGTTACATCCCTCCTCAGGTCGACTTTGCTACACAGCAGTGGTCATGGCAGGTGGGAAGAGCCTGACGGAGGTGGTCTGTGCCTGGATGGATGGCCGGAACAAAGCAGTGCTGTGGGGAAAGTCGAGAGTCCCCAACTCCCTGGTGTTCGTTAATAATGGGACCAGAATCTACTGGGCTGACACTGGTGAACAGTTAAATGCACAATAAAACAAAAAACCTCCCACACACTCATAAAGACCGGGACAAATTTGCATTCAATTCCTCTGAGCAGTAACTCAACACAGGATCCTAATAAAGAAGTGGAAAAAACTGTATAGTAATGACATATATGAGATGAGAGTATTTTTCTTTGATAATCCTGTTTCTGTGTTTGCCTCATTTCTTTCTTCAGATGGAGTGATCAGCTCCATTGGAGTGGATGGTTTGGGATATAAACAGTTTAAGGCAGGACCTGATCTGATTATGTCCTTGACAATTACTGAGAACATCCTGTTCTGGGTCACACAGGGAAAGGGTAAGATACTTTTTGCTTTGATGTGTTTTCACACACCTTGTTTAGTTGACATGACATCATATTCAGTGATACTAGCAAATGGCTGAAGTGCTAAGATATTTATTTGTACAAAGGCTAGTGTAGAGATTAATTTTTTATTTTATTTTTTGGAGGGGGGGTGTTTTTGTTTGTTTGGGGTCTTTTTCTTATTTGAATTTGTATATTAATGTTTTGTTGAAATGTATCTTTAGTATTTTATTTCAATTTGAAATGTTAAGATATTTGCATTTATATAAAGGTTTGAAAAATTTTTGGATGTTGTTTTACTGGCAATTGATGTGAAAAATTTCGTTACTTTGGGATTAAGTCAATGGGGTTTTCCTACCATTTCACTCTAATCACTTCATAGCCTTCTATCACCTTTGCTTCATCTTTCTTTTTCCCATTAAGGCAACAGTTGGCATAACAAACTAATTTAAATGTGAATAGTTTGATCTTTTTCTCTGCAGTCTCCACCATTCAAACACATCAAGAAATGAGTCCCCCTCCCCCCAGAACAGATTTGCTGATTTCTGTAGTATATTTTTTTTGGTTTTTTTAAATTGTACTTTTCAACTTGTGTAGATGTGACCAAGCTGTGGTTCAGTGATGGCCTCCAGCCTAAACAGTTGTGGTTTGAGACAAAGACCAGCGTGGTGGAAATCAGAGCTCACAGCAATGACACCCAGTCAGGTAGGTGGAAAAATAAGTTGACAGAAAGCAGTTGACAAAATATGGGACATGAATATTTTTACACTTCTGTCAACAGAAATTATCTCCCAGCTGTATGATGGTATGCATGAAAGCCTAGATTAAGCTTCTGCCAAAAAAGTATCAGTATGCCCAATTAGAGGTTTAGTACATCCTTCTCTTTACAAACCATATACTATGGTGCACTGTGGGGGAAAGTGGGTAGATTGCAGAATAAGTAGGTAGAACAGTTAGGACTACTGAGCGGACGCTATGTAATGCCACTATGAGAGAAGGTGAGGTATGACGGGCATGAGAAGAATCTGAATAAAGCACTGTTACAGGAAACCGAGAAGAGATGTTACAATAGCTGACGCCATTTCCAAAGTCAAAACTGGTTGCGGTATGACGCCAAAAAATTACATTTTTGGTTTCAGTCAGTCTCATAGAAGGCAAGAGGTATTGATCACATAATTTCAATGAAAGCAATCAATGCGTGTGTGTGTGTGTGTGTGTGTGTAATGTGTTGAAAACTAAAGCCATGTGCATTTAGCTTCTTTATGATAAGTATTCAAATGGAACAGATTGGCAAAGAGTGCGATAGTCAGGGAGATGAAGAAAGTGGGCAGGAGTGCTCGGAGGCTAGGTGTACAGCAAAGGAAAAGGCTCATCTTCAGTTTTATTTGAGGCTCGATAATCCTGCCTGACAAACAAAGAAGTGAACTGGTACGATTTCCAAGGAGGGAGATGCACAGAGCTGTCATAACTACAGAGGGATAAAATTGAGCTTTACAATGAAGATATGGGAAAGAGTTGTTGAGGCAAAGTTAAAGAGACTAGACAATTGGTGAGAAACAGTGTGGCTTCATAATCTTAAAGAGCTCTATAGATGCTTTGAGACTGATGGAGAATTACAGAAGGACCTGCACACTCTTCATGGATCTAGAGAAAACACGTGATGGAGTGCTGAGGAAAAAAACTGCAGTACTGCATGAGAAAAGTGGGTCTAGCAGAAGTATAAGAGTGGTGCAGGGCATTTGAGAGAGCAGTGAGACTGAGGTGAGGTTTGTGGTGGAATGACAGATGGGTTCAAAGTGGGGGTGGGATTGCATCAGGGCTCTGAGCCTCTTCTTATTTTGAATGGCGATGGGCAGGGCAATGATGAAGAGCTCCTCCGAAGACTGAACTCCTAGAGGAGAGCAGTTTGAGAACAGGTTTGTGATACATGTTTAGCCGCATTAAATGAAGGTGGTTGTTTGGGTTAGTGCGAACAGACTGCATCTGATTTTACAGTCGTTTTTGATGTCCATCACTGGTCGCCAGATCTATCAATTTCCTGTTGAAGAGCCGTGAGCTTCTCTTCCAAGATCTTATCCATATTATGTTCAATGAGTACAGCCTAAGTACTCACAGCCATCCCCATCGCTTCAGTCATAGCAGCTAGCCTTGTGGGGTTTTGAACAGCTGCAACTGCTTTCTTTAATCTTCGATAAGCCAGGGTCAAACCAGCTCTGATCAGCAAGAAGCTTGTTATCATGGTTCAGAATAGGTAGATGTCTTCAATCGATAGTCCTGCCAGGCATGCAATGCGCCAATTCCACCACCCATCCATCGTGTATCCGGCAGAGAATATCCCTCCAGGACAGTCGGGCTTTTCCGAACCCCGGCTTCTAATCAAGAAGAGTGTCAATTGCATTTAGGGATCAGTTGATCAAATGCATAATTCTTCTTTAGGTTTTAGTGAACAGGACTGAGAGATTCTTCTGGGAGTTAGAGTTTTAAATGAGACTAGACAGAAGACATGAAGCCAAGCAAGGAAAGATAAGGGAGGGAGAAAGATGTGGCCTTCTCTGTCAAGAGCCAAGAGAGAAGAAATGAGCAAGACTACTAAGGAGGTTCACAGATGTAGTGAAGAACGACATGTAGATGGTTGATGTGTCGTACTTCACTTCACCTATACAAATTAGTATTACCAGAGACTTGTTTTTTGTTTTGTTGTTGTTTTCGTGTGCTCCCAATCCCAGTCCCAAGCCTGGATAAAGAGGACGCTTGCATCAGGATTACTATTTTGGATAATTGGATAATGATATGTAATCAAAATTAATTTCAGACTAATAAACAAGCAACCAGTAGATTTTAGGGTGTGTATTATCTGAAGCCTAGTTAGTGAAACAGCTTTGTGCCAAATCCAAGTAGACAAATCATAAAAACTATGTTAATCACACTACATGTTTTCAAACCATCATTAAGGCATTTACTCAACTGCTGAGACGCCGCCATCAGGAAGCATTTATATCTATTCTTTGGCAGTTAGACAATTCTAACTCACTGTTGCCTTTTTTTTTTCTTCTTTTTTTAAAGAACAAGGCAAAACCAGCTACTTGCAAAACAGGAATTGTAATAACTGCAAACTTTTTTTTGCCTTCATTATTTTTCTTGTTCCTCTCCATTTCAAAATGGAGGAATCTGGCAAAGTGTGTCACAGTACAGTGTAGGCAGAATGAATAGTCTCACTTAGGCAGAGTTGGAGCCGAATTGATGGCAGGGTGATGTGATACCTGCGGGGGGGTGTCTGGCTGTGTGCTGCAGCGGGAAAGGGTAATGATACTGGGGCTGTGGTATGCATTGTACACTTATTCTCTTCACCCATAACCCTTTTTCATAATATGCACATGTAATACATATATCATACATAAACTGGAGGTTTTGAGTATTCTTTAGCACATACATACAATGAAACTCTAATTACTAACAGAAATAATGTACTTTATGAAAGTCTGTATAAATGGTAAATAGCACTTTTCTGTGCAGAATCCATCAATGTCAGAAACGTGGCTACAAGATGAGTAACATGTAGTGATGTCTAATGAATAATCAAGGTTATATAAAGTTATTTGTGTTGGGTACTTTACAGGATTCCCGAAAAGCCAGTAGTTCTGGAAGCTAAGGAAGATGCTATTTTATACGTAAATGTGGTGTTACCATGACTCCTGAGATATTTTTAAAGAAAAGTGCTTCAGATAAATTTGAGCCTGCATGCTGTAAATACTGCTTACTCGTTTCCTCCAGGAAGCAATAGCTGCTCCAAAAACAATGGAGGGTGTGTCCATCTGTGCCTGGCCTATCCCGGAGGTAGGATGTGTAAATGTGGGCGTGGCTTTTACACCTTAAATGTCACTTCTTGTGCCCCAATTACCTCCTGTGCCCCTGGAGAAGAATCCTGCTTTGACCGCAGCCAGTGTATCAGCAGGAGCAAGTTCTGTGATGGACAGGTTGACTGCCTGGACCAGTCGGACGAACAGGACTGTGAGTTTTCGACCAGAATAAAGAAGCAGTATTAAGTGAACTTAGTTTGTCATGCCCTGAATACAAATATTAATTCCACGTTAAACTGCCTTGTTTCGGAAAGTAATGGGGGGCTATGGTAAGATGGTATGACAGTCTTATTTGAATTAACCTGAGTAAAAAGTGTAACACTATCCTCCAGATATTTAACAGAACTCCAGAATAAATTAGGTCTACACAATTTGCCAAGTTACCTTTTACAAATGGGCACATGCTTTTCTCGCGCCTGCCAATTAATTTGGTTGAGACGAGGTATTGCCTGAGTACATCTTGAAGGAGGCAACATGCATGAGTCAGTTGCTCAAAATGTTCCAGTCTATCTACGGTGTTCCTGCAGGAGAACATTTACAAAGGCTTTGTACTATTTAGTAGACAGCTTAAAGGCTCACTAATGTCCAACCTGAGCCACATTGACACGAGTCACATTTAGCTCCAACAGGTTAAAATCAAAAGCTAATATGTGTCTTAAAGGATCAGCACAGCACTGGGAAAACTCATCTTAAGTTTTGAAGGAAAGATTGAAGCCACTATCACATGTCTATAGTCAATGGGAATAAATCGCCAGCAGCCTGTTGGCTCCGGTTAGTGTAAATGTTTGAAATGAGGAAACTGCTAGTCTAGATCTGTCCAAATGCCAAAAAAAACAATGAAGCTACACATGCACCTATGTTTACCAAGCAGCTCATTTCAGTCACTGACGGTGACTTTCTCTTTAGGTCCAACTTCAAACACTGCCTCATTTGGAACTGAAGACACTGATGGCCACCCTCTGGATTCGTCATCATCTACATCCAACACAGACAAGAACTCTGTCTCATTTCAAGACTCTGCCTCCTGTGATCTGCAACGCTGCAGTAGTCATGGGAACTGCATTGTGGAGGGTAAATTCACTCGCTGCCAGTGTCTGTCTGGTTACAAAGGAGAGTTCTGTCAAGAGGAAGAAAGGCAAAGCCATGTCGGGGTGATCCTGGGTGTCTTCTGCCTCATTGCAGTGCTGATAGTCGCCGGATTCATTTTCACTAAAAGGTACTAATTGCAGTAGAGGGAGAGCCCAACTACTTGCTTACCCAGATTGTCTTTGTCTTGAAAGAAACTGAACTGAAAAGTCGGCTCCTGCAGTGATTAGTGTTTGAAAAACATTTTTGGATTCGTAACTTGGTGAGTAACGTCCAGTAGAAAATTAAAATGTGGCTTCCAATTTCAACAGGAGAGGATGGGAGCTCACCAGAAGCAGATCCGCAGACAAGGAAAATCTCATGGCCAACATGGGTCTATCGAGTGATGTAGAGTCTGACTCTGAGGTAAACTGTTATTCCTGTGAGAACTGTTGCATTTGAATTAAAAGCCAAAATACATGATTTATTAATTGTTTGTCTCCTCCTTCAGGAGGTGGACTCCCCAGCTGACGTAAACCCTCTGGCACAGCTCGATTAGACTACTCTACTCTGCACTAGCTGTTGTGCTAGCTTTATAGCAACCTGGAAATTCTCAGGCCTCATGTGTAATTTGTGAGGATGCATTTCAGTGGCTATGAAAATGCTGAAAAAAAGTGCAATTGTATAGAATGAAAGTTCTCACTATTAGCGGCTGCTCTCAAATTTATAAAAATTTTCCACAGGCTGATTTGATTGCTGGGAGTGGTTTGGTAAATTTGCTGTGTCATATAAGTGAGTCAGGAGAGACGAGCTGAGCTGAATCGATAAGAGTTGAAATACAATAATAAAAATAAAGACGTTAAATCACTTGAACCAGATTTTCTTTATTTGTAATGTGCTCAGTGTCTCGATCTCTGACATTTCTCTCTTTAACCATTTGTGTACACAGTATGTTTTACATCTTACACTCCTGGGAGAGTTCTCACAATGGGGCGTATCTACTTAAGATTACATTCTGTTCCTGCCAACACTGAATGTCTGCCACACTTTTTTTTTTTTTTTTTTTTTTTTTTTCCTTTTCAAGGTGAGTTCTTATCCATTCATCAGTTATTCTGATACCAGTTTTAAACAAAAGCTTACTTGTTTCACTTTTGTTCCTGGTTTCCACTCGGTTTCTCCCTGGAACATTTGTTGCTGTTTGTTTTCTGTCATTAAATCTGATTAAAAGCTGTTTTATCCTGAAACTATGAGCATGCATGGTTTTTAATTTGACAGTATTGCTTGTTGCCTTAATACTGTAAGTTGGGGGAAGAGAATTTTCAATAAAATAACTTGTTGGTAATTAATATCTCAATATCCTTGGTATTGAAACATGGACACAGCTGGGAGTATGGAAAAACTGAAATGTGAGAAACTGTTCAGAGGCTTTGTAATCAAATGACCTAATTCAAATGAGGTGTGGTGTTTGGCAAGTGTCATGCATTACCTTCACTCTGCCTCATACTGGGGCCTGGGAAAGCAAACATGACATATCAAATGGTGTCAGTGGTTGACACTTCTTCCTTTTTTTTAAAATAAATTCTATTCATAAACTGATGCGCTTTTCTGCAGACATTATTTTTCTTTTTTTTCTTAAACTTTTTTTTTTTAATTTAGTTTCAACATGGTTCTCTCCATTACATTTGTTACACAGTGCTTTGTGACTTGTGTGAGAAAAGCGCTCTACAAATAAACTTTACTCACTCAAATTCCTAGTAGGGCAAGTATCTGAATTTCAACCCAATACACTCCCAGTTCTAGTAAAGAGGAAAAACTGGTTTCAAATTGCCAGGTTCAAAATGGTATGCCTTGACATTTCAATTCCTTTTATTGCTACTACTCAAATGTTGATTTTCAGGGCGGTTAAGCTGGCAATTAATTTGTTTAGCTTCAGACCACAGAAATACTTGGTTATTTTTAGGAAATGGTGATGGCTTGGGTTCAAATACGCCAGAACATTCCTTAAAAATGTGTGTCAGTTCAGGGATTAGTTTAGGTCCTTGCACTTCATTGGGTTTAGGTTATGGAGGTGTGTCACTTTGGGTGTGTCTCCAGGGTTAAAGGTAGACGCATTCATCTGTTTACCTCACCTGGTTTTGACGAGCAATAAAGGTAGGGTGAGCGTGGGTGCCAAAAAAGGGATTAAACATGTTTTGGTTTTTGTAAGTAATCTCTTTGCTTAACTTGGTAGATGGCCTGCTACATGATTTATGAATCTACTAATATATCAATTTAGAAACTGGCTATTTTGAAAGTATCTTTATGACTCTGCAATTTTATGCCTACTCTGTGTTCTACTCTTCAATTCAAGTAGATGTCTTAGATGTAGCGCCAACAAGTGTTTTTCACTTCCTCGGTCCATGCATTTAATTGCCAATCTGCAGAGTCTGGCTACATGTTGAGCCGATCTGCCACACCTGAAAGAAATATGAATTTCCTTCGGAAATAACTTGTGTTCCTCAATAGGCTTTGCTCTAAAACCTCTACTTTAGAGGATGATACTTTTTATGTATCAAGCATTGCTTTCCAGGGCTTTCCACTGTCTTGGCAGGTAAGAAGCAGTGAGTAGTCAAGATTTCAAGCTCAGATTATCGTGAGTAAAACCAAAGCTGGGGTCGTTTGTTACTTGTCAATTACATAGATGCATACATATTCTTTGAGTCCCACTGGAATCCATTTGTCCTGCAAACTGTGAGCTTCTCCACAGTGGGCTTTCCTCTAGCTTATTCCAAATATGACAACTCTGGGAGACAGCAAGAATTGGTGGGTATCTTTCAAAGACTGTTTCCAAACTCTTAGCTTTAAGGGTTTCTTTGTTGCTGAGTTTTGGGATGTTCTCCTGGAGTGGCATAACATTCTTTGACACTAGGAATGAACACATTTGCAAAATGAATTCACCCTCCATGCTCTGTGGACTCCTAGCCATTTTATCTTCAAATCCATCTCTTCTTGAGCTGAAAGATTAAACACTTGAGTTGAATTTTGAAACGGAGCTTTCTATGACCAATAATTGTCTGGTCAGCCATCAAATTGCAGCATACCGACACTCAACATTTCCCTCCACTTGAAGTATTTTGTGATGCCTTGGATACCTTGAGGGTTGGAGGAAAGCTTTAAATAAAACTGTGGCTGCTGTACTACGGAAACACTCGTTTTAGACAGGAGTAGCATCTAGCTGTTTTCTCCCTTTTTCATCCTGATGTTGAGAGATTAGCTGGTATTGTTAACCTGACAGTAGATATCCCTTGTTTGGCTTGAATTTCATTTGTTCTCAAACTTAACCTCTCACTTAACTGTTCAAAATGCTTGCAGACGGTTTGTGTGCGTGTTCTTCATTGGGTTTTAGTCGTGTAACTTTGGGTGTGTCTTTAACGATAAAGGTAGTTGCATTCACCTGTTTACCTCACTTGGTGATGACAAGCAATGAAGGTAATGTAAATATTGGGGTGACACCTTCTGTTGACTGCAGGTTGTTTGTATTAATTTACCCTGCACCGACTTATGGTTTGGAAAGTACCAGTGGTTGAACAAACAGCTTGGAAGTCCATGCAGTTTGTTTTGAGCAGTCATCTTATGAGTGTTCATATTAAAATATTCAAACTATTCAGAGTCTAACTGCAATTCATCATGTACATGATAATGAGTCAAGTTTGACAGTCTGAGAGCAGAGATGGCACAAAGCCCTTAACCTTTTTCATATCAGACGAGACAGCAAAATAGTAGTCCACTGAGGTGCTGTGCTGCAATAGCCATGAGATAATGACTGTGATTTGTGCCGACTAATTTATGTTTGTTAAGAGCCAGTTGATGAACGGTTACAATAACACGGCTCCACATGTGAACATGGAATTTAAGAGGCTTCTGCTGAAAATAACATGACAAAAAACATGTCTTGAATATAAATGAACTTTCTTAGAATATTGCAAGAAAGTTCATTTATATTCAAGTGAACCTGAAATGCCTGCAAGCAGTTTTAGTTGCGTGGCCCCCAGCCTCTCTTACACGTGTCAACAGTATTTATATAACATGTGCATGAATGTCTGCATGTTACGCAGACATGTCAGTCATGTCAGGTCTTGCTACCCGAGTCCTGTTCTTACTTGCTTTCTAATCCTTCCATCCACCCACTAGGCTAACAAGCACACCAACTGCATTTCAGTACAGAAAAGGGTGCGCAGACCTCTTGCCTGGCTTTTTCTATGTCACATAATTTTTCAGCCTTCCTGTGTAATGGTTTATTGTCTGAAATACATCACACAAATAAAAATTGGTAGTTCCCACGGATGCCAGAAAAATGAATTTTTGTGAAACGCTGTGACTCAAACTTTGAGATGTCAAGTTTCCATACAATCCCCATGAAATTTAAAGGTTCTACATCCGTGTCAGAGAGGTGTGTGTGTTCCTGTCTAGCTATCTTTGTGAGGTTTAGGCATTCATTTTTAATGGTTAGGGTAAGGGGCAAGGGAAACCATTATGTCAATGAAGGTCCTCACTAAGATAGCTAAACGGACGTGTGTGTGTGTGTGTGTGTGTGTGTGTGTGTGTGTGTGTGTGTGTGTGTGTGTGTGTGTGTGTGTGTGTGTGTGTGTCGATTTTAAAGATAAGACTGAGGGAGGAGTGTGTGCATAAAAACACAAGCAGGTATTCACAGCTTTCTTCCTCTTCCCGCCTTCTCTTTCAGTGAGGGAGCGTGTAACAAAAAGGGAACTTGAAAAAAATTGACCAACGTCATCATTCAAACAGACACCTGGACAATCCTGCGACTAAAATTCCACTGGCAGCGTTTTAGGACTTCGTGGCTGACTCCTTTTTGCTTCTGTGAGTATATGGCAAGTTCATTTTCTTGTACAGTGTGTTCCTCTGTCGTGTTACTCCTGCGCCTGCCTTGGAGCTAGAGAGGAGCACAATGCTGCTGGGAAACCAGAATAACAAGATTCTTGTTTGTAAGTACAATAACATCCACATCGGCACTTATTGATCACAAAAAAGCTGGTTTGTAGATGTTGGTCTCTTAAGCGCATTTATTGTAGCTTACTTGAGCAGTTAGGTCACCGTCCTCGGACAGCTTAGCTTAAAATGATGTGTTCAGAATCTAAAAACAGTTGAACATACTTGGAACGCATGGCTGAGAAAGAGTTACTTATTCTGTTGATTTGATGTGTAGGCTACCTGAGAAGAAACTGTATTTGCCGTAAGAATAGATGTGCAGCCTTCACAACGTTTCATGCAGTGGTACGTACTGCATGAAACGTTTTTTTCCCCCTTTGGTCATTTGTTTGTGATTTGAAAGTAAAATATTCTGTATACAACAGGTCTTCCTTCCTACACTCTTACACACACAGTTTGGGGGGTTTTCCCACGTGTATAAAAACAGAAAAGTATAAAAATGAATATTTGTCATTTCCGATAATACTAGTACTACTTTTTTAAATGTTGCATTTAAAAAAACAAACAAACAAAGAAAATCATCACATTTCAAGATTATTCTCCTTTTGTTTGGTCAGCAAATGTTATGGTAGCAGAGGTTAGATTAATTTTTGGGCGGGTTTCTAACCATTCATCCCATTTTCCCCATTTTCTCTCCATCTCTTATTAGTGTGCCTCCAGCTAGTCCTTCGTTTAAGATGACCACCACTTCCCTTCCTCCCGAAGGGAGAGGCATCAGCCCCAACCTGTCCGCCTGTCGAGAGTCTCAGTGTAACAACCATGGTAACTGTGTGACTCCTCCTGGTGGTGGTACAGATCTACTATGCAACTGTGATCTGGGCTACAAGGGTGACTCCTGCGGGGAAACGGTCAATGGAGCGCTAGGTTTACCTTTGACCCTCAGCGTGTTAGGCGTCCTCATTGGCCTCGCAATCCTGGCATTTGTCCTTGCCAAGTACCAGCAGAGAAAACGGAAGCAGCGAAGGTACTGACATATTGCACATGATTCTGTAAAAACGCATGTATCTAGAAAAGCTTATTTTCAGCATTTTCCCCGATTTATGAACATGTGTACTTGATTTCTTGTCAATCTGAAGAGTGGGGTTATAGAAGTGACCTTACATTGGGGTGTGTTAAATAGAACTATACACAACATCGTCTTTTGATTACTTGCCTTGGATAGTACAAAAACTGAACTTTTCCCAAATTCATATCAAACTAACTTTTGATCATTTTAATGTATGCCTTTCTAGTACTACAGCACACAGCTATACAAATTTGTTTCCAACTGACAACTTCTCAAATTTTTATTTAACCAGGAGAGAATATAATCTGTAGATTGAAGGTGGATGTATCCAGTATGACACCAGTTGACTGGTTTGGAGCCTAAAGCTGAGCATTTTGGTCTATGCTATGCTTTAGCCTTTGCTGGAGAGTGTGGGGGGGGGCGATTGGACCCGAACCCGGGCCGCCATCCTCCAGCCATGCGACACATGGTCTCCTGCTCACCCACCAAGCCAAACCGGCCCCCTCTAATAAGCACTTTCTTGATGGATTTTATATGTTCAATTACTACTTTCAGGTCATATTGGATGCAATATTTGGTCATTCTAATAGTCAAAGGGATTATGTAATGTTTGTTCAATGGCAAATGATGTAAATTGCTAGCCAATAGTCTAGTTTTAGTCATCTGGTTTCAAAACGCAAAGACGGTGACTGCAAAAAAGATAAAGACATTATAGCAGGGCTTCACTAACCAAGTGGTGAACTCATGGTGGCTAGCCCATCTTTTATACTGTTATATTATATCTGTAGGATATATCCTCTTATGTACAGTCTACATGGGATATGAGTGTGTGTGCACAGTAAAAATGGACTGTAATATTACCTCAGAGTGACTATACAACCAAGAAGGTTGTTGTTTTTAGCCATTGTTGAGTTAAATAAAAGATTAAGGTCCTCCTGCTGAAACATGAGCAGGAGGAGGAGTTAAAATATTTTGCTTAATTTAGATTTTCAAACAATTGAAACAATTTTTTTTTTTCATCACATTAGTGCCTTTCCATCACAGCAGAGCTGTGTATGTAATGTTTTGTTTTTTGTTTTCTTGGGTTTTTTTTTTAATTTTATTTAATTTTTTACTTGGTTATGGTTATTCTCACTTTTTCCCCTAGTGTCTTTGCTAAACGAATTAAGTCACTAACTTCGTATCCATGATGAGGAAAATTCACAACAAAATGAACTTTTTTTTCTTTTTTCTTCAACAGGAAACTACTGGAACAAAAAGCCTAAAACAGTGCTGCTTAACGTGGATAACTGTCGAACAGAACGTTTGACCTACTTTGATGATCAAATTGTGGCTACTATAAGAATTATTCTGCAGCATCCTGGAGACTCTAGCACCAACTTCACAAACTGAGTGCCAAGGCATATGGGAGAGTCGCTTCCTATATAGTATTTTTCCATTTATATAAATGTATCCATCTCCAGCTGCGTCGTATCGCAAGCCTCATGCTTATTAAACTTGTGCCTCATCTCGGAAAACAACAAGACTGGATAATTCTGTTGACCTAATTTTAAACTTGGAGTGAAAATGTCTGTATTCTAATCAGCAGCAGCTTCCTTGATCACATTTCTTGGATGCTAAGGCATGCTTCTGCAATTAGTTTAAACTCTGACACTTGTTAGTAAATTAATGTAAATGTTCATCCTCTGTGAGGGAGCTGCAGTTTAGTTTAAGTAAAGCAAGTGGTTGTTATTTTTCTAGTGACGGCTTCTAACAGAGATAACACTTAAGATAACTCTAGATTGTTTAACGGGCTAAGTCAGAAGCTGATTTGATGCCATACAGTTTTTATAAAAATTTATGTAGAAAATATGCACTTTTTTTCCACTCGCGTGGGTTTATTTCATTTCATTCAGTACATACTTTTGTACCGTGTGCAGTTGCTGCCTGTTTTGTATTGTTCCCCTGGAATTTCTTTCTTCTAAGCGTGTGTGCGCGCCTTTTAACACTTCAGGTTTTTCGGGAAGTATTTCTACCTATTTCTAAGTTCCCTGTCTTTGATGCTGTTGTAACAAAAATGCACCAGTACATCACTGGCCTGCTTTTACTCTCATATACGGCTATGCTTATGAAAATAATGCATGTAAATCTGTGCAGACACAATCCTGCAGAGCTGTCAACAACATGCGCATATTGTACAGATGATAGGAGAGTGGTCAGAGCAGATTTCAATCTTGGCATGTTTAAAACTTGACAGTACATGTGCTTTTAAATGAGTTCGTGTGCTCTTTGAATTTCAGCCTACAAACTGATTACCACTCAGTACACTTCTGGTCCTTGCAGGGCGTCACAGTGTTTTATCACTCAGGGTAGGCTGTCTTTGAGCCCCTGTTACAGTAAACCTCTTTTTCTGGCATCCAGTGACATGATAATATCAGGTTCGGTGTTTACTAAACTCAGACATGATGGCTGTGAACATTCAATCCTCACAGGCTGAGAACCTAACCAGTTTTGCCATATAATAAGATGTGTAACAACAAAAAAGTGGAAGCATCTGCCTTCAGGGTATAACTAGGTCAACACTTGCTGTCCTAATAAGGGACAGACTTTGCATGCTTGTTTGCAGAAGGAGGAGCTACTTGTATCATGGCAATTAGAAGTACATCCCACAAGTATAACTACTCAAGATTACACAAATTCCTCATGAGTCGGCTTTTGGCTGTATGGTCAGCCACTGTATGCAGGAAATGAGGATATTGTTTATTAGACTCATCAGACTGATTTGAACCTAAATGCTGGGAGCAGTAACACAAGACGGTACTATTACTGTATCCATCACTTGGTGGTGTTAATAAGCTGTCAGGGTAGTTCAACATCTAGCTCATAGAAGAGGAGCAAGCGTAACACTTTTAAATGTTGCAAATGCAACGTTTCACCAAACATGAGCAAACACAGCCTGTTTCTGTGCAGTTTGTCACACTATGCCTGCAAGCCAAACATACAGCTGCTGTACTTCAGTGAAAGATAGAAATGAGAGATGGCTTCACTGAGAGAGAGAGAGGATATAAGAAAGCCAGGACAAACAAGGAAGGAGTAAGGACAGTTCAGCTTATAACATCCCAATTCTTTTTAGAGTTATTTGATCAGATATTGGATCTATGAACAGGAACTTTTATTCAACTGTTATTTAAAGGTATAAAAATACTGGGACATTTAGTGCAGGCCACACTGAGTTTAAAGGGCTTTGGTAAAGTTTAAATCGCTATATGGGTCTAGTGCAGTGAGGTTTTCATGAGTTAATGTTAGGCTACATGAAGGGTGCTTCACATCAAATGAAATTTAAGCTGATTGATCAAATTCTACCTTTTAACCAGCTTTATACTGTCTATCGGTGGGAAATCAGGCATATAACATGTGCTTGCATCCTTTGTTTTTGTTTTTTTGTTTTTTGTATTCATGCAAGCACAGCATATGTGCTTGCATGAATTTTCCTGTTTAATTGTGGAGGGGCAAGCTCACCCATCTGTACCTGACAGAGCAATTTTTAAAAAAATTTCCTTTGTTGTTCTCTGCGTGTGCTCTATATCACGGATGCTCAAGCTGTGGGAATTATTTAAAAGTAGCATTTCAGTTAGAATAAACTTCAGTCCCTCCTGTTAACGTTATTTTGTCATTATATTAGTTCAAAAGGTTAAGTTAACATGGGGGGGGGCTCGTTTTTTCTTCTGTGCTTTGAGTACATTTCAGAGACTGTGCTTTTTCAACTTTTAAGTAAAGCAGTTAAATTGCCACTTCCACTTTTGCCAGAGTACTTTTCAACACAAGTATTTCAACTCAAGTAATGTGAGTGTGTACTTTTGCCATCTCTGCTGCACTTTGAAAATTTGTCTCCAAAAGTTCTGTTTATCGGGATGTAGCGTTTTGTGGAAGAAAATTTGTCTTTTTACAGGGAAGTTCCTGAATTTTACATTTAATTCAAATGGATTTAATAAAAAAAAATAAAAAGTGGAGGAAAGACATTGAAGTTTGACTTATGATTGTTTGACTGTCACACCCGAAAATTCTGAAGTACTTTGTATTTTGTGTTGTACTGGTACCTTTGTCTAATAAAAAGACTTTTGACAGAAAGACTGTCACACCCATCTTCCAAGCGCATCTGCGAGTCCTTACTGGCCCATAGTCTCCACCCACAGATGTCTCAGGACACTTTTTAGTCCAAAAAAGAATACTACACTGACCCTCTAGACTCTCTTAAAATATATATTCTTATTATAACATTAAAAAAAAATAAGCCTGGTTGTCAGAATATAAGCAAAATTGGAAATCTATAAAGAAACATTGTGCTCTGTGTATGCTGAGATCTAAAGGTTTGAAACTGGGATTTTAAAATGTTTCAGGGGATTGAAAAATATAACAATTTCTATACGATGGGTCAGATTTCTCTGTATTCAAGAGGATAAAAAAGATTTAAGTTACCACAGTGTCAGTGGATTGTTTTTTAAATAGAGAAATACAAAAGCAGCTTTCTTAGTTATTAACTAACAAGGCTTCAAACAGTAAATTTAATCTCAAATATGTCTTAATATTAATATTAAACACTTAATATTAAAAAAAATAAAGTGCTTGCCCACCATACTTTGGCTTGTGGCCTTCCTTTTGTTTTTTTTATACTGTATGTTACTGGAGCTTTCATTTCTGCAGATCTTATTCTCTTCTCTGTGCACCTCTGTACAAGTATAGGAACAAGTTGAAGTTTGCCTCAAACCTCTACTCTCGTTTTCAGAAAGGAACATCATCTGGTAATGGTCAAGGAGATCAGCATCTTTAAATATTTTTATGAAGACGGTGCGTGCGTCTTTGTCACGAAATATACTCGATGAGAATGAGAAGCCACAATAGTGCCCTCCAGGAGCCAGAGGCAGAGAGAGAAAGGCCATAGGAGACCCACGTCATCTGCAGCCCCCCAACCAGTGAAGACCCAATGCCACACTTCTTAGTGGCAACTGTGTTCCGAACCAAGCCAAAACAGGTGGTGGTGGTAGGCCCCAAATTTAGCCCTCATGGGCCACAGCCAAAGAACCAGAGGAAACAAGGTGCCTACCTTTCCAGAGGACAGCCATGCTGCCACAAGCCAATAGCAAGGCTCCAGGTGGCCAAGAACCACCTGACACCCAGCAGAGCACTGGGCCTGGGGCTTGCTGACCCTCTGAAGTGTGTGTGGATGTCCCCACAGAGTGTAGGGAATAGGGTTGTACACGATAATAACATTTCAGATTAAACATTATCTAACAAATCCGGAACATTTTTACTTTTGAACTCTGACCTTTGGTCCCGCTGCATGTAAAAATAATTGTTGTAAGCGTCACTGCAACACAATTATCTGACCATTAAGTCCATTAGATGCTGTTACATTACGAAGAGGGGGTTTTCTTAGATAAAAGTCACGTGACATCAATAGCAAAAGTGGAGAGGTCAAGGATGAATGGATCAAGATAAGAGGGGAGAAACTTCATTGACAATTACTGCTGTCCAGGCAGCATAACGCAAAACTGCTTTCGTGTAAAGTGGAAGGTTCCTTTATAACCTAGTGTTGGACAAATACATTGTCCAACACTGGGTTTTGTACTAACCCTGACACACAAAGCATATGTTTTTCAATTTTGGAGTATTTATTTCAATTAAATTGGATGTTATTTATAATGCTCCAAAACACAGGAGCAGTTGTCTCAAGTTTCTTTATACTGTAATATAAAGACTGTACAGTACTAGAAACAAGCTCACCAGATTACTTGAGTAAATTTTTTTAATTTTTTTTAAACTTTTTACTTTTACTTGAGTAATAAGTAAGAGTAATAAATGTTACTCTTACTTATTTACGATGGATACTTGACCAAACCAAACACATGATTTCCTGTGATCAAGCACTAGTTAAAAAAAAGTTAACTGAGAAAATTGCTTTTTTCCCCTTTTTTCCCTCATTTCAAATGCTAATACAGTTGAAATTAAAGAGATAATGTTGTTGGATGATATGCAAAAACTCAACCTCTCAGACTGACCAGACTATGTCACATGATATAGCTTGTATGATAGTTAAATGCATCATATTATAATCACAACATGTGATGTGGCTTGTCTTGACCATCCTCAACATTTAACCTAAAAATAATTTTTAAAAAAAATAATTAAAATGGGGAAATGATGTAAGGACAAATGTAGAAATAATAGCACTTACACCAATCTTGTTTAGTAAGTTGTTCAAGGCATTCTAATCCATAGCAGTGTGAAGAAACACAGTCCCTCCTCAAATCTGTGCTATATTTTTGCCATTTTTCAGGTGGAACTGAAGAACTGTGACATTACTAAGTTTTCATCCATGCATCCATTCATTTTCTTAACCATTTGTCCACTTCAGAGTTGCAGGAACTGTATCCCAGCTGGCAGCCATGACAGAGACACAGCCAACTATTCACATCTATAAACAATTTAGAACCATTCAATTTATTTTCTGTCTTTATTCTTCAGTTTAACCGCTGAGAGTTGATCTGTTCTTCGGGGCAGTGTCAGCACACAAAGAACTGTAATAAAAACATTCTTATTCATCATCTATGTCCGTTCCATTGTTGTAACATGCAACAGGTCCTGCAGGAAAAACCATGCCATTTTGCAAGCCTGTTTATTCACAAAAGACTTAATGGAGACTATAGAAAGACAAACGTTCATTACATTTTCACCTCGTTTCAAATGCTAAGGCATCTGAAACAAAAGAGATAATGTAGTTGGACAAGATAAACAAAGAAACCAACCTCTCAGACCGGTCAGACTGCATTGTCTGAATACTGGTGAGGTTAAGACAGCAAACAGGGTGAGAGAAAAAATATATATCATTGTGCAATGTACCACATTTTATACATTTGACTAAGTATGGCAAAGCAATGGATCACATAACGTGCCTGCTGATCAAAGAACATATTGCCAAAGTTATGACTCTTCTATAGTCCTGTTATAAATCAGCATCAATGTTCATTCTGTTATGGAGTTTTCTTTGTTGAAATTGTTGCTTTACTACTTTCGTTACATTCCATCATAATGTCAGAAAAGTTTGTAAAGAATTGACAGTCACATCTTGTTAGGAAATGGAGAGCAAATTTAATTACCAGCATATGTATCACAGATCAATGAGTACAGCAGTAATCATTTCAGGGTTCAAGATGAAGGGACTTAAAGTTCATCACTATAGAGCATTTACATGAAAGAGAAAAAAGGCTGGAATATTTAATGTAGCCACACAGCTACACAGAAAATAAAATGCCCAAGCGCCCTTCAGGATGAGGGATATTTACAGCGTAGAATCATATTTAGAATTTACACAGATTATCATCAAGAAATATATTTTTTTTCTCCATGAATCAATTTTAATGTTATTTACTTTTCTTTTTTAATACTCTAGAGCCCTCCATTCCAGGCTTGCTCCTTCCATTTTTACATTATCCATTATACACTGGACTATATACACTGGACACCACTTGACTATAATCTATTACAATGATAATTTAACTACAATCAGGGGGTCTGGTCCACCCACAGTCACATTAATAAGCAGCCATGACCATGTCACACATACATTAACCAAACTTTTATGTTCCATTTCCTTCAACTTTTAACGATAAAACACTGCAACAGAGAATCTAAAGTAGGTTATTGGATCTCTTACCACTGAAAAATTCCTTTATGGCCCTAAAATATCTCTAGTAGTGTGTTCTGACGTTCTTGTGCTATTGCAGTAATCTGCTAAAAGATTTTTCATCTTAGTCCAGTTTTCAAAGTTTTCTTTTGCTGTGTTGATGGTCAGTTGTGGAGGGTACTGTTGGCTTCTCAGAGGTCCGCATCAAAGGGTCTGCTGTTGACGGTGTTCACTGAGCGGGCAGGGGGGCTCTTGGCCCGTGGGAAGGACACATCGTCCTCCATTGAGTCCCTGGAGTACGGGACGCTACTGTTGCTGGCAGCACTCCTGGCCCGACTGAGATTCGGCACTTCAACGCGCCTGGTCGGGGTCTTCGGTTCTCTGCGACGCATGACCTCTTCAACCCGGACCTCTCCTCGGTTCTTCCCTCCGCAGCAGCGGCAGATCCCGATGAACATAACGAAACCGCCCAAGACTTCAAATATCCCGCCGATGTAGCCCAGAATGATGCAGTAGCCGACTCGCGGAGTTATCAATGCTGTATTGACATTGGGCGTTGTGATGTTTGGGGGGCTGTGCGTGTACCAAGAGATCGGTATGATGGTCAAGACGCCTGAGCAAAAGATCAGCAGTCCACCCAGACCGGCAACTACCCAGTTAGGCCTGTCTTTCCAACAGCGGACCCCCGGGATGGCAACAGCCAACCCGATTAGAGTCACGATGAGAGAGGCCACCATCATACCCTGTGCGGGCTGTATGATCTTGTTACTGAAGTACTGGGTGTCCACTTGGCCGCACCGAGCACCGGAGCTTATTGTGGATGCAATACAAATATCCCAGATTCCTTGTTCAATGAAGTTATCGGAAGGAAGATTGCTAATACCGTTCAGAGTCCTCCAGTTTGGGGCCACGGTCGCGACCAAGTCCAGCACCCAGCCGCAGGGAGCCATGACCATCCCGAAGATCAGGATGCCCGGAGTGCGCAAAGAGAGCCGCATCCACTCCTGCGTTGATTCCCTCGGCATGATCGCGGTTGTTGTGGTGGTTGCTGCTGCTGCTGCTGATGTGCCTCTTCTTACTCCTAAACACGTTGCAGTGACTAATTTCTACTGGGGCGATCAGCTTTGACGGCGTCGTCCTAAAAAACAAGTCCGACTGAAACTCAGCAGTGGGCGGGCCTTCATCTTCCCTTGCCCGTCTTGCCTGCCTCTGTCCCCAAATAGGACAGGTGTGGCGCTGTGTGCGTATGGGCGGGGTGCGCCTACATCTTCACCTGTAACTGCAAAAAGCAGAGTGCGCGAGCGGTGGGGGACGGGGGTAGTTTCGATTAGGCTTTTTGTCGT